TGCACAGATTTTACATTCTGCGTGCGTCCTGAAATTAGGAGTGAGGGTTTCCTGAATCATTTTGACCTATGCTGTTGAATGTGGAAGTGGTGTCTTTTGTAGTAAGGATAAGAAGAACGGAGAAATAATTGTTTTGAGGCAATGCACGCCAGTAATAGAAAACCAGGCAAGCAGGTGTAGTTTTTCTGATGATCTCCGAATTCGTAGAAAATCCTTTAATCAGCACTGTGTACAGGGTGCCATTTCGCTTCTGTCCCACAAGGCACTTCTTGTCAAAAGTGCATAAGAAAAACTACAAGAAGACATACATTCAAATCATAAAAATCATATTTTATGTCTCTTTTAAAGGAGGATCGTGGGAATTTCATGATGTCACTGCCGACGGTTCGTCCATACCACCAGTTGCAACATCAAATCTGCTACAGTGTTTCAAATACATATATACCCCCCCCCCATTGTGAGTTGCGTGTCTTTTTACATTATTCCAGTGTGATCAGAGAGTATCCCTTCCTGACTGGCTAGCGTAAGGACTCACGCATGAATGATGATTTGATTTCACTGAAGGGGCATGGCTCGCTCGTAAGCCGTGCCATCGGCGAGTCGATGTCAGCCGTCGGTAGGGGGGGACACTAACCTGTCCTGACAGCCACGCCACTGCGCTGATTGTGCCCGGCACAAGCCGCCGTGGCTCTCTATATCTATCGACCCAGCGGGGCCGGACCGAGAGAGGAAGGGCCTGGGCTGAACTCGTCTATGCACTAACTTTAATGTTATTTCGCCAAGGCCGCTCGAGACCGATCCAGCCAGGGCTTAGCGCGAGTACCAACAAAGGCCCACGGGTGAAAAGAATAGCTAGCCCACGGTAAAACCGTTAGAACACACTGTCCAACACGTCACTGGGAATAATTCATAGACAACTGTCAAATTAGCGATATTGTGAACAGATTAGCGGAGTCCAATGGAGTCAGTGAGACGGAAACCAGCCTTTATTCCATGATCCGTAGAACCCCATTAATTAGGCCCTTCGCCCGAGTAACGATTTTGAGCTGAATGGTTTTTAAGCTGTGGCCCTGGTCATAGGAGATAAACAGACTGGGCATGGCGAGCCGACACAAAAACATACCGGGCTATACAGATTGGATAGCTGTCCTGTTTAAAATTTCGACTGGTTTCCGGACTCGTGATGCATATCATTCCGACGCTTGAGCAGGCTACCAGCCACTTGACCAAGGTCGGTTCTCATCTGACAACGATGCCAGGCACTTGATCTGCGATATTAATATCTATAATTCCAATCTGCCAGAGACAAGAGTGATGTCACCTTCAATGTAAAAAGAAAAACCTGGCCAAAATTGTTTCAGGCACTCATCAAACTAAAGCTTATTCGCGTCGTCCTTCGTGTTTTTGTTCAACTTCGGTGGTTGATTTGATGACTTTGGGGCAAAACTTTCCATGTAAGATGATCATCTTCGAAAATAGTCCAGCAACTCGGCGCCATTTTTTTTTAAAGTGATGCCTCCTCTCTTTTTCTTAATGAAGCAATTAAAGCGCCAACTTTCGTCAACATATCACTGCAATGCGAGCTGTCGGTATTGTCCACAGCTTCCAACCTTCCTTTCTTATAGTAACCATTCAGTTCGTGGGAAACACACAGTACTTGAGCTATACGGAGAAAATCCGTGGGAAATGACGTTTCTCAATTAAGCACGGAGACCACAGTGCTGAATGGACGACGAAAACAAAAGTTAAACTAAATCGTCACTAGATTTAAATCGTCCCACTGGGCCTGATCTATCCACGCACACCAACCCTCCTTGTGTTCTGTTCCAGGTCATCCAGATGGACACCAATCGCCGTAACACGATTCATTACGCCGTAATTAAACCTAATAACCGCTCCTCCGTTATTTTAAAGTCATTTGCAAGCTCGTTAGGTCGGACTTAAATGCTGTCCCAAACCAATTTCGTCCGGAAGACTTGACAGGCAGTGGAGTTTAGTTTGACGAAATTACTCACCGTGGAACACACAATCATTTTCATTCGACGGATTTTCACGGTAGATACTATGCAGTCACAGTTGCACTTTGCGGATACGACAAACACATGTTAAAATCATTAACGATAGACGCTCCGAGCGCCACTGAATTTCAAGAGACTTGGAAATCGAATTTTCATGCCTCTATATTCGAAGGACACCCAATCAGCCTTCAGACTGGCAAAACATAGGCACTAACGATAACATTCGCAATACCGACGACAAACGTACTCGATTTCGATAGACCAATTGCAACTGGTACTCGGTAAAAAATCCTTTCGGGGAACCACTGAAAAACACGCGACATGAAGTGAATCTTGAGTTTCAGTTTTGCTTCCAATAGACGCAAAAACCATACCTCTGGTGTCAAGTAAGACTTCACAGATTTGTAAAATTTATCCAGAAAACAAATCATACTTACGAAACAGGTCCTGTGGATTTTGATAAAATGTAACAAACCAAATGCAAAATCGAAGTATTGGTCTGAACAGACATTAGGAGCCGATTATATATAATTAAATGTAAAATGGTTATTACACAGAAGGTTCGGCGCACTGAAAGTTGGGTTCATAAATCGACCCAAGTGGAGTAAAGAGGCATATCCTTCTATGGTCTCCCGGAATAAAAATTTATATCTGCATGGCCTTGTCAAACATTTGTAATGTTTGAGAGCCTTTCACCACTGCGACTGATTCTCAGCAGGAACGTTCCCGTGTATGATTCACGTCATCTCATTTCAATTTACCATTCGTTTGATTTTCTGTCTGTAACGTCAACTCCGCCAATGACCTATACGCCGTTTCTGATCTGGCTTTTCCTAAGAGTACCTGCTATCCTTTTGGCAACAGTTGTTGTTTATATTCGTCAGTTATCTCAGTTGTCGGATCTGCCTTGCTGTCCATGGGCAACCTGTAATTTTGCAATCATTTATTTTGTTTTGAAATTTTTGAGGCAAATGGCGGCTGAGAAAATGTGTCCATCAATTTTTAAGAACAGCATCAGGTAAAACTTGTCAGCACTTATCCTAAAAAAAAAGCTTTAGGGCTCTTTTCTTCAGGCATGCAACAGTCGTCAAACATCCGGAATGGACGTTCTTCCTGTGTAATGGTCCATTACGTACATTGGATTTCAAAAATTGACTTTATTATTGGAAGAGAGAAATTAAGGTTACAGTCACCGCGGCTTCTGCCGGGAAACCATTTCACTTACAGACAGGCACAGCGGTCGAGGAGCCAAACGAGAAAATTAACACCTCATTTTCTCGTTTCCCCGCTGTCTTTTGAGGACGCGATCTCGGGACGAGATTGAATCAAGATTCGACAGGTCCAATCACGGCTGCTGGTTCCATATACTTAGTCAGTTTAATCATATAATTTACCTCGGTTTAGATGACAAGACGGGTCGTGCTGTGCGGTGCAAGAACAGAGCTCGACTGTCGTCAACTTTTTTTCTGTAAAACACGACTCAACCAATAAAGGTCTCAAAACTATGCCCAAAATTATGCATGGAATCGTTTAGTCCGTGCCGTAAGTTGGCAAGTATTCTGCTCTCGATATTGGTCTATGTGGGTCTGTGTATTTCACACGGATCCGGATCACGATCAGTGATCCGTCGTTGAAGTTCACTGACACCTGAACCCGCCTAATGGATGGATCGAACCAGCATCAGGATTTCTGATCAAGATCAAAATCGATGTGAAACAAAAACGTCCACTGAGTAATGCGTAGACAAGAGAATCAGCCAGGTCGGTTACCTAGCAGCGCAGGCCCAAAATGAAGCGCATCCGAGGTCATTCGGGGGCAGCAATACGCGCGCCCGCGAGGTCTGCCCTATCAGAGCTGTTCTGCGTCGGCTGGCACGCGTGATTCGTTCTCGAACGACCTCCGCTCAGTATCGAACTGGTGCATCAGCTGTACATGTAACTTCGGAGTACTTATCTGCTGTGTCCTCACAGGATTACACCCCCCCTCCCCGGTACGCGTTCACCACACCTCTCTTCAACGATCACGCACCAAGTTCAGCACGTGCGCACTTGAGCGTGATTTCATTGCAGTAATGGTGTCTATTCGGATTAAGCATCCAGAGCGCAGATGAGCATTGGAGTGAAGTATTATGTCAAACTGATATATAAATCTAGTAATAATTTTGTTAAGAGTTCTCCAAATTCAAGGCCTGCTTATGTATAGTTTTGGTTTTAGGGACTTGGGCCCCGAGAGTTGAACATGCTTACACAAATTTTGATTGTATTCGAAAGGGGGCGTATGTTAGCAGAACAACTGAAATCCTCAGCCGGGTTCTCCAGGAGATAATGTGGACGAAAACCCTTTGTTTTTGTTTTACGACTCAAGTTTTATAATACCTTTTGACTGTTGTAACAAACTTAACAAAAATACTCTCATGGTCCACGGACTTCTTGTTTTTCTTCAGGTTTGATAACAGAGATTGTATAATTACACACGTATGTATAAAGCCTTGTTTTCCCACTCAGAGAAAAGCTGCGTTTTCCTTCTCCATTCTGCGAGCTATATTTACTCGTAATGAGAGCTTTCTCTTAGAGGTTACACAAAAATGGTGCTGGGCCTATTACCAAACGTATGCTATGACAAAGCATAATTTTGCTTTACCTTAATAAGAATTACCGCTTTGGTATCTACTCTGTTTTCTAGAGGGGACGTTACTGCTTGTTATCAGTGGCCACCAGCCAACGTTGATAAATAATGAAGAGATTTCAAAAGATTGAAAGAAAAAATCCAACAGAACGATGAGTCCAACAACAGTTTACAGCGAGCAGTATATTCGCAAAAGATAAATCGTCTCCCTATTTGACCTAATTGGTTGATAATTGGCTGTCAGTCACTGGCGTCCACAAGCAGATACCGCGCCCCCTCTAGTTTGAATAATTCATTGATCGGCCCGACGCATGCTATGGGACTCCCTGCCGTGTATATCAGCGTGTGGCGGTCTGGTCACTGCCTCGCACCCAAGTGCAGATGACACCTATCCAAACAAGACATTATTTTTTTTTCTTCAAAAAGAGATGATTGCTGGATGTATCGAGGATAAATTCGAAGAGACGGTAGGAAGACAGAAACGCTGCAGTAAGGTAGCGCTGCAAAGTGCTGGTAAGCCCATTGGGAAACTGACGATATCTCTACCCGGCTTCGAACAAGCAACTTGGCATTGCCGAAGTTTCCCTTTTTCTTGCCGCATCAAAGCCCTGGACTGCTTGTAGTCATGGCCATGATTTGGCCTTGTTTGGATTGGCAAAAATCTTGGATTTGATAAAACTCCCGTTGGCGTTTTTGAAGACGTGCTGGAGACAAGTGCAACTTCATTGCGGTTTGCAGTCAAATTACTTAGTTTCAACGCTTAATTTTTTTTCTCCCAAGTTGGACTCTTCGGGTTTTAAGAACCGCATAGAACCTTAGAGCAGCTAGATGATATCTGGGTTAGAGTTGTGCGTGTCTCCTGCTAACAACACGGGCTCGACCGACCATGTCACGGCGCCCCTGATGAATGGCATCATGGAGCGTCGGCTCCAGGGCGCTGGCGCACCTTGCCCGTTGGACTTTCCAGCCCCCTCGCACTGTCTCCCCGCTCACCACCTCACCCCAACGAGCACCCACCATCCCCGCCACCAACATCACCACCACCACCACAAACCAAACCACTCCATCGACGCAATCCTGGGCATCCAGCGAGATGGAGCCAGGGCGGCCGAGAAGCAAAGGACATGTCTGGTGGAGGGTCCTTCGCAGCAACACCCGCCCAGCCCCACTGATTACAACGGGGGCCGGCAGCGGGCAGGATCGACCTCCCCTACCGCCGTGCCGTGTACACCGTCTCCGGAGAATAGGGAACACGCACAAGAGGAGAACAACTTCTTGGAGAGTTTCAAGACGAATAACAATGGTTTGTATAAAATATTACACTCTGAAAATCATATTGAGAGATTGTAACCATTCCAACTGGCTTCTGGTGAATTAACCATTCTGCCCAGTTTTCCTGGATCTCAAATACTTCACAAGTTTGGTACCTTTTTTCTTAATGCTATGAAAACTTACTTCGTCTTATGTTGTTTGTGGCTATGTTTATAATGCGCCGAATGAGTAACTCTGGCTTCAGCTTTTGCAGATACATTCACAAATCTGATAAGGAAAATCATAAAAGAATCTTCCCAAAATCTGTGTACTTTCCCATCTGTTCACGCTACGTGAACTGAAGCGAGAAGAGTCAACAACCTCATCGGTTTGTTTTCAGATTTCTATGTGAAAAAGGTCAAAATTGAGAGCATTCTCTCCACACCAACCTGTTTAGTTACAGACTGTAATCCTGCAAATGCAATAAAGTACTGAATAGGGAGCTTGAAGCTCAAATCAGTTTCTGTGCGTTCAACTTGGTTCTCACCTAATAGTGCTTCTTGCTTTTTGTGTGTTTTAATTCTTAATCACCTCACAATTATTTCCTTATCGTTATATTGTAACTATTATAACCCCCAGTGTAACTTTTATCCAAACAGGGTTGTAAAACTTTTAATAATCTTGTTGACGCATTTACTGCGAACCGTGAAAAGATTTCTTTTCTGAATGACTGTTTTTAAATCGAATCAAACATTAAATTTTAATTCTCCTAGGACCTTGTTGACATTCAAAGCATTTCTCACAGAATACTTGCCTACAAATCTAAACCAATACCGGTACGAAAGATGCACTTCTTTCGTTTATGTAACAGACTTTTTTTTCGATCTTTTAAAATTAGTCATCGTGTTTATGTTTTTACAAGGAGTATAGACTGAAAGTGAAAAAAACTGTCAATCGGATTCTTTGTACGATTTCATTATATCCATGGACACCAAGGAGAAAGCAGCAAGAGTGACCATTTGACTTTTTTATTTAAAACGGGAAACGAAACTGCAGAAAAGGAGTATGGCCACATAAGTCGTGACCAGAGAAGTGTTAGGTGTTTTGCACCACCCGGGATTTACGCTGACTTTCTAAGAAGCTACCTTTCCCAAAGCTGGTGCTCAAAACTGACAGCCACTCCTTGTTTACTCCTGTCTTTGTGGCTGGAGTTTGAGTGTTCCTTGTCGTTGTTCTACTAATCAACATCTCTTGACTGTTCTCCTCCCATTTTCCTAAGTACTGGACAGTCACTTTGTCAAACGTTTATCGCAAATGACTTCATCTTTGCGTTTGCCAGATGTAGGCCACGGTAGCGAAGAACAGGTTAACTTTTTTTCAGCAGAGTCAACGGGGATGGGAGAACCACAAAGAGGTTGCGGCTTTGAATACGGCTTCGCTATTGAAAGATAACCAGTTGGGACAATACCGTGACGGTCGACCTCCCCGCCCCGGTGATTAGCGCGTATCTCACCCGTGGCTCCCCACTGAAAAACACGCTGAATGGCGGCTAAGAGGCACGGCTAATGGGCCCTTGTTCCCAGACCTGCCCATCAAAAAGCTGTGAAGAATCCTGGAGACGGTGGTAGGTTGAGGGAGAGACGAACAAGGGTGTTTGGAACACGGCCGACGGATGGTACTTTTCCTGCGTGGTTCGTCTCCATGGTTCTTTTTATTTTGCCCACTCGTAATTTCTTACGATCCAGGCCTTGTTCTACCGTCTTTCTGACGTCTCTTGGTATTTGGTTGTCCGTCATTCTGGTCTTTTAGGAACAAAGCTACGACATGAATTGTTTTTGAAACAACCAACACTTCTTTGGCTTGGAGGCACAAAATGCGATTCTCAGTACATCGTAAATATGAATTAATGTTTACAATGATGCTTTCCCAAAATTCCTTCACTTAATGATGAAAAGGACATTGTTTTCAAGAATGGAGGTTGAATGATGCGACAGTAAACATGATTCGAGACCAAGTCGATATAGGCCACTGTTCACAGGTTAGGCAAAACAAGTGTTTTCGAAAGGTGCGAGCTTCAACTTTTGACCCTAACGTTAATTTCTTGATATCTCAGAGATCAGTGAAACTTGCAGACAGTTCGACTTGCTCTGCTACTGGAGAGACGTAGTGAAATTAAGTATAATTTGTTACCAGTTCCAGTTCTCATTAACTCTTTCAATGCGCAGAGATTCCACACAAGACGTTTGGGGAGAAATAATAACATATGTGACGCCGCCATATCGCTACACTTGTTACAAGGGTCCCATTTATTATTGTCTCGTCGTTATCTCGACATTTATGCAAATGTTCTCTTCGCGCAGCGCAAATCTGAGGCTTCTGTGACGTAGGCGAGTCTTATTAATACAACATAATTATGATTTGTGGCTAAATAAATTATGCCCATCATGCTCATAGCATCTATTCTACCTTCGGCAAATTTTATGCTTTCCTGTTATACATACATGCCGGTGTTTACGTGCATAATCGAATATTGTAGAGTTTACTTGGTATGCTAAAGTCACCGTAAACATAATGATAAAAGAAACTGCATTTTACACTCGTGTTTACACTGTACCTGCAATCTGATTGGCAGATCGTTGATCACATGTCATTGAATTATTTGTTCTATTCAACGGTACTCGTTGAATGGAACTTCATTTCTCTTGACTAGTTCCGGCCCCCACTTCCTTTATCTCATTCCCAGTAAGAAAGAGGAAAATAATGCAAGGACGGGAACCAGTCTGACATTGCATGGTACCATAGGGTATAGTGCTTTAGACAAAAATCTGCTTCGCAAAAATTAATACGCAAGCGGGACCTATTTTGTTCTAGCAGCAGAGGATTTATGCGGGTATTGTACAGAACAGATAATGAATAGTTCACATTTTATGCAGGGGTAGGAATAGTTTTATGCGATGACAGGTAACCGTGCTAGTGGCCAATGTGATGTTCATGTTAAAATTAGCTAACTTTTAAAAAATATTATACTTCATGTTGTGGATTAGAAAATTTAAAGCAGATATCTAAAAATGTTTTTCTTGAACCTCATTTCTGACTAAAAGGAAGAGAAAGTAGCAGTTTCAAAACCAGCTGTCGTCAAGGTTTTTACAGGAAACTACTAAAACTTTTATACGTTGTGCGGCAATCGACGTAAAATTTCTGTGGGATTTTTTCTCTAGTGATATAAATCTTGCTTTAATAAAACGTGTTATCTGTCGAATCTGTTTTTAAAGATGCGAAATAGGATGGAACTTTCGAAACAGTAAACTGAAAAAGGGGTTCCTTATTCTATTCTCAATCATTTGATCCAAACCCACCGAGCACAGTCAAATTATGAAAACTAAATGTAAAATGTTGTTTTTAGTTTGTTCTCACAAAGTACAATGGTACTTTTACGATATAAAACAACTCTTCAAATTGCACTTTGCGAGTGTCTGCGAGAGATGACATGTTGAAAATCGATTTTTTTTTGACGACACGGCGTGTAAAGAGGCTCAAAGTGAGCATCAGTAAAGTATTAAAGGCCATGTACATTTCTGAACACTGATCATACTCGCACCATAAGGGTTTCAAGCACCTTCTGAAGGATGGGGTTTGGCTATTTGTCGACCTTTGAGAACAATGGCTGCTCGCCAGACAATTTTGCCAATGTGTATACTTGAAGTTTAAGTAAAACGGTAAATAGAAATTGAGATGGTTTAAATAAATGTCTATATGTAGTGAAATCACAAACTTATAGTCCACGTTTTGCCATTAGAGGCTGCGTTTACAGCACAAAGGACTGCATGCCACCGTACAGCCCATGTACCACTCCGCTTAATTTCAGTCCAAACAAAATTTTAAAATACATATCTCTCATTAAGTTATCTGGCCAGAGATGATTTTCCGTTGTCTAATTTAATTCATTACTCGGTTGACCGTTTGACTGACTGACTATTTTGGGTGCAGTCTCTCTCTCTACGTTGCAATCTTTCAATATTTATAGAAACCTTTTCAATATTAATTTATAAAGAAAGGTTTGGGATAGGTTTTTTAATATACCATAAAGTTCACAAAATACAAAATACCATTGTTTGAAGGAATTTGTTATGAATGCATGGTTCTTCATTAATTTTCGTTAAGTTATGTTCAGTCAAGTTAGATTAATCAAACCATGTTTTCTTCAAAGAGGATCCGCATCCGGCCTGGCACTAGCGTAGTTAACGCCGTTGTACTATGTCCGGAATGACACTTATATTAATTTGAGACATTTTTGTTTATCGTTTTGCAGTGTCAGAATGTCAGAATTATTTGCAAGATGTACGGTCTCATCTGTTCTTTGAGAAGTTTTTACATTTTACAGAGCGCAGATCTATTCGGAAATTACTAACTGTAAATACGATTTCCACCACCTTCGCAGGAATTGCTCACAAGAACCCAGCCCGGCCGGGAACACGGGCGGCGCAGCCGAACAACGCATCGGCAGCCCCCATCGGCAGCAGAGGCTGCGCCTCGCCGCCGGAGCTGGACGAGGCAGGCCCAGACTCTCCGGGCAGCCCCAGCGAGCCTTGCGAGTCGGTCGATGGCGGTGGCGACCTCGTCGACGACGGCGGGGACGGCAAGAAGAAGCACCGGCGGAACCGCACCACCTTCACCACCTACCAGCTCCACGAGCTGGAGCGGGCCTTCGAGAAGTCCCACTACCCGGACGTCTACAGCCGAGAGGAGCTGGCCCTCAAAGTCAACCTTCCCGAGGTTAGAGTTCAGGTGAGTTTGCGACCTTTCTCCTCCTGAAATAGGCCTATTCAGAAATTGGCCATCTTGAATCAGAACCAGGGTGATTCCGGTAAAACATTCTCCAAAAATTCAAAATGATTGGGAACAAATTCAAAATGATAGATTAATATCCCTGTACCACCATGAGAAGTTACAAATTTCGCATAAAAGGACATAGCACCTGTTGGCCACAACAAAATTGAACAAAATTCAAAGCAAACTGATGAAGTACGTAAACTTCCACTCTAAAATGTTTAAAAAAATAAAATGGATTCGGGGAGCATAATATGAAATAGCCAGCTCGTTAACAAGGCTCCTTACTCGATGATGCTTCCTGCTTTCAGGAAACCTTTAAAATCCTGCAAGTGATGTTTTCGATAGGTAGACTCAGATACAAGACTGCGTGTCAGTATTCTTTATCTGAGCACTTTTTTCCCTTGAAGAGAGACCAAGGGCGGAAAGGAAAGAAATTCGAATTTCAAACCGCGCACGAGTTCCGACTTTTCCATACAGTAAAAATATTTGTAACACTCTTTGTCCAACGTAAAAAGCTGTCTTTAGTTTTGGCTACTATTTCCCTTTGCTGTCCTACCATTAGAAACTCCAAAAACATGTTGACATCATAGTTGCTATGGTGTTTAGTCTTCTTTGGCTGTCCTTTTATTGTGATATGCTAACATTCACTTGAGCGGAGAGTCTTTTGTTCACAAATAATCTCCACATTGGGGCTTGACTGGGTTTCTGTGTTTCATGAAGTCTCGGTAAGAATGAATATTGTTGATGCACAGTTTGGTCACAATTGATTTATCCTTCGGTGTAATATCGTCGCCTAAAACATGTAGAGGATATCAAAGTAGGTCTGGGATGCGAAATACAAAGAAACTTGGACAGTGTGAATGTTCGTTTTGCGCGCTTTTGGAAAGGTTTTGGAAAACTGACCACTCCACCGCCGAAATGGTTCAGGGCTGGAAATGGAGATTATTAGTCGTGACCCCAAAACCCTATTTACAGCATAAAATTGTAAAGGCTTTCCTCGAAGACCAGGCACTTTTACAAATTGGAACATCCTTGAAGTAATGAACCAGAGTAGATGTCAGGTCAAGTCGGGGAAGGAAGAAAAGAAAGTGAACTTCGTCTCGGTCAACAAACTGGAAGAACAGGAAGCGATTGCATGGCTAAAGTGTGTTCAGTCTTGATCTTGGGGGCTCTGTGTTCATCCCAGAGCTACAGGCGAGGCAATACAGTGATTCCAATCGAATTCGAAGTCCATCGCGAAAATTGGCGATTGTGATTCGAAGTTCTTTTGCTCTCTCTACTGCCTGGAGGTGCTTGGAAATGAAACATGAAAACTACCTGACGCTTTGGATTCAAGCGAGCCTGGCCGGCTGAAAAGATGCCTCCCCTCGTTCTTCTGTGCCTTAATTAGCAGGAATTAGTTCCCCCGAAGTGTGTTTCTTACCACACAAAACCCGTTTGTGCACCTAAGTAATTGGGCCGAGGCTCGCGAGAGGGGGCTCGCGGGCGTTGTTGTCCGGCCAGATGATGTCGGCCCTGGTGGACGAGCGTTCCCTCGGCCCGGCCAAGGAGAAGACAGAGTGAGTCGACGCGACAAAACCCTAGGAAAATGCAAACGGGGACGGATATTGGGCTGCGGCACGGTGCGATTCCCAGGTCTAATTAAGGGATATGGTGGGGATTTTTTGTTGTTGCCGTCGGCGCTGGGCAGGGGATTCACTATGTAAAATGGCCTGCCCCAGCCACAAGGAGCTCCATGAAACACCCGCGGGCTCTTAAGGTATCCGTCTGACCCGTGAGACTGGTGGAAATCATCACTTGCTGGCTATATATTTTCAATGGTGATGAAAAGACATTGAAGAGGAAGAAAAGGGGAGAAAAACCGAGAGGAGATCGCGCAGACGAGACGGCCTCATCTGCCGATAGCAGAATGCCAATAACACCGGAGCCGGGCAGCCGAACGAGTCAGGACCCCCTTCGCCTCGCGGGAGGGAAAGCTTCCCCGCGCTGGCGCAGCGATCAGTTTAATTTGTGCTAATTGATGAGACATGGTTTCGTTAGCTGATCATTTCGGGTGTTCCGTGGAGGCACACGGTGTACCGAGCATAAAGGTATCTGGCGATCCGAGACAAGACGTACTCTCTGCAGATCTGGTGTTGCGTATGCCGATGAATAGCAGTTTTGTAAAACGAAAATTAACTTTTATTCAAGGAGAAAACGAACGCAACTGCACACACGCATTCAGTAATTGCATCTTATTATAAGTATAGAGCTAAGTATGAACACGATAAGATGAAATAAGGAACGTTTGTCCGCGTAGCTGTCCAGCCGAGACAAATTTGAGAAAAGTAACTGCAGCGACCTAAAAAAAATATATCTTCTAAACAAATCTTCAGAGTCACGGGGTTTAACGCTTCCATCAATCCTAAAGTGGTGTTGACATTTAAAGAGGTAGGACTGTTTGGAGAAAACTCCTATTTTGTTCGTTCTAGGCCTGTGTTGATCTTCAGTTTGGCGTGACAGTCCTTCACTTTTTTTTTCTCAAAGCAAATATTTTGCATAAAGGCTAACTTTAGCGTTTCACCAGGGTGTTTTAGCGCAGACAGCTTAGCTGTCCAACTCTTCCCAATTGCACTCGTTTTATACAGTGCGACAACAAACACACATTATAGCTGAACTGGAAGTCAGTTCCCTTCAGGCAGCACAAATAACCTCAAAATCGATTCCAAGGTCGAAAAACTCTAATGCCGAACGTGGATAATCCGAGCGTTTCTTTTCAACACATCGTGACTTCTCAAGTCGTTGGAGCGTGTACAGCCTGTCTAATGACATCAATGTTGAAAAAAGTGAACTCAGTCGGTATTCGGTTAAAAAGCCAGAAAGTCGGCTGATGCGAACTGAGTCGATAATCAGTACACGTACAAGTATTCGACATTCGGTTGAAGTCATTCCTCGGTTTGTGAAATGTTATTAAGAGTGATGGTTGAAAGCAACGTGAAGCACAGGGCTTGTGAGGGATTAGTCTGCGACGTCCAACGACCTGTAATGAATCATTGGGGTAGCTAAGGATTCGTTTTAAGGATTGATTTTAAGGGGAATGTGGAAGTTTCCCTATTCGCTGGCAAAAATGCCAGGCCCATTGATTAATTAACTGTATCACCCGTTTGTAGTTTGTCTTTCCTCGTCACTGATTACAATTCGCCTGACAAGGTCGGACGAAGTGTGTATATTTGTCATAATCGCCGTTGTCGTGCTTTGTTGAGTGATGATTTCAATATCGCCGGCAAATTAGTCGGTGTTCAAAATATTAAACGGCTTATTGGTGTCTAATTGGTGTCCGGTGGGGGTACTGTGGCATCACCCGCAACCGGCAGGGTTGGGGCTAGAGGAGCAGGCGGATCGCAGCCCAAAATTGGCGTCGACACCTGGAACCATCCAAAATAATTGCATTACATAAATCTGCTTTGCGTGTCCGACGACTGTTGTGCGATCTCTTTTCCGAAGATACCATCGAAACAGTAGGCCTACAACGCGTACAAAACGTTTGCAAAAGACTCATTGCTTTCCACTCATAAAAAATACGAGTATAGCTATAGAGGTTTGTGAACATGTGTAGAAAATGTATTCAGCGTGATGGAACTTCGCAAGCACACTGCAAAAGTTATGAAGTTAAAGTCGGTATCTTACAACACCGACTGGTGTCACCCTATATGGATTCCACTGGTGTTGAAATTACACAACACCTTTTACAGTATTGAGTAAGGATTTTAACGAGTACTTTTTACTTCTGCTTTATTCCATGGGAAAAGAGTTTCACACGCGTTTGGGATGATTGCACCAAAAAGGTTTTTGTGATGAAGTGTCTGGATCATCATTGTTTCTATGATTCACACGTAACGTATCAGCCACCGTACCTTAAGACTAGTCAGGGTCTGAAACAAATAGGAGAATCAGATGAATCATCGGATCATGCATTAAATAGTTATCTGTGGTCCAGTTGTGATTTGAAATGACCACAATCAAACAGAGGGCAAGAGATAGAGAGATTAAAATCTGTGTCTCCGAAGGTCAGCCGCGTTGCGCAGAAAACAAAAAACCTTGGTGGGGCGGCCGCGCTTCGCACCACGGGTAGGATGAGGGGCAAAGCCAGAGTTAGTGCCCCATTGTTGGTCGTGATTGTAGGCTATTTAGTGCAAGGTGCGATGACGGACGGGTCAACCGCTGAGGCGATCGTCCGGCCAATTACCGGAGCCAGCCGATCGACGGGCGTGGGGCGGGCTCAGGTCTCGTTGATTGGCGATGATTGCGCGGCATCAATCATACAAATGAGATTAGGGTTTTGACATCTTTTTAAAAAAACTGTGTCCTTCGACCCTTGCAATTTTTTCCTCCCCCCTTTCTTTCTTCGCCTAAAACAGCTGTCACTGACTGAGGAAAGCCCCACTGGGATATTACCTTTGTCGAGTGAATGGAAAACTACCACTATTACTCAAAACTACAAACCCCGCTGGGTTCTACTTCTTATACTGGTGGACTGGCCCGCGACAGGAACAGCAATGGGAACTTTGCTGGTAACTCTTTATTTATTTGGGAGCTGAATGTTACGAATCCGTCTGACTTGGATATTACTATGTGCTGGTTTGGTATTCCAAAAAGAGGCAAGGTCATTCTAGAACAACCCACGCGTGCCAGTCGGCTTATGGCCACCCTCATAGGGCAGGCCTCGCGCTCGCGTATAATAATCCCGAATGACCTCGGACGCTCTTCATTTTGGGCATGCGCTGTCGGAATGATGAACTGGCTGCCATGACAGTCACGGCATGCAGCCCTGTAGTTTGCTTCTTAGAGTGCTCGACCGAAGCGGCAAGCCTCGGCCTGTTTGCCGTGATGATTAAGTGAACCCTCTTCTCGATGTTGTTTTGGCTCTCGTCAATTAATCTGTAGATCAAGCCGTAAAGCGTAACGAGGTTAGCTAATTGATGTTGTAACACGTCCGGTTCTAATTAGACTGGTCAAAGTGTAATGTAAGGCCTTTTCTACACAGTCCCAATACATGATGTGTTCATTTCGTGTTCCCTCCAAAATCAAGAACTTAATTATACCATGAAGGTTGACATGGAATGCATCGCCTTGTGTGCGTTCTTAAAAATAAAGAACGTAGTTAGAGTGACAGTGTAGAAACCACGAGTGGCCTACCACTTCACTGGTAAACATTACTTGCACAACCAGAGAACTACACGATGAACCAGCGAATTGTAGATTTTGGGCCTGAGCTGTTGACCAAAGGGTGCATGTTTGAGCGACCAACTTTCGCTAACTTTCGTTTCGTTGATCGATTTTGCCTGGTGCTCAGGATAAATTCTGTGCACAGGTTTCCCCAGCCAAAAGTCGTCCAGTGGTCGACTGAATGGTCGTCACTCGAACTTGCCCGGAGAAGCCGTCGCTAAGTGCCAAAGCGCCGTCTTTTGTCCATAAGATCATGTCTTACAGGTCTTATTTTTCTTTGATTCATTTTTAAAGGTGTGGTTTCAAAATAGGCGGGCTAAGTGGCGTCGCCAGGAGAAAATGGAGTCCAGCGCAATCAAAATGCAGGAGCAAGCCATTTCGTCTCTCCACCGGAGCACCAGTGGGCTCAACAGCAAGCTACCCCTGGACCCCTGGCTGACACCACCCATGTCGAGCGCGGCGGCGCCCGCTGCGGCCCTCCACTCGCTGCCAGGACTGCTGACAGCCCACGGCCACCACCACCCCCAGCTGCCCCCGCCCCTCGGCTCCACTGGCACCTCCCGGGGGCCCCTCTGCAGCCTGGGCCCCATCAGCTTCCCCTTGCTGCCTCCCGCCTCGTCGGGCTTCTCGCTGCTGAGCCCCGCCGCAGTGGCCGCCGGCCAGGGCCGCCCAGGGTCGGGAATGGGGCTGATAGAGACCGACGACATCAGACACTCGAGTATCGCGGCCTTGCGCCTGAAGGCCCAGGAGCACCTCGACACCATGATCAGGACGCCTGTGTACAGCGGCCAGTCGTCTCCTACGAGTGACTAGGGCTCAATTTCATCGAACTGCTAAGTAGGAATTATTGCTTAAACAGAGTATTAACATTTGTGTAAAATCACTCCTTGACTACAGCACCCTATATTCAAATGCTCTGTAATTTTGCGCGCTCATGTAAAATTGACCCTATAAAACATTACATCCCTAAGGCCTCAAATCAAAAACATTGGCATCTTTTTTGTAAACTCAAAAAGGACGTATGCAGTGCTGAAAAATATCCTTCCGACCTTGTCCACATGAATATTTGGTTTAAATTTCAATTTTGCCATGGAGTTTTCACGTCTCTGCGACATTTCAGTTCTTCAATCACTATCAAAAATGTCTTCTTAAAGCAGAAAATCAAACGAAGGTGGACTGTATTTGTGATATCTGAACGCAGTGTCTGCTGTATAGTTTGGGAAAGAAGTTTATTGTGTCTTCAGACATCCCCAAATCCTATATCCAGGTGTGAAGTCCCATATCGGCATTTCAAGCCAGGGCATTCGTTGTGCCTTATGGCGGCTACCCGACATGTAAAGCTTAAGAGAATTGCCAGGTCAGGGAACAAGACTCTGATTTGCATCTTCACAATCTTTCGCACGTACCGTCAGAGAGACGTCAGCAAGTTAAGGCCACGTCCGAATAACGTGGCTACGACTTGTAATAACACGCGCGTCTATGGGAAAGGACATGAAGCCCTTCGTCGGTTGCTTCCATACCGGTGCGCGTTATTTCCAGGCGTAGCCAAGAAATCTGGACATACATCTTAAAACCTCTGACATCTTGGTTCAGAGTTCGCACCCCTTCACTTGCCGCGATACGTGTATTTGCCGTTTACGACTTGTCTTTCATTGTCTGTGATTATCGTGAGGGTACATGGTGCTTAGCAGCAATTAGTCTTCACTACAACAATTTGGTAAGCTTTCCTGTCACTGTAGGCTTTATCGGCACTCTAGATGTGATTACGGTTGCGAGACTTGGCATTTCCCACTGACTGTGTGTACTGTGTGCATAAAAAGCCGTTGTAATTAACCTTGTGTGCTACGAGAATAAACACAGCAAGTGTGTATATTGGAGTTGAAAAGTAACTCAAGATTAGGGTTTTAACATATGTAGAAGAAAACAGTGGAAGTACGGCACGGTGTTAGGTACAGTTTTCTTCAGTCACTGCTGTTGATGTGCTCCGTATGATGTTCTAATGGTCCCATGGCATGTATTTTCCTGTCAGTGGCATATCCATATTTCGAGTTTGGGAAAGGGGGATTATGACTTTTTTCTGAAATGATCTCCCCTTTATTACTTTCCTCCCCTAGTCCACAGAGGAAGGAAGTATCTTTTTTAAAAATGTTGGCGCTTTAAATTCTTTAAAAAGGGCCCTTGCCCCCCCCACTGATTACGCCCCTTTTTCTGTGCAGTTTTGAAAACTCAATATTTTATAGCTAAAACTGACCCAGGTTAGGCCTATACGGTTCACTGTCGACGGGGCTTGAGAAATGCGCTTTTTGGTGTAACATTCAGCGTAGTAATACAATCAATCTGCAGAAACACACAAGCTGATTCAAGTTGAACTATCGTTATAAAGGTTTCTTTTTGCCAGAAAATTGTGTAATCTACGCAAAAATTACTTATTTGTAATATTTTATATGTCTATGAGTTTGTGTGTGAATACCTGCATAACTGCCGAGCAGATGTGTGTTATAATTATGTATATCAATTTAGTGTCTAAAATTCGAGCACAAAAAAAACGTGTAAGTGTTGAAATCCTTGAATTTCCTACAGCAAACTATACACTTCTTTTTTTCAGTCGGACGTTTGCTTTTTTTAAAAACAATTTTGGCAATCTGGGCTTCTACAGTTGCTCCTTTTTGCCTTCCAAATGCATTGTTATTTGGCATAGGTAACGTTCTGTTTGGTGTTTATGTCAACGTTTGTGGTCAGTTTTCTTATCTTGAGATGATGGCTTCTACGCGGTTGAAGGTCATACCAGTTTTTAAACACATCCTTTTTAACCTCAAGATTTTTACAACAGCTTGTGAGCACGGCAAGACTGACGAGGGCACATTTCATGCAGAAATGTATTTTGTATATACCATGGCATGGTCTCAACAGTCTATATTTTGTTCCACTTGATGTATGCCTCGTTTCACGTAATAAATGCCCGTTTGTGAGCGCTACCCAATTACAGCACTCCCGAGGTGTCACTTTTGTTGTACTAATACGTACTTAATTCAATGAGGAGAACAACGTGTGTGGTTCACGTGTGAATAGACCAGAGTAGGGCCCAACTTGAGATCTGAGTCAAAAGAGTCTGAGTTTGATGTTCAAAAATGGACTCTCCTCTAACCCAGTTTAGAGAGTTTGGACCATTTCTGTCTGGAGCGATGATGGTGATCCCAAAACGGACCTTTTGATATCACACTGTTGACAACAGCACATTTATTGCTTTTGTAACAAGAACTTATACCTTTGTCTCCTTAGTTCACTAGTTCTAAATGCCCTTGACAGAATGGTTAGGAATGTTTTCATTAACTGTCTGTCTGTTGTGAGGTTTCCCTTTGCGGTGTTGTGCACCTGCGCCAACCCATCTAAAAACAGTTTTTAACTTATGCGCCATTTTGTGCCGTCCAGTATTTCTGTGTGATGATGTTTACTCATTGAGTTGTTCTTTGGCAGTTTGTTATTGCAAACCGTGAGTTTCTGAAATGATGGTAGGGACCCTGTTTTGGCAACCGTTCAACCTTGAAAAAGGGGGATATTGTCTTCGTCGAGAATAAATAGTAATGTTGGGTGACTGGAGGTGTACTGTACCTTAAAGGCCTACCGGTATATCGTTTGATAGCCCCGCCGTTTAGCTAAAGCCCAACCACGGTGCTCCCCCACTGTGAGGGGTGCAGCCGTAATGCCCTGGATCTGCTCCCCACTGGGCCAAATTATACCGTGTTAATACTTGTTTTTCTTACCTTCCACGTGAGGTTGAATACACCCAACGATTTTTTGGCCGCCTTCAAGGGGATGAGACTGGCTCGCGTTTGGGTCCCATGCAAGCAGGCACCCACTGTGCTGGAACGAAGGCCTCATCTTAAATTTTTTTTCCTCCGTTTATTTTGGAAGACAAGCGGCCCTCATTAAAGCTGACGGCTTGTCATCGAAGGGGATTGGCAGGTCCCGTTATCCTCTCTGATTCGACACCGGGAGTAATAGCTGCTGAATGAGCTCATTAATTTAACAAATGCTGCCTGAATGAGGCGGGCCTTAACTTCGTTAGCGGCCGATACAATGAGGGCATCATGGGTGGTTGGGCCGTCATCAAACTCAACGACTACGTGCTGGGTTTCCAATCAATTTTTTTTCCACATGGCGGTCTTTTTCCAGAGATTTTGGTCCACATTTCATTGACTAATATGAAATCATAAGCGTATCGCACTATTGTGATAGGCCGAAAATTCATGTGTTGGTCCACATGAACCGATGAAGTAGACAAATACTTCTACTACTAAATGTACAAGTGATTTTTAATTTTATTTAAATTTTAAAATCGTGGAAGTTCGAACTCTTCAGAACCCTACGCCTCTGTCAGTGTATGCTCAACTTGTTAATTTTGGTATGCTCCATAAAGTGAGTTTGGAATTCAAGATAACTGTGGCCGAAGAAAGACGGAGCGAAGAAAAATCTTTGGGTTGGGCTTTGATTCCCAAACGGGTGTTCCGTTTTCCTTTCTTTTTTTTTCAAACAAGGAACCATTTTAATTGGTGGGTGGATTAATTCAATCGCGGCTGAAACCCTGTAAAACACGTCTCTCCGCCAAGCAATCCTGGTACCCTCCGCTCTCCCCTGCTGTTCCGGACAAACCCCGCTGTCGCCAATGCGGACAATGGGAAGAAGATCATTAAAAATGTGGGATGCCGTGTCGCCCGGTGTTCCGCGGATCTAATGTGTCCGTCACTGATTGTTAATACAGCCTGTCTGTTAGGCCGTCACAGAGCCTTGGCTGGAATTATCTATAGCTCCGTCGATGGACTCGTTGAGAGGCGGTGAAAAGAAATGGCCGAGAAGTGTACCCTGTCTTGTGACAACCGATCAATGGGTTGATCTGTGAGGCGGGGCTTTCGCGCCTCCAGTGGGTGCATCTTCTCACCCTGTCCTCGTTGATGCCGCTCCGAATCCCTGGCGCCGGTCATGCTAATCACCCCCCTAGACAGACTGGTCCTGACACCCGGTTCAACACCTTCATCGTCGCTATTCAATGCATCACTACCATCCATGCCGTGCTTTATGCGCGTAACGGCCCCCGTCAATAGTCAACCCGCTTTATGGTGTACCACACACCGCACGACAGCCTGGTACAACTATATGAACCCTCTGGAGTGATTCTCGTATATTATTCGCACAGCATGCACAGTGGACTAGCGAGAGGGGGGGGGGAACCTCTCAATGACTTTGTCCAATGTGTTGAGGTTACTGGGGACGGGCTCTGAATGGAAGCCTGATTGACAGACTGAGAATAGGGACGGGGATCTAGGTATTCTGCCAGAGGGCTTGAAGGGGGTAAGCCTGTCGGTCGTTTCCCTCGGCTCGAAGCCGGGTCTGGAACGGCGTCTGAGCGCAGAGCTCATGATGCAAGACGAAGCGTTACTAACCACCACCTGATGCAGATTCGAAATGAGCCCACCAGGAAGAGGCACTTACTCTAGATTTTGCTGCTCTACCCAGACTTCCCGACTGAAATTGCAATCGTGATTATTACAAACAACCGATAAACGAGCTCGGGGTAACATCGTTAAGTTGACCCGTGCACACAAAATGCAGCCATGTTTGTGAAAATGGGATTTTGTGTAGTCACCACACACTGGAGGAACACTTGTAAAATAAATTGAGGTCATGGTACATATTTAGATTCTTCCATGCACCTTCCAAGTCGCAGCGAACAACGGTTTCTTATCCACAAAACAGCCGTCGACAATGACACGTCAGTTTTCCATCTCCGACTCCCTATTACGTCCATGCATGTTGCACCAAGCTTATACGAAGTTGAAAATCGACTGCCTCCAATTTGAGAAAAAGAGGCGCCTTTCCGTGTTTCTGTCATACAGGCTTGTTCTCGTGCGAAATCTTTACAAATTGTTTGAATTATGTCTTGGCCGAGTTTTGAAATCTTTTTTTTTAAATACGTGGATCAAACTATACTGATGAATTGAATGCTTTAGGCGTTGAGTGCCGAAAACCCGAAGACTTTAGTTGACAGATGGCACCCTGAATTTCTGTGCAATGGTTTCAATTACAAAACACGTTTTCTTATTTTATTACTAGTTTTTCATTTTTCACCCAAGATTGGCTGAGAATCTCATCAAGTTGCCAGATGAATGCTCGTCCGGGGTCGCTGAACTCCGCCCACGCAGGAGGGTCCACTTCGATTGGATTTTTGAAACCCTCGGCTCATCCAGCAAAAAGCAAATATTCGATACGTCAGAGTAAGTGTCGCATCGATCCGGTTTTACTCGCCGCTACTCAATATCTCCTTAAGTCGGGCCCTCGTTGATTGACGCGGCGGGGAGTGTTAGGAGATGACCGGATCGCACGCCGACGAGACGCGGACCGCGTGAGGCGGTGAATTATTGGTCCCAGTGTGACCGGCCCGAGCCGCGTTGTTCGCAGGCGCGAGGCCTCTTTCATGCGCTGGCTCGCTCTGATTACATCGGCGCAACCCTGGACGTTTTCCCCCTCCTCCATATAATGATTTGGAGACTTGATTAGCTCAAGTCGCTTTGAGCTAATCAGTAGGTGGGAAGTCCAATTTAAAAACAGCAAATGGATCTCGTCGTACGGCGTAATTCACTCGAAGATTATCGACGGAGAGTATTTAAAAAATAGGATTCAGTTGTGATTTCCAAAATGAAGGTGTCCACCCAGAGAAAATTAAAAAGTGGGTGGGGAAGATGGATAAAAAAAATGTACATATGCGTGGGTTTAAACATTCGCACGCCCTCAAAAAGATAGATCCATATTCAAGGCTGGTGCAGCATGCTGATTAAACTTTAAATTAAAGTTATTTCCCCAAATTCGGCATGGTATCGACGGCTCCACAATCATATAACGTTTCTGTGCATTCCTTCAGCGTCCAGGTTTCATAAACTCGTTACACCTTAGCTTGGAGTTATTCTCAACATTATTTGGTATTCCCATCTCAACGTGGGGCCAGCTAGCGAACTCCGGAAGCCCGGGGCCTAAAATCTCCAACGGCCGGAACCGCGGAGAAATCCGAGGCTTTTTATTGGAAAGCCGTTTTGAGCGGAAATACAGAGAAATAAAGAAAGTAAATCCATTTTGTAAAATACTGTCCTCATGTAAACAGAGGGCGCTACTTTCAGGCGTTAGCAAGCCCTAGAAATATTTTCAGTTCCAGGTACAATTTTGTGGTGCCATGTATCAGTGCAGTCAAGTTTCAGCAAAAAGACCCCAATATGGCCGACATGTGAACTGTCAGTTTTGTTGACTCTGTCAAGATCCCCTGACTTGTTCTTGTTTGCGTATTTCACGGTGTGCATTACAGACTGTGCAAGTCTTAAGTCCATCGTTGAAGAGCTCTTAATGACTAAAGAGCAGGGTTTGCTTGAAGCAGCTGCACTCACCAGCATGAAACACGATTAATAAACTTTCCCGTAGGGTATCATTGCGATCTCAGCGTTATTAAGGACGCATTTTTATGCTGCCCCTTAATCATTTAGGGACTTAATTGCCCGTGCACAATCATTATCCCGAAAAAAAATTACGTAATTGAAATTAATTAGATCACCGGCCGCGTGGGTCGCCGAAGGACAGATAGAAGGGAATTGCTGTACCAGGAGAGCATGCATCGTATACCGAGTGCGCCCGGTGCTGGTCTCGGTACCAAAGGGATTAATTTTAGTCACCGTGTCGTCTTTCACGGACCGAAAGACCGGGGGGTTATTATTCGCCTGCCCGATGTCGGTGGCTCCCCCGTGGTTGATGAACCGGCCGCTGCATGCAGTGAGGGGGGGGGCTATAGTTGCTTGTTGAAGGAAAACTTTGATTTCTGACCAGCAGGATGACACCACAAATTAGGCTTGGCCCCCGTACCAATTAAGCCCCAGGTCGAGTGTTCGGCCGTCGTTGGATGACACGTGCTGAGTGTAATAGACAATCTGTTATTGTTCCTGTATTATCCTTAACTACTGCTCCAAACATCCGGAGCTTCAATCATGTTTTGGGTTCTTTGTTCCTGTTTGCTCAGAAGCGTATGCACTACAAGCCCTCTATTGGCCAAACTAGGCCCAGTTCAGTTAATGATTTATCACAAGCATTGCACAATGACATACATTTTTACTAGTAAATTGCTAGAGACAGCCATGGCATAAACACTTCTGTTTAGCCTGTCAGGACGAACACCTCAGGCACTCCTCGAAACAAAAATCAATTTTTACTTTCTGTTCTATACATGTAAAACCTCCCTGCAAAGATGACCATTCCTAAAAGCTTAAAACATTTAAAAGTGTTTCGTCTGCATCATTGCATAGTTAAACTATTTAGGGGTCCGATTTCATCCAAATTGCCTAGGAGTACAACCTCATAGATCTGTTATAGCTTGTACTCTGTAAAGTACCACGCGCAACTGATGCAAAGCTTAGAAGATGAGACATGCAAAGTTTGAATTTATTGGCATGATATTTAATGTCCAATGTTGGGGTCTCCAATCACTGACCTTCAATCTTCCAGATGGCCAGAATATACATTGGTCATACAAGACGATTAGATCTCACATCTTGCTCCCAGTTGGGCTTATTAGGGCGCATTAACCTCAGAGGTGCTTATTTGGGAATTCTTTTCCCTTGCAATTAATACCATCACGTGGTTTGCGGTTTCATCTCTTTTATTCTTTCGTCTTCATTTTAGTTTACATAAGTCTGTCCGTAAGCTGGGCCAGGCAAGTGTACGCGTCTAGGGTGCTTAGACGCTCATTAGGCTTCCAAAATGCCGACTATTGTGGGCTCGTTTGTAGTGAATTATTCAGCCAAACTGGCACTAATGGCCTGACGCCCTTCGGACAGGAGTGACTGACCGGGTTATCAGCTCCGTGGCGGTGCCGTACAAACCCTGCAGTGCTCCGCACACTGAGCTGTGTTAATCCCCCTTGCTACACTAGTGGTCCGTACTCAAGCCCCGACAATTATTCGAGAGAACACCGAGTTTCTCTTATTGTTCGTCCATCATCGGTGCCGTCTAGAGAAAAAAGATAAACTTTGAGTGATGTGACTTGACGGGACACAGAAGCCATTATGCTACTAGGGACAAAACTGGACACTTCTTGAACAAAACAAAACAGCGCATTAGGCCTAATCCTGAAGTTGGAATTTTGTTGATAGCGGGCGTTGTCGAAAAGCCCTGTACGATTGGCAACAAAATTTACCCATCATCATAGAAAACTGATGCAAGCGCTTGTTAAGTGAGAGCCATGTTTCAATTTTCCATTTGGTGTCATGCCACTGGAATGTTTTACATTAATATGGTTGTTGAAAGGCAAGCAGTTTCCCGACTGAAAACTATACACCTGAGCTGAGGAAGTTTGTGTCTTGTGATTGTCTGTGAAAAACATGAACGCCACACCTGCGTATGCGCAGTCTCATCCGTGACATATTAAACAAGGCTGTGCCGGCCTGTCGCCCGCGGCTACGTTGCACAGTTTGTTGGCTACATTTTCAGACGGAAAAGATACTTGTGGGTATATGATATCATCGTTGCTTCGGCTCAGCGGACCCCAGAAACTATAGGTAGCACAAGCGCCCTCTCTAGTTCACGTACGACGTCTACGAGGTACTTGACTGTTAAAGTGAAAATTTGCGGGAAGGGCTGATGGCTTTGCACTGCGATTGGCTACATTTTGCGCGACCTGTAAGCAAAACGTGAATTAAATTTTGGGTGTGCCAATGGCAATGCTTTGACAGGAACAAAGTGTCAGCTATAATAAAAACATGGCCTTGGAACCGTCACAATTATCTTCTAAGTATCACTGATCACGTGGCTCTTGGCGATACATTTCAAATGATTTTTTATCTTGATCAATTTTTGATGAAGGAATAATGTGTTGTAAGAATGTTTTCCGCAATGAAGAAGAAAAAGAGAAAATATTGAATTGATAACCGCTGCTTGTGTAAGCAATGAGCGAGCTCGCGCGCCTGGCAGAAATCTACCCACAGTGTTCTGCGCGTCGTAGCTGTGACCCCGTGTGACGTATTTCTTTCACTAAAATCTGTGCAGCGCCATCATCCCTTCCCAGTGCCCCGTTCGTGCGCTGGGCGACGAGCGAAAAGTGAAAAGCGTATTCGGTACACATGTATGGAGCCCAGCACTGTCAAGGCACTGGAAACTTCAATTCAAAATGTCACTTTCTTACAATCCATTGACAGGTCGATTAATTTTTTTTTAAAGTGCGGGAAAGAGCGCAAGCCAGCAGCAGCTCAGCCAGACGTATCACCCATGAAACTCGCCAGAGGGCGCTAGAAATTGGCCGGCGTATATACAAGGCTCGCCAGTAAAGTAAAAGTATTAACTCAAGAGACAGACTATGCTCGTGATCTTTAATATATGATCTCAGAAGCTCCAGATATTGTAATAAAAACTTAAGTGTGGCAGTTCACGAGGGCGTTGATTATCACAAGAGCAAAATAATTAACGCTTTTATTGAACCGACACTCTGTATCTTATCCTACAGTGACGGCCTTGAGACCGTAGTCGTTGGGGATTCAGTTTGTTTTGTCCAGACACTTTGGATACTACGTATCCATTGTCTATGGTGTAATTAGCAATATAACCGAAGACGCTGAGGGCTGTCCCAGCAGGCTCCCGGAGCTACAGCTCTACTGTCAGCGTGTCCCTGCGTATTTCGGGCAGGCCTTGCTGCTCATACAGGTGTATTTCAGGGAGGAAGAGTTTTCATCAGCAAAGTGCAAAAGAACTTCTGGGGGATGTATGTGGGAAAAAGAAGAAGCTTCGACTTGATTGGGGTCAACCTTTTTGGAGCAAAGGCTAGCCGGTATGCGAGCTGTCCGTCCTGAATCTCTCTAGTCACACACCGCGGTTTTCATCTGACGAGGGGCGGGTGGTATTGTGGAAGAGTATTGAGGGAGCAGTGTTGCAGGTCCTGGTTAGCAGTCGTGCGCCAAGAGGGGTTATTGCCGTTGTGAGCCGCCACAGCGGGAAGGTGTTCAGTGGGAATCGCCAGGTCTGCGCTACGGTAGTCAGCAAAGTCACCTGGATAAAGTTGGTTATGGTGACTAGAAGGACTCACCGGACTGAAGATTTTCTCTGTCTTTCGCCATTTCGCCCGTCGATTTTGGAACCAAACCTGTATCCAATAAAACAAATTGTCAATTTTGTTGTCTCGCGTCAGTCTTATACACATACATGTACCAATAAATTTGAGAACAACAGCTCTGATTTTAGATTAGTAAAATTTAGCATTCGTAATTGATTGCAATTAGTAACCTGAACTCGAGCCTCGCTCAATCCAAGCCTTATGGCGAGATCTTCCCGTTTGAAGACGTCTGGGTACTGGGCCTTCTCAAACGCACGCTCGAGCTGGTGAAGCTGATAGGTGGTGAACGTGGTGCGGTTTCGGCGGGCCTTTCTGGCAGCGTCGACGGCGTCTCGTCCCGTCTCCGAAGAGGCTGCTGACTCGCCCAGACGGGGAGAGATATCGCGGCTTCGGCACGAATCTGCGTCACGGTGCGAGTTTTGATGACAGGAGCGACGGGAACCGACGCTGCATGGTGGAGACTGGAGATTCCGTTTTAGATCAACAGAAACTGAGAAAAGGCAAAGAGGGAAAAAGGAAAGGATATGACCAACTTGATCTTTTTGTTAAATTTAACCGTCTCAGTGTATTCGGTACAAAACATATTTCTTCTCAATGTTTTAACTGAAGTCAAAACTTAAAATTCAAACGAGCGTGGGGAACTTTGGGGAACTGGACTTAAGGCCTACATTTTGAACCGCAATTTTTTTCTGCATTTTGCGGAATTTCTAAAAGAAATGAATAAGCCAACCGAAGCATTCAGTCATTCGAAACAAGGCAGTGTCCAACCTGAACTATGAAGAAACTATTGTTGGATTGTTGGAAAGGAAACAGAAGTTATATAAACGTTAAGAATATGGGCTGCATACCGGTGCACACGATGTTCTTATTTACAAATTGATTGATATTTGTAAAGAAAGTCTGTCTTCTTGCGTCCGTTTTCTAAGGTTTTAATCTGTCAGCCCGAACGTAACCATTTTTAAGGCCACATTTATGCTCGGTCTATTACCTACAAAAATGCCGCCCCGAAGGGCATGATCTCCTCTAAATGGAATTACCACCGTTGTCCATACGTCCCCCCAATGAGAAACAAAAATAAGATTCTCGGCCCTCCATTATTATTTTTGGACGAGAAATCCGCGGCATTGTCGGCGTTAATAGGTTAATGGAGTGAAAGACGGCAGGGCTAGACTAAGGCGGGACAGAACTCTTTCGGGCCATTGTGTCTAATTGCTGCCCGTTGTGTGCCGTTTATCGACTAAATGATTGGTGCCCATTCAGCTGGACTGTTAGGGTGTGCTTTGGGCCTGCCACCCATCTTCTGTCAATCAAATCTTCAGTGTTCATCATCCCGTCTTCTTTAGCACACCATGTCTCTGTACGATAGTCGCAAGCAGCGCACTTTTCCCACAACTTTTTTGAAAGAACATGAAAGTCGGCCATTTTGAATTGAAAGCTTTTCCCAATCGTGGTTTCGGATGTTTATGTGACGCACAATTGAACAGAACAACACCCACTCTCTGTAACCTCTGAAAAGTCATTAAAATCACAAATTTAATGTTTAAAAAACTTGGCTGATCTTTCGTTCTAGTTGCAATCGTTTGGACATCGTGAGATAATTGAGAGACAGGCTTAAAAAAACCTGAATAGTCTGAGCAATAGGCAAAATTCGAAAGCTAAGCTCTCACAGTCAGACAATTTGACAATTAATTAAAATCAATCCAATTGCTAGGGCAATTGTACAACTATGACGGCATCAATTACACTTCAAATTCGATGAGTAAAATTTTGGAAGCAGATATTATGAGCAGGCAATAGTTACTTTGATTGCATTTGCTGACGATACCACTAGACCTATGGAGATACCGAAAATAATGTTTCATTTGGCTTCAATAACTAATAAATCGGCCCACAATCGGACACAATGTACTACCTTAAAATGACACTTCAGATCATTAGTGATTTTAAAAAGAGGGCTAATTAAAGCACTTACACGTCGTTCGTAGACTGTGAAGGCGACACAAGATGGGCGAATCCCTGCGTGATTGATCGTCTTCACCGGCCCGGGGGACACCGGTGAGATACCAAGCTGGCCCAGTGCCCGTGAGGAGTGGCGCGCGGATTCGACATCTTTCTACAGTCCGCGACGACGGAGTCGGGGACCGCATGCCCAAAATGAAAGCGATCGAGAAGTCCGACGGAGCACGCCGGCATGCCGTGGGGCTCGTCATTTCTGACTTCGCCGTCCTGGATGTGCAGTTTTGTAGACGTTGTGTTTGCTTGTCAGCGCCCACAGGGAGCAAACTAGCAGTAGTGTTCATGATAAGAAACCCGCAGTTAATTTAATTAAATTTGATCACTTAGCACACTGCAAAGCAAGTTTTTGACTAAAAAATTGTAAACTATCAAACGAAGTGGGCTTCAGGTTAGTGATAGTTTTGTTTGAATGAATTCAGCCATGGCTTTACAAGCTTTACTTTTCCCCGGCCACAAGTTTTCTTGCGGTCAGCGGGAACGCCCAAAGAAACCGCAAGCTTGTCCATCATTCGTCTCTTCACACCATGGAGCGACCCTGCCAATTTGGCCCACGGGAACCTCTTTAAAAAGCAGCGTGCTCTGCTTAATGGAGGGCCGGAGTTTATGGTGCGCACAACATGACTGGCAGTCCATCATTATGTTTGTTTGTTTTTCCGGATCAATTAAGTGCGGCGTAATTGGCAGCTTTAGATCGATCTCCAAATGAAAATGTCATACCGGGATGGATTGTCTGCGGTATCCAAGTTTAACTTCGTAAATTAAAAAATAATGATTGCCGTCATAAGACGGGCCTCAGTATAGGTGCTTTGTATTCAGTATTTATGCCTTAACAATCGTTAAGACGTACATTAAATCATCTAAGAAAATGAGAATTATTGAGGGATGGTTAAACTATTTGATTTGCAGACACTTCTTAATGTTTTTGCCGACTCTCCTTGCAATATTTGTATATGTGTTGGAGTGTGTGGGTGTGAATAAAAAGTGTAGGCATCAATCTTCAAAAATAGTAACGAACTTCAAGTTTTTTTCGGGGATTATCTTTTGAGAGAAATAATATTATCTTCAAAAGTTACTGCTTAAGCCACTAAATATTGAAAGGAGAATGAAAGATGAGGAAATGAGCTTGAATTGGATTTCTGTATTGAACACCTGAGAAACTTGTGATTTTTTCCTTGATTTTAGGAAGAGAAAGTGTTTTATCACCATTGTCTAAGGTACCTTATTTTGCTGTACGTTCCACTGCGTGGTTACTCTCTTGCATCAGGGGCGGATCCAGGGGGCGCACGCCCCATCCCCTTTTCACCAAACAAATAAATAAATAAAAAGAGAAGAAAAAGAGGGAGGGGGAGAAAAATGAGGGAGGAACCCAGCCCCATAAATTTGACAAAGGTGTAAAAAAAAAACCAGTTGTGCCTCCGGTTCCTCAATCTCCCCAATTTTACCCGCGACCCTAATTTTTTAGCTCAGGCACCCGCTTTGGAAAATCCTGGATCCGGCCTGTGAATGACGCTGAGGGCGCTCTCTTAAATTAACTCCAGAATTAACATCGTGAATGTGCGGTCCTTGTGCGCGGTCTCTAACGTTACTCGTTAGTCTTGACGGAAATTCAGGTAAATTTCCTGTAAAACAAGGCAGAGTTTTACAGCTTTGTACATTCCGTCATAGGTGAGATATTTTTCTTTAAATGAAATGAAAACAAAATTCTTCGGAATTCATGGTCGCTCAAGGCATGCTCAGACCATGGAGGTTCTACCTCCATGCTCAGACTCTGCCTGTTTTTCATGGGTTTGGGTTCGAAGCATAACGTTATCAGTGGTTATGCCATGGTTATATTACCTGGGCCCTTGTTAGAAATTAGAATTTTCCTCGAATTTCTTCAGTGATGCCGTAATGCTGAACCATTCACTGGGTGAAATGCATGAGATATTGTAACTTTGTGCAAGTTATGGAGGCTTAGGCCTACATGTATGCATTCAAAAACGTTGGCGTCCGGAAATTGGGCAAACATTGGCGGAAAGAGTTTCTGAGGCATAGGCCTCTCTACTCCGACCAGGAACAAAAGAGGGTGTGAGATTTGAAGCATTTCAGGGTGGAGGTAGCAAGTAAATGAGATAGGTCTATGGTAGCACCATGGATATATAATACAAAGGGGCGTGTTTGTAATGAAATTGACAGTCATTTGGTACGCACTAACCACAAAGGCACTCAATTTTATGTTCGCTTGTAGCAGAGCACTTTGAGTGTGTGCAACGAATTAGGCAGGAATAGGCCTATATGATTTGCTTGCTGAACTCATGCAAGAAGTCAGTTGGGTTCTTTTTTTTGCCGGTAAGGGTGCACTTCTGTGCGGGGGGACGGGGGGAGATAGGCCTATACGATGATATGGGACAACACAAGTTAATACCCTGGGCACAAACCTATGAGACTCGTCTGAATGAAACTGAAGTGTTTCCTAGGTAAATGCTCGAGAATTTTCTCAGCTAAATTTTACTTTCCAAGACATGTTATCACTTTCTGACAGCTGACCTAACATTTTAAGGTAAAAGTAGTGTTGTCCGCGTATGGAACTCTTTCTAATGTAAATTTTAGGGTGTATCTATTTCTTTCATGTTGAGAAATTCTGGTAATTAACCAAATGTTGCTCAAAATGTTTTTATGTTTTTAGTCATATTTTCAAGGAATTTTTTGGAGTTCCATATGCCGATGCCTCTTGACACCCTGTGCACAAGCCCCATGCGATTGGTCTGAATAATTCAAAGTGGTATATTTTTGGCAATATTTCCATATTTTCCCTGTTCAGTTTGACTTTTGAGGTCATGTTATTACACTTTCAGATGGCTGGTAAGTAACTGTAGGGAAAAATAAGTGCCGTCTGTAGGTGGTATGCTTCTAAATTTTGCCATCATCAACAGTCATGGTACAGAACCAGCCATGCCACCATTGAACAGATACCGTATCCTAAGACTGTACGTTTGTTGCTCAAGATAAGCTGTCAGAATTGGTCGTCTGGCCCGATGAACAGTGGTAATCAATGTTCTCCTCTAGCTGGGGCCAATTTCATAGAGCTGCTTAACCCTAACCCTCCTCAATCCTTCACCTGTTGGAGGACTGAGGAGGCTTAGGGTTAAGCACAAGAAAACCTTGCGTGATAAATCAGGTAACCAGCCCAAACTCCATGTGATGTATGTTGTTTTGGGATCATATTTAGCTGTCTTTTGGTTAGCGTGACAATCAGATAGAATTTGACCTGGTAACCTTTGTTATTTTCAGCAAGGCTTTTTTACGCTTAAGCAAATATTGTGCTTAAGCAGCTCTATGGTAACATCACACAGCTGGATATTTGTACTTATATATAGCATTTTATTTATAGACATAAATGCCTAACTTTTGTTACTTCATATAGTGTTTCATTATTAACAGCATAGCATAAACTTAGTTACATTGTTCTGTTCATAACAGGATGTTGAAGACAGACAAGGTGGTGCAAGTGAAGACAAGGCAGGGGCGGGCTTTACGGCTGGTCAGGGAGCAGTACTTGAGGGAGGATGTACCCTGCAATAGTGAGCTCTGCCTGGCAGGGTGCAGAAAAAGTGAGCCGAGCTTAGGCTGCCAGAATTTTTGTGATCCATTTGATTGCTGCCCTGGTGAAATCCTTACGGCAACCTCAGTTGGACATATGTATTTACGTGATTCAGCCCCCTCCCCTCCCCCGGATATTTTGTGGGGTGTTACTGTTTTCAGTCCATATTTTGGCTTTGTATTTGAAACAAACCTATCAGAGCATGACATGTTTTTACGTAACAACAACAGACATTTGGCAGGAACTTATGACGGACGCACAAGGGCTCATACTCGACGCCATCACATAGAAACCAAAGTACTATACCTTTTCCGACTGGAGTTCCAAATTTCTGTGCGCCTTGCATGTGCAATTACGCAGTGTACGTACATACTGATGTACATTCTCCTCAAGAAGAAATTTGGAAATTTACAAGAGAATTTTCAATTAATGTTAAATTCATACAGAGATGGATTCATCAAAAAGACATCTTTATCTGTGAGGGGTGTGAAAAAAACAATACATCTGTGCTTCATAACTGCTTTATGTCATTGTAAAGTGAAACTAGCTCCCTCGACGATGCAGTGACTGTCCCATTTTCTCTCAGTTTCAACTCGGGAATATAACATCCTCCTGAAATGGTTCACCTCAGAATGCTAGTTTCACTCTATACACGTGTCCAAATAGTTGACATCAACCATTCACCCTAAAACATGAGGCCTGCACAAAGTGGCAGGTTACGGCACCTGCCAGCATTGTACCACCGCAGTAAAGGCATCCAAGTCTGGATTCTGGACTCCCCTATGCCACTCTCATTTTAATACTGTTTTATGATGTTCATTCTTTTAGCTGGGAGTTCGACCACACCAGCCGACGTGACCCATTATATTGTTCCCGACTGTCATGTGACTGGCGAGTTCCTAGAAATATTTGAGCTGCCTGAGTTGACAGGAATCATCTTCATGCAAACGGTGCTTCACCATGTAAGTTTGAAGTTTTCCCTAAAAACTACCACAGACAAGAGAAAAAAGTTATTTTGCATTCATTTTAATTTACTGTTTCAACAAAATATAAAAGTTAATCATTTTCTGGCCTTTCTTGAAAACGTTAACCGAAAATAAAATGGTGCTTAATTTATGTAAATTTTTGGTAAGTACAGATTCTATTTGCCACCGTTTGTGGGGTTTGGGTTTTAAAAACAAGGATCCCAAGTAACAATTTCATCAAACCGTACGTCAAAATCCTTTTGAATATTCCAAACCAATTGCAGAGTAGTCTTCAAGCTACCGAGGGGTTCTAGTGAAACAAGCATGTAACATTTCCTGCGATTGGCCGATTTCTTGAATGGAGGTTTTTTTTTTTATTATTTCTCATGTGTCCCCCAGTGTAAATTTAAGAAAGCCTTACAATGTCTTGTGCTCCTAGGAATTTTTTCAAGTTTCCTAACGCAATTTTTATGAATACATTGGATGCTTTTTTTGGGGGGCAGGTGTTGTATGAGAAAGGCCATCGCTTTTACCGACGGATAAGAGCCAAGGTTAAGGACAGCCGGAACCACTGCACCATCTTTGCCAACGAGTTTTGCCGCTATGCCTACAACCCCAGGCAGGCAGGCGAAAGTCAAAACGACTGGCTCGTCAGGTGAGAACAATACAGACTTGATTGTCTGAAATATCGTATCAAGGCCTGTAGCCATCTCCGCCCACGGAGGAGCCCATGTTTACTCCCTGAGGGAGAGAGGCCAGTAGGGACATTGAAAAGTGACTTGCCAAAGGTCACGAATGCAGTGATTCGAATCCTTGAACCTAACATTTGGAGTTACAAACCCTAAACACCAAGCTACATGTCTCCATTATCGGCCAATATGAAAGTGATTGCAGCGCTTGATTTGTGTTACACTGTCTTGCCACCCAGCAAAACACATTGCAACGTCATATTTTGGACATCACAATTTCATCGCTCTGAAACTGTAGGAGTGAAGATTGGACTTGCGAAGGAGCACTGCAGAAAATGAGTTGTCGTGGAGAGTTGAGACACAGAAAGTGACTCGGAGATGACTCACTCGTGTAATCTTGCAAAGCAATGCCTGCTCAGTGCTTGCTGGGAGTTTAGTGAGAAAACCTGGACAGGGTTTACTCTTTCAATATTTCAAACTTACATTATCTTAACAAAAAATTGAGAAACCGAACGTGGAAAAATTTGGTCTATTGATACACTGACGTTGAGCGTTGATTCTAATTCCAGGGCTGTATATGACAGCGCTGTGTGGTACTACAACCATCTGGCCGGACAGAAACCGATCGTTTTTCTGACTCAAGGTGAAGATGTGAGTGTTGAGTAAGACTTCATTTATAGATGCACACGACATTTCAACCGTTAACGTCCAAGCAAAGGCCATGAGTAATTGGGCATGAGATAGCCTGGGCATTGCTTCCATTGCCGCATGCTCACATATACTGTGCATGCTTAAAAACTGCCCAGGCTTGGGGAGAAATATTTGGCTGTTCTCAGCCAATGAAAACTCCCAAATATATAACTGGCATTATGCCAAGAAAGTAATTGCCTAACTATGCTTATGCCATTTATTTGTTTGCACACTCAAAACTTTGGAGGTGAAAGTTACTGAACGAAAAATGAAAACAAATTCAATTATTTGGTTAGAGAATTTCATATACATTCTAAAAGCGTAGCTCATGGTATTATGATAGCTTAATGATATGCCAACAGTTATGCCCCAAAATTGTTATCTGTCACAGTTTTCTTTACATTTTGTAAAAATGTGTATTTTGTTTCTGCTTTTAGGGCAATTTGGTACAACCGAATTATCAAATATTTGGTTAGATGGAAGGTTGAATATTTGAATATTCAACATTATTTATAGCCTATTCATTTAATTGTATTTGTTTAGGCCGTGGTCAAATATGGAAGTGAGACCGTTGGTGTCCATGTCATGAATATTCAGAAGTACTTGGAGGTCTTCTGGCCCGATCTCACCCAGGCCCACGACATCTATGAGTCACTGGCCGCATCGTTGGCTGACAGCAGGGAAAACAAGAAAGGTGGATAATCCCAGGCCTGGTCAAACCCCAGTCTTCCTATATCCCTCAAACTCCAAGAGATTTGGATGGTTTTGTAGGATGGCAGAGCCCTCACATTGTTACTTGACACAGAGGCTTGATGCCCCTTGAAAGATTAATTACAAAGAATGTGCCAATTTTTTCCTGTAGAATGGATAATTTTGGAAAATTAAAGAAGTGTCCTGATCAAAAGTCATAAATTAGAGGTTCACACATTAATAGGTAAGGCGTTGATTGCTGATAATGGACAAAATAACGAGCAAATTCCCAATCAACTTTGACACCAAGATCGGGCATTGTTCCTTGATCTAATTGTGGGGTACCGTAAACAAATTGGAAGGGGACAGATATGACACATACATTGCATAGAACTTAAGTTCACGGCTTTGCACTTATAAGATCAAGGGTAGCCTCTTAACCACTTCCTGATTGGTGGAATTTGCATATGTGGGATGAGTTCCCGGGCAATTTTCAAGATTTTCCGTTTTCAAAATTCTTCAAAACTTCATAACTTCATGTACTGGTCGTTTACACCAACACAAATGACTGTCTGGTGGCTACCCTAATCAGACAGGCACCTCCATTAACGCCCCAGTATTGCAGCCAGGCCTGCTGCCCGCTAAAGAGAGCCCAGATTATGCATTGTTGTGTTCCCGATATTGACCCAGTGCGTTGCCGACTGGCAGTGGTGTCTTTTCAAATGTGGCCAGATTAGCGTGCAGTGGTACTGTATCGCTCATCACTGGAGTGTTGGACTTATGTCCCCACTGATAATCCGCGGGTGCTGAATGCCGCAACCAGTGGTATACTGTTTCAAAACAATGACGGATTACTTCTGCTAATGCCAACTGAAAAATGGTGGCAACTCCCAGCAGCTGGTCTTTTGTTCCGAGTACGGTCTTTTGTTAAAGGTCTAGCTCCTTTGTCCGATTTCAGGCATCCCGGCTATGCGTACAAACCTAAGGTACCCAGTACCGGGAACCCCGGAGGCAAGTGGTTAAACAGTGCATTTGCTCATAACTAGCTTCTAGACTCCTCACCCGGCAACTGCTGTGATATTTGAATCAGTTAACAGTGCCGTACTAACAGCCTTTCATGAAACTAGAAACAGGATGTGTAATGGACTTTCAAAACCTGTCATCATTTGTAATCACTCGATGCAGAAGCTACATTATATGTGACGGGCTCTGCAAAAAGGTGTATTATGTCACAGTTTTTGGATTTCAAGTTATATCAAATTGAGTTATTATTATCCAATTGCGCACATCCTAAGCTTTCATATGATATATAATTCATCCCTGTGGCATTTTTTATTTTGGAGTTATTTTCTATTTGCATATTTATATAATTTCATTTTGTCACACATGCTTTTGAGATAATACCTTTAAACGTAACGAACAGAAACATTGAACTTAAATTAGACTCTCTCTTGGTTTTCCTCGGCACATGGAATGGGCCATTACGCGTTTTTGCATTGCACGACTTAATACACCTATTTGCGGAGAGGTCACGTATACATGAGTTTTAGCAAAAGAAATACGACATGAATTATTCCAGGGAAGTTCCTGAAGTTAATACCAGTCTCAAACAAAATTCCTTTTTCTAATTTTTCTCTAGGAAGTTCTAAGGAGTACACGGATTACCTACCAAGCGATGTCCTAGCCGCTGGGATCAAGTCTGGATTGTACATAGAGGGAACTTTGAGGGTCAACAAATACCACGCAGAGAAGGAGGCCTTTGTCGCCCGAGGAAGGCAAGGCTACATCCGAATCTGTTGTCTAGAGCTAGGTCGAGGTGCTCTCTCCACTGTAAATACGCGGAGACGCACAGACAGCTGACCTAGCCGTAGCTCTGGAAACCCATTTCAGACACGGCTTCTGATTCATCCACACAAAAGCTCACCAGCGGCAGATTTTGCAAAAGCAAATGTCACCAAAATGTTTTTTTGATGACCATTCATTAGCATTTGCCCACTGTGCGATACTCTCACCTGAGCTCACATGGTTGTCTGCGGGTTCTCTTTAGTCATTCTGCTCACATCATAGGTTCTGCTCTGTGGGAACTTGTGGCGGAATTCAAAACCTCTGGGGAAGACAGTGTTAATCCTGTCAATACGTGCCTCGCATCTTAAGATTTATTTGTTTTCATTTTGCACAACAGCGGAAGCAAAGGTATCAACTTGGACTCGGACATCTTGATATCCGGAAGGAAGAACAGGTTGGTAACAAGAGATCCTAGGACCCCCCCAATGAGCATATTCAGAGATCCAGGCAAAAAAGATATTGTCCGCTGCATCGCAGGATGACATGTTTTAAGACTACATGTGATACAAGGCTTCGCAGTGTGACCAATAAAATCCTTGACCCTCCCGTCTAATATTCAGAGCAGTGGAGGTAGCCCACCCGTCCATGGAAGATGGATGTGGTTCCTGGCAATCGGCTTCCCTCAGCACACCTACACCAACTATCAAACACTAGAAGGGTGTTAAAATGGCTACCTCTGAGTTATTTATTGAGATTTCTAGCCTCCCATCTTAGTGGACGAGGTTTTCGGAATTCAGGAGTATACATCACACAGACACCCTCCCTCAATTCTTTGACCACAGGAGCAAGCGGGAGAAGATTGTGCACAAACTTCAGAAAAGTCAGTGATCAAGAACCAGATAATTGTTTTTTCATACAGGAATCGTGCCATACATGGTGACCAAGTTGCCGTCGAGCTGCTGCCCAGATCACAGTGGGTGGGTCAAATCAACTCCCTATCTTCAACTGGTGAGCACTTTCTTGTCTCCGAAGTAGGTCAGTTGTAAGTATGACACAGCAAGTCAGTTCCTGGCCAAGCATTGGTTTCTGTCACTAGTCGGCAAAAAGGGCAACTTCCACGGAACAAAAGAAAGAAATTATGGACACCTTCAGAGAAGTGTTAACTTTCTCGCTGATTTTAGAGACTGAAGTCAGCTCCAGATCTCGCCACAGGCTCGTTAAGATAAAAACTTTGGCCAACCCGATCAGACTCCGGCCAGATGAAAAGCTAACTCAAATCGAAAACGCTGGGCTTTGACAAGGATATTTAATAACACTTTGATGCCATAGATGATCCAGAAGATGCGTCAGACACAGACCAGAGCAACGTCAAACCCACCGGTCGAATCGTCGGCGTGCTGCAGAGGCATTGGAGGGACTACGTGGCGTCCTTCCCAGACAAACAACAGGTACGTATGCACTAGGAGCTGGTCACAAGACGTCAAAGATCTCACTGCTGGCTGATAAGGATAAGAGCAATCAGGAACGGCACACCGGAGAGCGTTCACTTCAAGGTGTATGCAAGCTCCAGGTTTCATAACACAGGCTAGACTCAGCACCAACAGCTCGTGAACAGCAGTTAACAGTTCGCAGGAACAGCAATTGTTGATGGTGTACGGCTTATACAGTTGTCTGTGTCACTTATGCCAGTCAGGCAAAGATGCCCCCTTTTATAGGAAAATAAGAATGGATTTGAGACTTTCATCCCTCAAAATATGGCAGCCGCAAAGTTGGCAGCCACACGGTAGCACGCTGAACAGCGCCCTCTAGAATGCACAATGTATGTTTATTTTCCAACAAGTATACCACTGTTTGTGGCATTCATTGCCAGCGGATTATCAGCGGGGACAAAAGTGCTCCAGCGATGAGCGATACAGTACCCCTGCAAGCTGATCTGGCCGCATTTGAAAAGACACCACTGCCATTCAGCAACGCACTGGGTCAATTTTGGGAACAAAGGAAATTACCCAACACCGCACAATCTAGGCTCTCTTTACTGGGTGACAGGCCTGGCTGAAATAATTGGGCGTCAATGGAGGTTGCCTGTCAGATTCAAGTAGCCACCAGACAGTCATTTTTGTGGGTGTAAACGTCTGGTATTTGAAGTCGTGAATTTTTGAAAAATTTTGAAAACGCAAAATCTTGAAAATCCCCCAGGAACTCATCCTGCACATGTAAATTCCACCCGGCAGGAATTAGTTCATCTTGGCACCTCCTGATTTGGATTGTGAATTTCAGTCGCCAAGAATTGACCCTTTGGCATAGCTCCATTTGTTTCTACAGAAGCATTATTTGTCTACTGTGAACCCAAAGGTCAGAGTTCAAAGTTTAGAGCATTCATAGGTTAGTTCCACCAGCAAGTGGTGAATATAGAAAACTGCGGAGTATCTGCCCAATTTTGGGCCGTACCTGTGGCGCGGGGTTAAGCTATAGGGCGTCCCACTGCACTTTTTTACTTTCCCCAGGGCCAGGGTTCGGGAGCAGGGAAGGTCCTTGTCATTCCCTGGGATCAGCGCTTCCCAAAGATACGCATCAGCACCAGACAAGCGGAAGCACTACGAGATCACAGGTTGATGTGGTGGTTTTCATTCTTTTATTTTCCTGATCACTTTATTCATGACCGAACCTTACCAAATTAAGTCGCAAGATGCCAGACTTACTCTTGAGTGAAAGGTCTGAAGAGAATTACAGCACATCACATGGAATTCTCGACAGTTTTCGCTGATACAATGTTCCTTTTCATCAGTACGCAAAGCCAAGGGAAACATCCACATGAAGAACTCACTTTTTCCTTTCTGAGCAAACTGAAACTGCATTTCCATAAAAATTTACCTACCCAAAAGTTTTCAACTTTTTTATTTTATTGAATACCAGTATTATTTGTTATTTCATGGAAAATTTGTTTGCCTCACTCCCTTGAAAAAAAAATCAAGTCATGGAGACAACAAAATATCCCTTAAAATAAAAATTATAATTGTTTTTAAGAAAAACAATGCACAGTGTTTTGTTTATGTTACAGGATCATTGTACGACTTGACTCGTGGGAGATGGCCTCACTGTATCCCAGTGGTCACTTTGTGCGGTCACTCGGACCAATTGGCAGCCTTGAGACGGAGATTGCCGCCATCTTGGTAGAGAACCGCATCTCTGTCGGGGCGTTCACAGAGGCACAGGTACGATGGAGAGGGGAAATGGTAGGGCTGTGCATTCTTGGGTAGTTTGGCAACCGGCTACCCGACAGATATCAAGGGCTGAGTGTCTGGTTATCCAGTAGAGTCCAAAATGATGGAGATGTCAGATCAAGCGACTTTGCCTTGCTGCAACTTGTTGGCATTTGCGTTCTAGTCAGAGGGCGCTTTTTATTATCTTCAGTAGAATTTCAAGTGAAAACGCAAGTTTCCAAAAAGAAACAGCAACCAAATATAGCTGGAAGTTACCACTCTCAAAGTAAGATGTCCTGAGATCATTTAACCAACTTTTTTCAGTAGCAGAACAAAGCACACATACATCTAGAAACCGTATTAACTACTTGCCGCCGGGGACTCCGGTTTCGGGCCCTGTGTGTTTATACGTGTGGCCAGGGTCTCCGAAATCGGATAAAGGGAACTGGGCCTTGTAACAGAGGACCGTACCTGGTAGAAAAGACCAGGCTGCTTGGCATTTCCGATTTTTTTTCACTCTCAATAGATGGATTTCACATTTGCGCCGCTGGGCATATCCGCATTGAAACTGAGCCTCTCTGTGTTGAACTTTGTCGCGCGTGCCCACGGAGTCGACACAGTACATGCAGTATCCGGTTCGTAAGTGTGACACCACTTCAGTTTAAACCACACCCACTGCACAAGATACACGACCGTCGCAGGTATGTTAGTTCGCGGTCAATTGCCATTATGTTATTTTGATTTCACGTGTCCATTCATCCTGAAAGACTCCTCCCCAAAAAATTTGCAGCCTGAAAAGTCTGAATTTAACACACCTTTATGTATTTTGTGTCTTGACTCCTTACTTTCAATCGTCTGATCGAATTAAGAATTGAAGCTGACACATACAGCCTCGTTTTCAAACGCGGAAGTGCGCAGATCGCAGATGGGATCCCTCTATAGTGGTGATAATCCAGCCTTGTTTTGAAACAGTATACCAGGGTTTGGGGCATTTAGTGCGAGCTGATTACCACCGGGGACAAAAGCGCTCCACCGCCACAGGTATGACCCACACAGCACCGCCGCAGGCTAATCTGGCCCTTATTTAAAAATAGGTCAGCAGCGCACTGTGCCAGGTTCGTGAACACAAGAAACTTACATAACACTGCACAATCTGGGCTCTTTTTACAAGGCTGCAGGCCTGGCTGAAATACTCGGGCGTCAATAGATTTTGTCTGTCAGACTAGAGTTGGCCACCAGACAGTAATTCGTGTGGGTGTAAACGTCCATTAACCACTTCATGCCGGGGCATTTTTCAATGTTGATGATGCTGGGCCGGCATGACTATAATTTTTTTTTTTTTTCAAAATCCTTCACAAATTCATCATTTCATTTAACGGTCGTCGAAGTAATCTTTAGGCACTACTCTAAGTTGACAGGTGACCTTCATTGACGCCCGAGTATTTCAGCCAGGCCTGCAGCCTTGTAAACAGAGCCCAGATTATGCGGTGTTGTATAACTGTCTTTTGCTCAGTGCACTGCTGACCTCTTTTCAATAGGGGCCAGATTAGCGTGCAGCGGTGCTGTGTGGCTCATCGCTGCGGTGGTGGAGCCCTTTTGTCCCCGGTGGTAATCCGCTCGCCCTCAATGCCCCAAACCCTGGTATACGGTTTCAAAACAAGGCTGGATTATCACCACTTCTGAGAGTGAAAAATGTCGGTCAGGCCCAGCAGCCTGGTCTTTTGTTTGGAGTACGGTCTTTTGTTACAGGGCCCTGTTTCCTTTGTCGGAGTTCGGAGACCCCGGCCACACATATAAACCATATGCCTCTGATTCCGGAGTCCCTGGCAGGAAGTGGTTAAAAACCTCTGTAGTGCCCTCTGTTGACTTTCTTGAAGACAACACTTTTTACCTCTATAAATGTTCATTTTCATGAGAATGGCAAACTACGTGATACATTTACATTAAAACCGAGAGCTCAGTGTTCTAATACAAACTAAAACAAAATTATGGGGGAAAAAATGGCATGGAGGCTCCATTTGTGGGACGTGGTCACATTTACGAGTGTTATCTTGTCAGTTGAAAGAGTTACCTACCAATTCTGAGGACAACCCCTGGATGATGACGGATGAGGAAATTAAGCAGAGACGAGACCTCCGGGAGACTCATCTGATCTTCAGCGTCGATCCAAAAGGCTGTGAAGACGTCGACGATACTTTGTCTGTAAGGTAGGGCCAGGCGGACAAAGCAGCAGATACAGAGATATACACACATCTTTCCTGATGTGTCCTCTAGAGAGTGAAAAAGCATGTGTCCCACATCACAGCAGTCGACAGGTACATGCATTGTATACATCATCATCCTGAATAAATCCACGTCATCTGATTCATGGATCCTAGATCAGAGTGTCATGAACTATTCGTTCCAGTGCACGGCACAGCTACACCTCCAAAAGTGGAATGTTCCATTCCACAGGTTGGATTAATCAATGTTCAATTCTCCTGTGTCATAAGAAACGTCAGAACTTCAGGTGCTGAAGGGATTCATTTAGGCCAGGGATTTTGGGGTCAGGACTTGATTGGATGATGCGGGATTATTTTGTGTGAGATTTATTCCCGCATTATATTATGCAGACAATTAATATTTTACTTTCGCAGAGTGGAAAGAATCGTTTCATCAGGTAGCAGATGAAATGTTCTGATTCATAAGTCACTGATATGAATTGGCTAACCATGAAAAGTCAGACAGGAATTTAAACTTCTCAATTGGGACTTGCTTGTATCTCTGTGAAACTGGGGATCACACTGACTTTTTGGCGAGTGGAGATGCCTGTCTTTAATATTACATGCAGAGCTGGATTAATATCTCTTAAATGTTGTGTGTGACAGGGAACTAAAGAACGGTAAAGTTCTGGAACTTGGAGTTCACATTGCCGATGTCTCACACTTTGTCCAGCCCAACTCGCTCACGGATCTTGAGGCCAAGCAGAGGTAACATATCTTTTGCTTTCCCCACATTGTAACGTGCGACTCACCCTTCCCAAAACAAGCTTAAATTGGCGATTTCTGATGTCTGACAATTTTCAAAGGTAACTCCACCCCCCCACACAAAAAAAATAAAGCGACAATAAAGTCAAAATGGAATTTGCACTTGGTTGTTAAAACACAGATCAGCGACAGTGTACCTGGCCGACCGATGTTACAACATGCTGCCCTCTATCCTGAGTGCCGACCTCTGCTCTCTGATTGGCGGAGTGGACCGCTACGCCGTGAGCGTAATGTGGCAGCTGGACCCCCAAACCTACGAAGTCCGCCAAGTCTGGTACGGGCGTACCGTCATCCGCTCCTCCCACAAGATGTTCTACGAGGTCCGTTGTTGAAAGTGTTATTACTAAGCATCAGAGAAGGCCAGTCATAACTGGCAGCCACTCGCCTGATGGTATTAACAATTTTGGACTTTTGATGTCAGTGTACAACCAGACGTCACAAATACCAATTCACAGAAGTCATAAGAACAATATTTGTGCAGTTTTTGTCCTGCAGCCTCACATTTTTCAACATTCTGGGGCACATCCACAGACCGATGTGATATTTGCCTTCATGCACTGAACTTTGAGGTGAAATACACGTGCATGAAGACGTACCAATTCCAAAACCCTGCCAGCTCCAAAAGTGCAGCTTGGTGTGACGCCGAGTCCGCCCACCAAACCGGCACGTAAATCACTGCAGGGAAGCAACCAAAAAAAAAAAAGATGACCGCAGCGCACATAAAGCCAAATTACAGACAGACACAAAACATTTACAGTGAAAAGTAAAGCAGACATCTTGGACTGATGGCCATTTTGTATATGAACATTTCGTCTGTGGTACTTCTGTATGTGCAGCACAAGATGAAAGTACTTTGCATCTGCTATTTGCCAAGCTCAAGTTCAACACATTATTTTCCATGTTTTGGACAGACTAATTGGGATTAAAATTTTTAAATGTCAGCGGGAGATGAGTCGAGTTTTACACTTTCCCAGAAGAGGGATTCTACCCAAGCGATAATAAGATAATTTGATTTACTGAACAAGCCTTTTTGTTTGCCTTGAGGCTGCACAAGCATTGCATGATGGGAAAGATGTGAGGCAGGACATACCAGAATTGGCAGGAATGAACGAGGACGAAGTGGAGACACGGTGAGTTAACTTTTGAAGATAACAATCACGATAACAGTAACCAGCACTTGAAATGCTCATTTTAGTAACTAAATCACATCGTTTACAAATAAAAGGGTTTTCCTCAAATTAAGAATAGAATTGCAATGTCTTTTTTTTTCCAAGTATCAGACTCGTCAAACCCTTTTATTATATTTTTCAGTAGCTGAGACAAATTTTGCACGTTTACCAGCCAAAATGACTGGTTCTCACATGACCTCACTTTTACTCACGTGACTTTGCTTCTAATCTAGGGTCACAGTGGTAAAGATGTCCATAAGCCAGATAAATTACAACATTTGTCTGTCAATTTAGGAAGTGTATAAGTGCCAGACGGAATAGCCTGAGTAAATTTTCGATGATTCCTATTCAGGTAGGTGTGCCTTTGGACTTTTGTACTGTTTTCCAGAAGCGTCAACAGGCACAATGTTCAAGGGTAATGATATTTACAAATATGAAGTAGATTGATGTCATTTTTTGTCGGTATGAAGTTTGCCTTCCGTGTAATTTTTTTTTTTTCTTTTTTTACATTTTGAATGGAAGGCTTGGAGTGGGGCTTTTATTTTTTAGTTTGTCAGAATTGCGCTGGTGCATCGACAAGCTAATGGACATCGCCAGAACCCTGAAGGCGCGGAGGGTGGTGGGTGGGGCAGTGCAGTTGGAAAGGGTGGAAGTCAAAGTTGAGCTGAACGAGGAGCAAGAAATTGAGGATCTCATTCCCAAACAGGTACGGCAGCGAAATCGGTGAAGTTAGCAGCGTGCTGCGTCAGCAAAACGTGTGACACAAGAGTCATTACTTGATATACAGAAAGTGTGCTAAGTTCTCACCCCAGTGAGCGAAGTAAACAGGAATAAAAAGTGGTACAGTTAGATCAAGCCTGAAGAGTAAGGTGACTGAGACTGAGATGTTGAACATTTCAACAGTCTTTCCGACACAAGTGTACTGTTAACGGCTAGTTCATACTTGGTGCGAAAGCAAACACGAAATGCAAACTTGTGACATCAGATCAGATATCAGCAAAAACGGAACATACTTGAACATGAGCAAAATTTTGCTCTAAATCTTTCGTGACATCAAATTTCACATTCTTCTGTAGTATGAACCACCCTTGAGACATGGCGGAAATGTGCCGAGCTATTTGGGACCCGCCCCGTTTTTCTAATAAAGCCGTGCACCCCTTGCACCATTTTTAATTTAATTTTTAATCAGGCTATGGAGATCCATGAGACCATTGCGGAGTGCATGATCTTTGCCAATCACTGGGTCGCCAAGAAGATATCGGAGACGTTCCCAAACTTTGCACTGGTCAGTATAGAAAGAAGCCGTCCTCGATGATGCCAGATTCTTTGAATGCCGGAGTGTTTAGCTTTGTCTGTGGTCCTGGAACCATTTGGAGGACATTAACAGTCCAGAGTATTACCACATGTGGGCAAAGTGACCTTTTCTTACTGATACAGCAATTTTTGTCCAACTTCAACTTTAAATGTCTCAAATTGGCAACAACAAATTTTAAATCCCATTGGTACAAACATGTCTTAGAACTGTTAGATTTGGTCTGTAGTCGGGTTTTTTGCACAGCCAATGAAATTTTTGCTATTGAAATTTTTCTTAAGTGTTTTTGTTGCATATGCTGCAAGGTTTGAGAAAAGCGCCCCATAACATAGAAACACCTGACAATCCATTGCAGGCTGCTAGAACAAGCCTTGTGATTGGTCAGATTGCATGAGATTTGCGACATAATTGGCCGTCCAAAGATGGTAATACTTCAGACTGGCTATGCTTGAGCCACATAAAGAAATTTCCTCCTTTGGCTATTTTGGTTTGATTGACGTGGAGATCAGTCAGTCCACAAGTCATTTCACAAGTCAGTCCATGGACCAGTCTGCAACTCTTTCAAAAGTCAGTCCACAAGTCCTCAAATCAGTCCCCAAGTCATTTTACAAGCGAGTCTACAAGTCGGTCCATAAGGCAGTCTCAAGTCAGTTCACAAGTCAGTCTCAAGGCAGTTCACAAGTCTGTCGACGAGTCAGTCCAGAAGTCATTCGCAAGTCATTCACAAGTAAGTTCACATGGTGGTCCATATTAGTCAGTTTGCTAGTCATTTCATAAATCACGACTGAAGAAATGAACAGTGACAAAGGAATGGATGTGTCACAATTCATTTCAAATTCATTAAAATAGCTTGTAAGTTGGCTCAGTACTGAATGACTGGTTTGCAACCCCAGTTTGATGTTTATGTAGGCAAAAATTGCCCGAAATTCGGGTTTAATCTGCAATTAATCTCAGTTAATACGGTTTTGGTCAATTGAACAGCCCATTTGTTTCCATGCACTAAGTTTCACATAAAGTTTAATCAACAATGACAAACAAGCAGGTGGTCTGTCTTGAAATCCTCAGAGGGAACTATTGTGATTGTAAAGTGTAAGCCATTGGTTCCTTTCGGAAAAAAATTGTGTGCCTGGAATGTTTGAAATTTTTGAGTTGACATATTTTCAGCCATTCCCTTGCACCTTTCTTTGAATAATCAAACAGAAATATGTAAGCGAATAGTCAATATGTTGGCTAACAATTTGAGTGACCACATAATTTTTATGGCCCTGAGCTTGAAGCTGAAGACATATAGAGCTGTGGTTTGAGACATAGGCCAATATGTCAGTGACCAAAACTGGAGTTGAACTTTGCCCCTCAGTGCAAATGTTTTGCCGGTTTGTAATTGTTTACTCAGCTGAGGCGTCACCCATTGCCTAGGCAGGACCAGTTCCATTATCTCATCGACAGCGCCAAGGTGAAGGGCTTCACCATCGACACCAGGTGAGCGCGTCATGACAAGAAGCACAGGCCACTTAGCGCATTAACCGCTGGCTAATGGATTGTGCATGGTAATGGGTATCTACTGGAATACGCCACAAGCAGACTGGTGGTATTAATGAATGGGATTTGGACTGTCGAGAGAGTGCACTGGCAATAGTTTTAAGTCTCAGAAATAAACCCCCCGGCAGATTGGAGAACAGATCTTTTGTCGTGATTATGTTCAATTTCACACATACTGTTATAAGACAAAAATAAATATGTTATAATCCCCAAAGATACCTGGACCGCCAAGGCATGAGTTATCCCCTGCTGCTGCAGTTATCTCATAGTGAAAAGTACAATCAAACGGTCACGTCCATGCCTCGTCAACAAATTATCTCGTAGGTGTTGGTTTTGTATCAAAACCACTCGGCAACGGATGTATCAAGGCTTTGACCCCAAAAGAATGTGGGCACACGTGTACTTCGCTCGGCAAAGAAGGCACTCTGAACATGTATCATTGGCAGCTGCTCTGCCGATTTACGTTCGGCAGCCATGAACCTGTCAACAGATATACTGAAAGCATAACAAAGCCGCTTGTGCCAAGCACATTTTTTTTTTCGCTTGGCAGATTTCTGTTCCATTGCGAAACAGACCTCAAGCAAGAGGCTTGTTTGAATCAACCAATCGTTGAACGAGCTTTTTTTTCTCCAGTTCCAACAAGGCCCTTGCAGATTCGCTTGGCAAGTGCGTTGACCTCAAGGATCCCATCTGCAACAAGATTCTGCGTTCCCTGGCGATCAAGGCCATGTCCAAAGCACTGTACTTCTCAACCGGTAGCCTGCCAATGGATCAGTTCTTCCATTACGGTATACTCGAGCCACCCAGCACTTCTAACTGTAAAAACCTGTCTCCATTGTCAAATAGTTGAACAGTCAAGTTGTCTAATAAGGCCGGGTTTTTATTTGGCGCATAAGTAACATGATTATCAAATCAAATAGAATTATTGGCATATTTACAACTGTTCAGTGCATCTCAACTTCAACAACTTTTGCTCCAAATGTGTCATGGCCTTTCGTGAAGTATGAACGCCTTGGAGCATTGAGTTGTGAATTTTGACTTTGTTGATAATATTGTCAAATTGTGAAGACCTTAACTTGAGAAAGTATCAACACTGTGATAACAAAATACGGTTACTAACAACAGATTTTAAGAATCCCAATTCAAACGTTTTTCTTTTTTTTTCTTTTCCTCTTACAACAAAGTTCTGGTTGTAACAAAGTACTTTGTCTGGTCCAAGTAAATTTGTTATGATGAGAGTCGACTGCATGTCAACCATGGTAATTGAGGTTAAGTTTCTGAAGTTGCCGATATCTGATTTTTGCAAAACTGCCCTTATATTATGATTTCACTGTAGGTCTGGCTCTGGACAGATACACACATTTCACATCACCAATCAGAAGACATGCTGATATTATCGTAAGTATAGCAACGTTGCCCGCTTCTTTTATAATGTCAATGTTTTAGTTAGTTAATCTGGAAAGTGTTGCTGATAAAATTACAGAAAAAGAAATCTGATCAAAACTGGAACTAAGTTGGTTTGGTACTTTCCAGTTGTCATTCTGTAAGAGCTGATATTCTGCATGGACTATGGAAAAATGAACAATCACACGACGTAAAACAAAACAGATTAAAAAACAAGTTAGAGAATAACAAATTTTAGTAGTAGCTGCAGATAGGGTCGGATAATAGACCTTGGTTTAGCATTAACTCAAAGCTATTTCATATCTGATAGTCTTAATTCTTTCAGGGATTCCAAATGATACCCTTTTTTTACTGGCGCGTCGTGCATGGTGGACTATGAATGTTGATGCTTTCGTAGAGTGAGGAAAATTCTTTCAATTACTGACAATTCCTTACCCATTCCATTCAGGTGCATCGTCTGTTGATAGCCGCCATTTCAAAGGATCACGATGGTGGGCAAGGGCTTCCTGGCAACAGCGAACTTGAGGAGTTGTGCGGTCACATTAATGACAGACACAGGGTACGACGTTCTGATTTTAAAACCTGCCCTTTGAGGCCAAAGGGTACAATAATCAACTTTCATTGCTTGTTTAAGCCCCATCACATCGTAACGAACATTCCGCCCTCAGCGCCAAATCGTTCATTTTGTCAGGTGGAAGTCACTAGAGTATAGAAAACAGGTCAGTATGTGGAAATCTGTTGTTCTCTCAGGCCACATTTTCATAATGGAGAAAAGAACCAACATAAAAATATTGTACATGTAGTCCATTCTTAGGAATATTTTCCTCTCGGTCAGTGTTCAACAATGCTATGAGTCCTCTATTTTGAAACTCTCTTACACACTGTGTGCATTGATACTGCCAGTGTGGCTTCTTGGCAATATTAGACTTGGATGTCTGGTTTCAGGTTTTTAGTATTCCTTTCACATGTACAGTGGACTCTAAGCTTAGATGGCTTCAGTTTCAATTAATCCACAATCCTTGGTACTAACTCGTTTTTATGTAAAATTCATAAGTTGGATTCCAATGTCTGTACCTTCTGTAAAAATGAAGAGGAAACCCTTATCCACCTTTTTTTGCAATTTTAATGAAGTCAATTCTTTCTGGATCTCAATGGTAGATCGGATTAAGGACAAAACGAAGATACACCTTGTAATAGACAATCAACTTTTATTGTTCGGTGTTGTTGACACTAGACTTAAATGCCTTAATCTTATCCTTTTGGTTGACAGATTTCACATTGATAAAAGGAAAATGAACAGCAAACGTCCCTCATTGGAGGTTTTGAAAAAGGATACCCAGAGGCATTATCGTTGTGGAAAATATTTGGCCTCTGTCCATGGTGCTTGCCAAAACCTTTGGTTGAAATGGCGAAATTACTCTACACTCTGTCAAGTCTAATTCAAACAATTGCAGTTTGGCACAAAAAGTATCATGATCTCTTATAACTGTACTAATTGCTATCGAGTTTGTGTTGATAAAGAGAGAAATAAAAAGGTGTCTCTGGGAAAAAAACCGGTAAAAAGCCCCACTAGTTAACCTCATCCTTAGAAACACTATAAAAAGTTACACAAAGTATTCTCAATTTTTTTTTATCCCTCGCCAACAAAAATTTACCCTTCTTTCCCAAAAATGTAGTTCTGGATCTGCCCTTTTCTGGATCACAGATGATACTAAAAATGGCAGCAGGTTAAAAACTATCTGTTACTTGGTCGGTCTGTCTATGATACTAGGGAGAGGGATATGTTTTGTCAACCCAAAATTCACCAATGATATCAAAAGGGTCCAACACAAGTGCAAATCAAGGCATCCTTGTTTTAGGAAATTGGATTCTGATTTGGTTGATTGCAGGATTCCCAGCTCGCCCAGCAGGACTCTCAGGCTCTATTCCAAGTGTTGTTCTTCAAGGACAGGGACCCGACAACAGACGAGTGCTGCACAGTGGATGCTGTTATCCACGGTCTGAGAGCCAACGGTTTTCTCATCTTCATCCCAAGGTAGAAGAGCAAACTCCACCCAGAATGTTCTTGACCCAAGCGGGGTCGTAGTTTGTCCAGTTTTTGTCCGTTGCTTATTAGGAATTTAAGCATTCAAAAATTGTTGTACGTTTTCCCTCTGATTTTTGTCCCAAGGTATGAAATAAAAGGAGCAATTTCGCTGAAAGACAGAGAAGGTCGAGTGTGCGACCTCTCAGAAGACGGCAGGCCATCGTGGACAGCAGGTAAGCTACTGACTTGTTTTGGGATGCCTTAGCGATTCCGACTTTTGCTGGTTTGGGCAAACAATACACACCTTTCTTCTGAACCGATGTAAAACATATATCAGTTGTTTGCCGTGGTCATGTTGCCCATGACAGTTTGTATACCCCGTGGGCATACTTCCCAAGGGGAAGACTAGGGTGCCATTTGCTGCAAAGGTGTTTTAAAAACCCATGGACCACACATCACAACAAATTATTTGTTATTATGTTGGTGTTACATTTTTAACAAAGTTTTTTTGTTAAATTTTGAGCCTATGAGAAGTAAGTTATTAAAAAAATTAAAGGAATAATTTGGGGAATTACAGATTCTTTTGTGCCTAAAAGTTGTGATGATATCTCTTGTGATAAATAGCTACTTGGCGCCATCTTTTTAAAAAAAAATAACATCCCATTTTATTTTTCATCCAGGCTCATTGACAAGAACTTCTTATGGGATCACCGTGACAACAGCCACCAGCCAATCAACATTCAAGCTCTTTGATCATGTGACAGTATGTTCCATCCCTCATTATTTCTTGCATTTGAAAGTTACAACGTATTTCCACTTGAGTTGTAAAAATGATAGGATATTGTACAAACCAAATAAATACTGTATTCTGTTGTTTCTAGCAAGATAACCAACCAAGATGGTTAGTGAGTGAAGATTAAAGTAAAAAAAAAACCTTGATCAATTAACAAACTTGAACAAATTGATCAGTTGTCTTGCCTCTTTGCAAAGACATGACACGGTTTTTCCGTCACTCCAGGTTCGTATCTCGGTGCTGTCCTCGAGATCCCACGGATGGTCTCTTCAGTTTGAGCTGATTTCCAACCGTCCGCATCTAGCCAGCCAGCTGACCGAACAAGGCCAAGGACTGCGTACGGACATCATAAAGGTAAGTTTTCCTGCTCTGGTAGATTTTCTGTCAGTGTGCATTTTGTGTGTATTGAAGCCCTTCATTGAATCAAACACATCAACTGGAGACTGGCTGTTTGTGTTCAAGTCTTTCTCATCCATTGTCAGTGTCATTCAGTGTATAGTTAGTCCCACAAAGTGTTCAACTTAGCAGTAAAATCATTTTTTTGGAAAAGTCGGCATCTGAAATAGATATAGGATTGGTTAAAAAAAATTCATCAAATCATCCACCACTCATTCTCAGTTCAGTACAGTGAAATCATTTCTGGCAACAACTCTTGGGTGAGATTGTGCTTTTAAATCAAATCACTCTAAGTTCAAAAACTTCCAGACAGTGGTGTTTACGAACATTTTCTGGCAATATGGCAATAGATGTCACAATTGTTTTCTGTTTCATTTTATTATCCATGTAATCGTTCGTACTTAGCAGTTTCCCCAATTTTGCCTCAAGGACTTGAAGACAGCCATGCACCCCTTCTTTGCTTAAATTTTTTGACTATACATCGGGGAAAAGGCAACATTGCCAAAAAATTAACCCTTCCCCCAAGGGTGTCAAAAAATTCTACAGAATCATTGTAGGCACGAATTTCAATTCTGATGTAAGGATTCTGTCTGGATTTTGTGGGGGGAAATTAAGTGTCCACCTAATCGAAATATCCAATTCAGATACATCATAATTTCATGGCCTGTTTATTTTTCTTTCTGTATCGTCAGGAGGTCACTGGTGCATCTAAGAAGCAGCGTGAGACATCGTTGAGTAGCCTAGATGAGGACGTGGACGTCATGGGTCGTAGCTTAGCTCAGCTCAGGCTGGAGTATGGTCAGACAGACAGTGCCAAGAGCCAGTACCACCTGCTGCAAGAGTTTGTCGAGATGGGCCTACAGGAGAGTTACAGTGAGCTGGGCTGACCAGCAGAAGAACCTCCTACATCTCCTCCAGTTTAGCCTTCTAGAGTTTTGGGATCAGAGACATTGGAAGTCAGGCAGGGGTAGTGGTTCTTTCCTCGCCTTTCAGCTTGGCAGCCTGGGGTCGATTCTAGGCTTGTTCCACGTGCGGCTTGGGTTTTCGGTCCCTACCTGATTCCGTGGGTTTCTGCCCAGACGATTCCTCTTGGGTTTTCTTCCCACCTCCAAAGCTGTAACTGCTTCTCATTGTCTCCTCTCTGTTGGTTTCTTCAGGTTGCGAGCCACAGTGCCTAGGGCACTTTTGAGGAATCCTTGGTGTCACTACAAGAAATGCTTGGTGATAATGATGTCCTTTGATGGGCAGGCTTTGCATAAAGAATTTGCCTCTCACCACAGTGCTGAATTTAATGTTAGGATTTTGTTAATCCGATTTTATCGGTGAATGGAAAAATTACTGAATGTGTTGCGATAAATTTAATTCAGAGAATGATCTTGGTTTCTGCGTCACCTGTTGAATTTTTGGTGGAAAGCATACATCATAAATGACCAAGAGGCCCATTTGTCAAATGAACACTCATTGTAACCAACAATAATTATTGAAAATTTATTGATAGCATTCGTTTGCTCTTTGTGAAGACTTTGTAGTGAAAACCTTTTAATCATGTTAATTGTGCAATAATATTACATATATTGTACTTTGGATAATTATGCATGGTGTCACATTTTTGCAATGAATTCTATCGATTTGGGGTTAATTTTTAACTGTACTTGTGTCAATTTGGGGCACAATTTAGTCTTAATTGGAGGGAAACCGAAAGATCTTGAAAGGTCTCAAGCTCGCAATTCAGTCTTTGGCGTTTAGGTTGGAATATATTTAATACACTGAAGCTAGCGCTAAAGTTGGTTTCAACACATACATGCACATCCATGGCTTCAAGTAGAACTTGAGAAATTAATGAAGCCGAGTTCCAATGCCAGCATACCTGTGGCTTGAATTTGTCATTACTGTGTGTTCTGTGTTCTAAGATTTTGAGGTTGAGTGGACTTGACAAGAGAAGCCAACTTCATTTTCCAAGTTCAAACACAGCAACCGGTCCGTCTGCACAAATGTTCTTCCCACTCTGAGAACAGACAATTCCACAATACATTTAAAACTCCCGTGCCGAATTGAGTCGTCGGCCGGCCGGCCTTTTGAACCCCAACGGCTGCGGGTTCGACTGTCCTGGTCCGAGTCAGGTTTCACTTTTTATTTTTCTAAAGAATCTCAATAAACCTTAAAGAGGCCATCTAAAGAAACTCTTTAAAAACACGAGACAAATCTATATATATATATATATATATATATATATATATGGCTCGTACATGTAGACATTCTACGGAATTCTCTCCTAGATTTCTTTAGAATTATGAAATTAGTATGAAAATGGTTTCTCTTCCATACTTTTTTAAGGTAAGGGAAGCCTTCTCCCTTTGTATTTTTTCAAATTGTTGTTTCTATAAGGTGACAAATAAACTGCTCCAATTTTCTAAAAGGTTTGGAACTTGCATACATCGCTCAATATTTTGTAAGAAGTAACTGAAAGCTGAAATATTTTACAAAATAACACTTTTAAAAAGTCGAATCATAATTACTGTTTTCAACCCCCAAAATTAAGGGTGGATGGAAACACCTTTTTTATTCTACTTTATATTTGTTTTATGAATGATAGCTCAGTCGTCTGAATAATACTGAATGGCTCATTGGCGCTCATTTTTCGACCTATATGTATGGCAGCCACCTAACATATTTTTACAACGGCTTCAAAGCGCGCGTGGGCCAGACGCGTGCCATGTCTAGAAGTCATGCCGACAGAGGGCGCTATTCGTCACCAATTCCCGCGAAACCCGAAAGCGCAATTCAAGGAGCACCGAGTCAGTTTCATCCGAAAGGTAAAGGTATTCTTTTATGGAATTTCTCCCAATGTTGACGTTTTCCATTGGCGTCTGAAAGAATTGCCATCTTATGCACAAAGTACATGTGGTTTTTAAAAGCAGAAACCAGCGATTCGCACTGAAATTGTAACTGAAAACTACGTTGTCATGGTTGTGATGAGACCAAGTTTGTCATGTTGAGTATAGACGCGAGTCGTCCTTGGCCTGCTGATTATGTTGAGCTGTGATTTTGGATTTTTGGTACATGTACATCGAGACCTCCATTACGTAATAACATAATAATGAAGCTTGAGTAAGATATTCAGTTGGACAGCCCTGTCAACATGGTCAAGTGTCATGGCATCATCAGTGATTAAAATTATAACATTGTCAAAACCTGTTGACCAGGCATGTTGACATGCATGATTGAGTGGTGCCCATATTTATATGTATAGAATTAGGGCTTGGTCCTTTTTAGGGCTTAAAGTTAATGCCTGACTCTAGTTACGGCACTTTGGAATGGTTGCTGTCTATATTAATTGCACCAATCTGCACTACTGCTGGCATGGTTGGAAACAGGAGCCAGACCTAACATGCCTGATATTATTATTAATAAGAATGTTATTGGGATGTGATCCTGGTTACATGGTGTTTTAATGGCTTCTGGCTAGCGCCCCCTGAACAGAGATGCTGACAAATGGGAAAAGCCACCAACATTATACTAGGTTGGATAGAGCACTGGTATAGTGTTCCAGAGGTCGCAGGTTCAAATCCCGGTCCGGGCAATTTCTTTGCTCATCTTTATAATCATTTATAAGCACCTAGTCAGTTTTCCTATACAGTTCCTTTCATAATAAAACAATATGAACATGAACAAATGGATCTCAGACTTTATCCAGAGAAATCCTTCAAGAAAACAGGATTTGAATTTGATTGAAAAAATGACTGGAAAAGAACGAGAATGGAAATGAAATTCCACAACTGTATCAAGTCTTGAACCCAGATCCATACTTTTCAATCAGTGCACGTACTAAGCTTTTGAAGCAACACTATCATTACTATGGTCATGATGGCTTTGTGGAATCTGGTCAGTCGTACAGATCCCAATGCTTCTTGTACAGTGCCATAGCCAGTGTATTCGTGTTAGTGTTACCGTATCTGTCGTGGCTATGTGAAGTTATACAGAGCTTAATAACTCTGTGTGTGGATATTTGCTCACGAGTACAGTCAATACTCTGCTACAGTGTTAGTCAGTCTTATGTAATGAACGTTTCGTGCCGTTAATTGATCACTTTCCTTTCTAATTCATTGCTGTGGAAGATTGCTTCGTCAAAGAGAAGCAACGTTAAATTTTGAAGTGCAAGATTTCCTACAGAATTGGCCTATAGCGCAGCACAATCAACCAGTCAAGCAGATTGACTGATCATACTCAACACTAAATTATTATAAATTGACATAAAGTCAATTTATGATCAGATTAGCAGGATGCAGTCGATGGATGTCCTTGGAGCTAGAGACGGTTACATCAGTGATGAGGAATTTCCCCCGTTGGCCGAGTTACCCCCGCTGTCACCCACCAGGAATGACTTAGACCTCTTTGCGGAGAACACAAACAATGCCTCAGACAACAGAGGTGGTGAGTTGAGATCTTTACAAGTTAAAGGTCATTAGAAAGAGAGACAGAGACTGTACGAGGCTAAAGATCAAAAAGCATTAGTGTGTTGACAAGGTCAGGGGTCATGAAGTGACCCTACAAATGTAAAGGTCAAAAGAGAGGCTTGCTGTACAAGGCGAAATATCATGAGAGTAAGTAACTTCAAGGTTAAAGGTCACAAGAGCAAGTAACTCCGTGAAAAAAGAGATGTCTGAGTGTTATGGTTACGGCCTGAAATGACACATGGACCTATGTAAGTCACTGGAAAGTGGCTGTAGCTTATTCCCATAGGTGTGTGTGTTACAGTCAGCTGTAGCCCAGTGTTTTGGACATGGTTAAATTTCAAGGGCATGCCAGAGCTAGTACATTGTGGAAAAATGAAACTCAATTCCTTGTGAACGTGATGGTTTGCCCTAAGGTGCATAGGGACCTCATATCTATTAATTGTTATTGAAATTAGTTGCATAATTGTAAATCCTACAATGAATTAAAAGTTAAATGAGGAAACACTTGCAATTTCTTTCTTGAACGTCAGATGAGGACAAGGAGAACGAAGGAGATAAACAACGTCCCCATAGGCTCGTCAACAGGAAGCCCCAGCCCAAACTGGACGCCGTAAGGTGAGGATAATTAGCTCTGTTAAACCAACACGTTGCAGTCCAAATGTTTGCCCCGATGCACATCCATATATATCCGAACCCTGGCTGTTTTTAGTTAACTGAGGCATCCGAACCACAGTTTCAATGGGTTGAAGGCACAAGCAAGTCTAGTCTAGTCTAGTAGCTGTATGTCTTGTGTTCTATTGACATTTTCCTGATAAATTCCTCATTGTTTCCACAATTTCCAAGAATCTGACTATTGTGTGAACTGGAATTGATGCCAAACACGTCCGGAGGTGGGCGAGGCTCATATTTTTGTGCCCAGTTTTGCAGAGAACAGAACACACTGAACACCCAACTTTGATATTTGCTTATCTTGTATTAAATAACCAGGGCTGACTTTGATGGCAAAGAACTAGATTATAAACTTGGACTGATTTTGCCCAAATCTTTCTTGAACTTCAGACTGTGTTCGGACAGAGGCCTTCCCATGCTGAGCAAGCACTTTGAGCAGGTTAAGTTCAAGGGCAAAGGTCATGAGGTGGGTGACCTGAACCGCCTGATGTCCACTATGGAGCATTGGGCACACCGGCTCTTCCCCAAGATGCCATTTGACGAGGTCATCGACAGGATTGAGAAGTTGGGGAAGAAGAGAGCTGTCCAAGTAAGTCTTTTGTACCGCTCTACTCTAACCGAATCGAACAGGGCTCTGTTTCAGGCTTGGGGTCATCTCCTCCCAATCAAGATACCTAGGTACAGCAACTGCGGCTTGCAGTCATGAAGCATAGCTGGAGGTCCGAACCACAATTTGACCCTCAGCTCAGCTGGTGGCATCCAAGGCTTGAGAGCCTTCCTCAATATTCAAGGATAGTAATGCCGGAATATGCCATGAAAAGACCTTCAGTTTATCCAAAAATGGAAAGAAATCAATCCGGAGATATACAATCTGGAAATTTCCAGGAAATAACAGAACAAAGGTGTGTGTCATCTGTCTGTGGGGTTTGGTTTGTCTCACTGTTAAAACACATAACCCCCGCCAATGACAGAAAGTATCATAATAGCGGACCGTCACTCAAAAATTCAGTACATGCATAACTGTGCAGTGTGTGCGTGAACCATGTGTTGTCTGTGTGTACATTACATGCACTGCACGGCATTTCATTGTCACCATACTTGTTGGCATGGGGCCAAACTTGTGGCGGTGCTCCCTTGCCAGCCTTTTTTTTTCTTTTCTCAAACCAAACAAGGCCCCCAAAACAGCTCAAAGTTTGTCTTGCAACAAGCACAACATTCATCTCGTGAGAGTTTTTGTTCTTTCTTTTTTTATTGAAGACGTGCATCAAGAAGATCCGTCTCGACATGCCGCTGATGGATGAGGACTTTGTGGAGCCAGAAGGAGGTACAGGTAGGACTTTATTTCATCGGAGAGTATGGGTGATTGCTGAGATGCTGTTGGATGACCGTCTCTCCATGAAATGAAACGATTTCCTTAAGATACTTCAAAGTATCACGTGCATATGCAAAACTAAACATCCTAGTTTGGCAGTCCACCCGCTACTCGAATTGGGTCTTTTGTAACAGTTTAGAAGTCTGGTAACTTTACTCCTCGCTTAAGTTTTCCCTCGATATCGTGATCTGCTTTTTCTTGGTAGATGCTGCTGGTACTGATGTTGCAAACGACCGTGTTGGTGATGAAGACGAGATGGACACATTCAGCCAGTTTGCCGGCCAGTTGTCACAACCTGTCGGTACTCCGACAAACGCCAATGTAAGTTACCCTCATAGTGCCAAGCTAATTCATCACTTCTGTTGTTTTAAAAGGGAAGAGAATCTTTGTTCCCACCAAGCATTCTTCTGACTCTAACTCTCAAACAAGCATAAGTTGCTAAAAATCTAGATTTTGAAGGTAAAATTAGGACACGGACTAATGCAACTTGCCACGATTATTCACACCTTACTTGTAGTGGTTTGAAGTTCTTAAATTGTGTTAGAATTGTGTTAGCGGAAGCTCATGGTTTACATGGCTAAAGCAACGTGTCAGCCATCAATCAGGAAACCTTGATCATTGGCCGTTCCTTAAGCCTAGTCCATCATCAGTGATTGCGCTCCTAGCTGGTTTTAAGAAGACTAGCTTACAGCTGTCCACTCACACTTTGATTTTACTTTTCACTTCATAAAATGAACTGCATCTTTAAATGCAAGCATGTTATTACCTGTTCAATTACTCAGGTTTTGCTATCAGAAGAGCAGCGGGAGAGAATGGAACAGAACAAACGTCGGGCCATGGAGCGACGGAAGTCAAAGGGTCAAGCCACTCCGGCCAGCGACGATTTGGGCATCACGACCGATGAACTCCAAGACCTGGAGAGGTACCACGCCAACGATGAGGACATGGAGAAGGAACTGTGGAACGACATCGCCATGTTTGAAGCTTCCCAGCGCAACATTTGGAAGGTCTTGCCCAGGAAAACGAACGGACATCCCCAGAAGGAGACTGATTCAACGCAGATGCCTGCCAGAAAGCAAATGGGGACTGGCGGGAGAGAAGACATTAAGGGAATTTCAAAAGACATCATCGTCATCGATGATGAGGTTTCAGAGGATGAGGCAGACCAGATGCAAGGAGTCAAGGAAACGAGAGCCTTGGAAACCACCGACATCAATGAGGCAGGAGGTCCAGGTGATGGAATGATGACAGATTCAAGGCAGAATGTTATCGACCTGGATGCTGATGCTTCAGATAAAGAAGGAAGAACATCGGCGGGAGAAAAGAGAGATGAAGTCGCGGAGACAATTGATGGAGACTGGGAAGATGAAGGGAAAGGAAGTCAAGATGAAATGAAGGACGATGGAGAGGGGAACAGAAGCTCAGATTTGGTTCTGAAGTGGGACTCAGAGTCAGCTGACGAGAGCACGACTGTTCTTGAGCCGAGCGATGAAGCCGGGGCTAAAGTAACAGAGACGACAAATGACACCGAGTTTGGGGAGACCCATGTCCACCGAGCTCCTGCTGAAGATGGCCAAGACATTGCAGAGTTGCCCTCCAGCAAAGGTCAGGAAGCAGGAGCATCTCGGGATTCTCCAGAAGACAAAATCAGCCAAGATAGCGCCGGCGAGACAGTCTCAGAATCCAGATCGGACGGAGAGGTAGGCAAACCTGTCGGCGCTAATGTGGTAACTCTTGAGAATGGAACTGACAGGGAAGGGGAGGAGGTTGGTTCCACTGAACAAGACACAGTGGAAGACATGGAAACTGAGTGATTCCCTTTGTCGAAAGAAAATTTACTCCCAACTTCCCTTGACATATAAGGAATCTTCTTGCTTACCTCCAAGTCTTCCACTATGTAGGAAACCAAAAGTTCATTTTTCTAATTTAACTTTAAAGGATACTAAGTCTCATTTAAAGGATCCATGAAACAATTTTTTTCTTAGGTGTACAAAAACTGCTTGAAATCTGTCTGAAAAGTGCACTTGTTTAAACATTGAAAATGAGGGCGCTGTTGCTGGGATGTACATCAGGTAAGAGAATGTTCCGTTGATGTACATTCCTGTCAAAGTTGACCAAAACGTTCTTTGAAAATATTTCAGAAAAATAATTGATCACTGGCGTAGTGGCGTATACTTTGCCAGATAAAATACATGTATAACATATTCCAGACAAAGTTTTTTTGCACACAAATCAGTGCAGTGCCCAGAAGGACATCGCAGTTTTGCTCATGAATGTGCAAATTTTTATTAGCAGAGAACCCCCAAAAGTTTCCAATTACACACTGAAATCCAAATAACAACTCGGAACTGAGACACAAAGGTGAAAGTTTCAGGGTTGTAACATTATTATGATTACATTGTATCTTTAAAGCCACAGTGGGCACAAAAATAAAGGCACAAAAATAAAGGCACAAAATCTTCCAGAATTTTTGAACTGATTTTCAAGGATCTTGGATATGTTTTGTGAAGTCTGTATAGTTCATCGTGATACTGAAAAGAAAGATGAAAATTACATCCTGCTCCCTTCTCATATTCTGAAAATGTATCCTTTGTAGTATTTCATACTGAATAAAAATTTGAAAGCTTTTTATTAAAGCTTTTGATAATTGTAAACGGTCATTTTATGCGTGTTTATACTTTGAGCTGAAGATATGTTCAAATCGCCTTCATACATACTAATGCAAGTAGCCAGGAAAATAGTGACTTCGCTCAGCCATTCTAAATTCTTTTGACAGGAATGGCTTTGACTTTCAGCTTCTGCATTGCCTTGTTTTGAACAATACGAGGGCATCAGACCGTGACACATGGGAATTCAATTTGCTACCAATTGATCACTTCTATTGCCATTGTTTGGCTGCCTGATAATGGTCTGGCGCCCCTGGTTGATTCGTCAATAAATTATTTATTTAGCTGTCTAATGACAGTGCTCAGAAAATAACTCGTGATTACAAAGTAAAGTTAGTTGAAATGCAGTTGGTGGTATAAAGTAGGTGAGCTCTATAGAGGGCGCTATCATTAGCAAGAAAAGTTTTTATGAGGGCGCAATCAGATTTTGCTGCATTTAGACTGGCTCAACAGAGGGCGTCCTATAAACGATCACCAATTAACTCTCGAATTTGTGTAGATAGAGGGCGCTTTTGTCAAAAAGTTGCTTTATCACTTCAGTAGAGGGCGCCCTTTGTTAAATCAATAGAGGGCGCTCTTTATTTTTGCCGGAGCGGGTGCTTTTTTACTTCACTAGAGGGCGCTCTTTATAGAATCAATAGAGGGCGTTTTTTATTGGCGAAATTGTGCGCTGGTTGTTTGACGTGCCAGTGACTCAGTGAGAGAAAATGTACCGTTTTTATCAGCAAAGTGAAGGAGTTGTATAGAGAGTTGAAGAAGATATTAACCTTTGGGCCGAGAGTTGGTGTTGGTAAGTTTAAGCTGTAAGTAAGGACAGTATCTGCCAGTGGGAACCACATTATTAATTTTTATTACTTGTTGAATTGGCGGACACGATCTGCTTTTGTGTTTGGGATACATGCCGTGAAGGCCTAGCCTACACGTCGCGTTACTTGGTCATATTCATAAGCTTTATCGCTAATGATGTAGCCTAATGCATGAGAGATTTTTCAAAATGGCAGAAAGGCTCGTATGAAGGAAAACATTACGCAGCCAGTGACTCTGAGGTTATTGCAAATAGAGATTCTTTGATCAGTGATTCAGCATGTTCAGGGGCCAACGTTGTATATATTCAGATGTGTGATGGCCGATTATTTGATGCCCAGAGTCTAGGTTAGTAGATCTCCATGATATAGTGAGCCACAAAATAATTTCTTATACCACCAGTACGATTTGCTTTTACATGTATATGATGTATGTGTGGAGAGTCCCTTAGATAAGTTCCATAGAAAATAAGGTTGAGAATAGTTTCAAGGAAAGCTACAATGTTACCACTAACGGCCCCTAAAATTTCGTTCTGTGCCTTCTACACTCTGGATGTCTTGATGCATTCATGCCAGAAATGGTTTCTGCAACATACACATACAAGGATACAGAAATTTCAAAGCAACTTTGGAACACTGTCACCCCATAACTTCTGCGGCAGGTGCCATTTTCTGCCCTAGATCAAGCATAACATTTGCACACCCCTTGCACAACGAAGCATAAAGTATGTTTATCATGCCTCAAGCAGAAGCACCCCCTCATTGGTTTGAAAGAGCAGTGTTTCTTCGGGAGTATTTATTTTGTCGGTAGTGATGCGACTGCAACATTTGTGTTTCCTAGTCATTCAAGAACCAGCGATGCACAGTGAGTTCCAAAGGAGCCTTTGTTGCTAAGGAAATACTGCCCTCTCTTGGTCCAGCTCGAGGCTCATTACAGCAAGGACATGCAACAGCCATCATGGAGTGCCTGACCCATGGCAGAATATGGCAGCTATCATGGAAGCTTCAAGCAAACATTTCTCCATCTTATGAAAATTTTAAGACTGGAGGCAGGAAGGAACAGAAAACAATTTTTCAAGGGGCTGGTACATGTAACACTGTCAATATATGCCTTGTTGACCTTTTCAGGGGACCTTAATAGACGATAGGGAAGATTTTCCATGCACAATTTATTTCTTTAAGAGTAGTAAAACTACCAAAGCCTGCCTCTCAGTCCCAGCCAGACTACCACTAATCAACAATCACCCTCTACATTGTACTTTTGTTCAATCATGGAGTAGGTTTTCATCTAGGATTGCAATACTATCTACTCACAATATCTCTCTTGCCAACCAAGGTTAAAACTACTCTCCCAAGGAAATGCTTGAAACTGACACCCCTCTAAGGCTTGGTGCCGTCTGAGGCCAAATTTCCACTGTACCAAGTCCTTTGTAAAATACCGTTGAGACTTTCTCACCAGTGTAAGAAAGTATATAAAACTTGGGCAGGGGGTTGTAAATTTTGAACAAGGAAAATGACCTTCCCAATGTCCCTTCCCATTGGACAGCTGGCTACATTAGACACTGTCACCATACAAACACTGAAATTTCTAGTCCAGAATCCAGCAAAGGGAGAAGAAAATCTTGGATAAAGTAAATCCTTGAAGCCATGTTCAAGTGCCACTAACATTTTCTTAGTTTATCAAAAAAAGGGTTCAGCCCACAGAGCCTGAAATGAAATGAAATTTACAGCGGCACAGCAAAGATTGATTACCTTTTTTTTCCTTTTTAACTTGGACCGTTTCAATACTAACAAAATCCATTATTTTGTTTTATTTTGTTGCATTGAGGTATGCTGAGGCTTAGTATACATTACATGTACATGTGTGGCACATGCAGCTCTTTTTCCAGAATTCGTTTAAAGTACAAAAGATGGGACACTGGTTTACTGTGCAGACTCGAGATTTGAGAAGTGTCTTAAAAAACTTTGACTTGTCATAGCTTGTTCTGTTCTGTTTGAATTTAGCCATGCAGCAACTTCCAGACTTCACACCAGTCCAGGTGGGCATGCCATCCAGCCAACGTCTACTGGCGCGCCATATATAACCAGCCCACCAACCAGCCTTTCATATCATGAGCCAATCAGTGTTACCAACCAATCACCTAGTCATCTTGTGAACCAGTCATGCCAGACAAGCAGGAAGTAGTCAGGAAAGTTTGTGCCAATAACGCAGTGGATAAACACAGGCAGGTTGCATACCATAACCTCCGTGTTCTTTTGGGTACTCTACTTTTCAAAATTTCAGTTTTATAAAACATATCATCTTGAGGCTCAGCAAGGCGTCCCCTAAATCCACAGGTCAGTTTTTGGACTGCTATGAAGAATGTGCAAGTTTACCGTTACTTGCACTGCCTCTTCTACATAAAAAATCCATAGGCCAATACGTTATGCGAAATGTCAAGTAGAGGTCATGAATTTAATCAGAGCTGGAGCATACTATAACATCCCAAAACTTTCAAAGGGATGTGCTCATTTTGAGTGACCTTAGGATTTTTTATTTGCCTTTTTAATAAACCAAACACATGAAACTACCGTTTGTCATCCACTAAATTGTACAAGGTTTAAATTAAAGTTCCCCAACCACACTCTTCAATTTAAAGAATGTTTCAAATTTTGGAATTGTCGCATTTTTTAATCTTTTTTACATGCAGAAATGAAGAGGTGACATGTGACAGAGGCATCTTTGCAAGTTTGGTTAGCTGTCAGAGGTCACATGATAAGGTAAAAAATGATGCTCTTACATTCATCACCAACACCTGACACACATCTTCACTTTTGTGCTAGTTCGTTAAAACCGTGATTAGAGCAGTTTTGGACTTTTGGTTTCACGAAGAAGCACAAATGTGTGTTTTGTTAAAATAGCATAGAAAAAAAAGCTTTAAATGTCTAAAATGATTTTATTTTACCCGTAAATGGGTGACTAAACTAAAAAAAAAAGCTCTTAAAACTCATAACTGTGTAAATTAAGGAGAACGTCGGTTTCTGAATCCGGTAAATCACAGAGCACGTGACGCAAGACATTTGTGCCTCTTCGTGAAAACGAAAATATCACATTTCTATAAAATACGCATTGAAACATATGCACATCTATAGATTTGTGTTACTTCGTGGTGTTGGTGACGAATTGTACTAGCTGCCCAGAGTCTGAATAGTTTCGCCCTTTCTTTTAAAGCTTCAACCACACGTTTCTGCACTGTTAAAGTTACTCCACTGTGTACAAATTTGCCTGTAAGCACGATGCTATGAAATCACAATTTCAGATTTGTAATCACAATTCTTCCTGTTTTATTCTTGTGGGTGTAAATTCAGAGTACAAATAATTGTAAGTGGTGCACTTCCTGCATTTAAGAGGTCACTGACAAACTTTCGAGGGAAAAACTTCCAGACTCAATTTAACTGCAAGTTTCAGTTGGCAAAATTTACCTCTGCAAATAAATTTGTGGGGTGTAAAACTCCTTCGTTTTAGTTTCAGAACAAATATAAAAATTTGGCCTCACAGCTTGAGGAAAAAATTGTCCAACAAATGCTACAAATGCACTAAAGACACGTTTGAAATTCAGTGTCTGTTTGAATTGTAAAAGGTTACAAAGTCACAAAGAACTCTTAACAAGTGAAATTTTGTAAGCAGGAAGGTGGAAAGAGTTTCATATGAAGACACCACTTGATGCCTCTTGCACAAAACCCATTGAGACTAGTCTGCAAAATTCTAAGAGTTTTCTACGTAAATGACAAAGTATTTTCCATCCTAAATTGAACATTTTCTTGACGTGTTTTTGCTTTGTAATGGCTAATAAGTTACAGTAGGGAATAATTACTGTCGTCTGCATACATATATAACTCTTTCCAGGAAGGCAGCTTTTGTTTGAAGAGACGTCAGAGATTCAGGATCTTGTTAAAAGAAGTTTCTAAACCTCTAGTACCAACATGCTTTCCACAAACATACTGGTTTTTATCACATTTCAAATGTTAATCTGCAAAGTATATGCGTCGAGAATGGCGAGAGGGTCAGTCTGCATTTTTAGAGTTCGTTCTGGAGTTCCACTAGTTAAAATGTTTTCAATTTCCACATTCAGACTTTGAAATTGCAGAGTCCAAATTTAGATTTTTTGGAGAGCCACCGAGTGTAAATTAGCTTGTAGCAGCTTTCACTTGGAGATTGCAATTGAATCATGAAGTGTTCATGTTTAACATTTCCTCATTTGTTCCTTCTGGTAGTGTGTGCCGCTGGCAGGTCAGACCAAGTCATCCATGTCTGGTTGTTACAAGACTGAACCCAAGATGTCCCCAGCAGCCTTGGATTCCTTAGATGTTAGTTGGTTGACCATGTGACGCAAGATGTCTCAAGACAGCTCCATATGTCAGTTTGTCCCTCTCGCAGCTTCAAGACTCAAGACTAGAGGAAGGGCGCAAAGCTTGATGACTTTCTTCTGTTGTTGGCTAAAAAAAAGAGGGGAAAATTGTATCTTAGGAATTTCAAGTTCAGCATCAGTATTCTGAAACACTTGGTGTATTTATTTGCAAGTTGAATTTGGGGAAAGGCGATCTCTCTCTACAAGTACAACATTATGATTTTCTTTGCAATCAGAGATACAGACATTGTTCGGGTAACATTTAAAAAGTTGTTGTAGTTTTGTAATAAAATTTCGAAAGGCTGGCATTTGGCCACACATTTTGCAATAAAACAGGGAAAGTGGATTTGTTTGATATCACATCTCTTCCTTTCAATGTGGAATGTCTTTTATGGCCATTTATTTTGATATAAAAATAATGAACTTTAACAGAATTTATTTTGAAGCTAACTAAATACATGTAGCTACCAACTATTTAATGAATGAAAAAAGTCTTTGAAGGGAAATTAAAATCAAGGGAAATGATACCAAAATGTAAGCGTGGGCTGCATATATTCATGTAGACAGTGTGCACAGTGCCACATGAGCATTTGAACCAAGACTGGGAATAGAAATTCCTTCATGCGGAGTTGTGTTACACCAGTCGACTGATTTGCCATACACGCTGATGTTTTCAAATACGGCCGTATACGATGTTCAGTTGGGAAAGAGTTCCATATTCGGACATCACTTCACACCCTGTGCGCAAATCCTACAAAACTAGTCTAAAAAAATTCAAGTATTTTTTTATGTACGTGTAACTAGTTCAATATTTTCACCGCTGAATTCGACTTTAGGAAATGTTAACACAGTCTAATGGCTAAAAAGCCTCTGCAAGGAAGAATGAGTGATGTCCGTGCATGTATATTGAATCTTACGCTAAAATGCCTTAAGTTTCTTACCTTCTTGTGCCGAGGGGTAGCTGGATAAAAACATGGCGACAGAACCATGAAGGACTAAATATCAGCACCAATGATGTCATTAAGGGTGGCCGACTACAAGGTGTGAAATGCCCGAAGGAAATAGCCAGAGCGTCTATGCCAGATGCCTCTCGCCTGAAGACCCAACTACAAATGACAATAATTAAGATGGTAAGCGATGACATAAAGCAAACCACGTGTGGGCAGGGAGCCAATAGGAATAGAAGGGGAGGTGTGGCGAGAAGGGAATTTGGGGGAGCAGGAAACGTTCCATAGACTAGACTGCACGGGGAATACAAGTCGGAGTTAGAGGCGAATACAAGGCGTTTGAAATCTGGTCCCTCATTGCATACACGTTAAGAAAACGGTACTTTGGCTGATAAAGAGACCAATTCTTTTGTTGGATTCTTTTGTTCAGTCTCCCCTTAACAATAAAAAGATTCGAGGCTTGGGAGAGGATTAGACGCCGCTATCTTTCGTTACGCTTGAGTGAACAACAATGGGGAGAATTGAAGCAGAAAATCTCGAAAAACTCACCTTGACAAGCATTTTAGGCAACAAAATGATACTTTTTGCAGAGGAAATTGCATAACAAAGCTAACTGTAGTTTCAAAATTCCAAAATTCGCCCGGATAAAAAAGTTGGCTTTTCGGGACTGGCTGGTTCAACGCTAAAACTTTCTCCCACCTGCCGTTGGTGGCGCTATAACATTGAAAGTCCGCGGTATACAGTTCCACACTGTGAAGCTATGTAACGTACATGTACATGTACAGTACATGTACATCCATCATACACTCCTCAAGAAAACAAATTACATTTTCATTTACTTAAACTTTCATATCAAAGATTCAAACATTTTTCCTCACGAGCAAAGACTTTTTGCTAGTCTTTCGTAGATATATATATATAGTTAATTAATATATACACCGCTGCCCTTATTTTATACCACGCACAACTGGTTCCCGCCTGCGCAGGCCAAACATCACGCAAAAACGGGCAACCAGCTTTTTGGACCGTAAAGAAAATCCGATTTGGACCGCCGATATGGCACTTTCTGTACACGGCCGATTGTGCACACGTATATACAGCACAGCGAGCTACAAAACTGGCCATTTCGGCGTTTCCACCGGACATGCGCATTGTGCACAATCATATGGCGAGCGCTGTACTACAGAAACAGCCATATCGGTGTTTCACATTGCAATGTGCATTGTGCACATCCGCGGCACCGTGTACTTTCAATGTTATAGCGCCACCAACGGCGGGTGAGAGAAAGTTTTTGCATGGAACCAGCCAGTCCCGAAAAGCCAACTTTTTTATCCGGACGATTTTTGGAATTTTGAAACTACAGTTAGATTTGTTATGTAATTTCCTCTTCAAAAAGTATCATTTTGTTGCCTGAAATGCTTTTAAAGGCGAGTTTTTCGAGATTTTCTGCTTCAATTCTCCCCATTGTTGCTCACTCAAGCGTAACGAAAGATAGCGGCGTCTAATCCTCTCCCAAGCCTCGAATCTTTTTATTGTTAAGGGAAGACTGAACAAAAGAATCCAACAAAAGAAATGGTCTCTTTCTCAGCCAAAGTACCGTTTTCTTAACGTGTGTGCAATGGAGGCTCTGCTTTTAAACGCCTTGTATTCGCGTCTAACACCAACTTGTATTCCTGTATGGCCATGGCCTGCGGAACGTTCACCTGTCCGCCCCCGTTTCCTTTACGCGTCACACCCCCTCTTCCCGGTTTACTGGCTTCTTGCCCACCACGTGATGGGGTACACATAAATGGCTTAAAGACCTAGAAAAATGTGCTTATTTTGGCCGTTCCCAATCCAAAATGGGTTGTCAGTGAAATATAATGAAATAATTCGGTGAATTCATGCACATGATAACTGAGTGTCATGTCAATTTATAGCAAAACTTCTGTCAATTAATCTAATGCTTTCAATAGAAAGAAGTGTATCACAAGAGCACACAGGCACAAATTTTTGAAATTTTTCATTTATTCAGACAAATTTTACACTGCTTTACACCAGACAATATTGCACTTATCTTCCTTCCTCCATGCTCTGACTAGCTAATTTAGCTACTTTAGCTAAAATATTTCAGCGAAAAACGATGCTAGTACCCAAATGTGCGTGAATTAAAATAACATTATCCAATAATAACTGTGAATTTCAAAAAGAAAGAAACTCTGTTTTCTTCCTGTTGATTGAGGGGCCTGATGTTGAGTACCAATTTTCCAGTAATTGTGCAGTAGAGGTAGTAGGCATCTCGTTCTTAACGACTGGTAGCCATTCACAGTGTATTTAGAATGACCAGGGCCAATTTTATGCTAATGTTATGCTCTGTGTACACGTATTTTGTGGAGACCACAGTAATCACAGAAAAAGGCACGCTTACCTTGGAGGAAACATTTCCTTCACATAGTAACAAAACAAAACAATAAAAATCTCTCTACGTGCACAACCGTAAGCACAACTGTGGGGTGAAATAGTGCTTAAGATTAGCAAATTTTTCTGTTATTGTAAGTACGACTTTTCTGCTAACTGTTAAGCAGCTCTGTGAAATTGTGCTCTGCTCTGAATTCCAGATGGGGAAGTACAGTCTATGGGCTTCTTTTGCACATGTAAGAATACTTTGCTCAGCCTTAGGAAACTTTGAATATTTTTAAACAGAGATTAACAAAATGTAACCCTGCTTCTTAGCTTAACATAGCCATATCACACTTTTCAAATATTTTTTATGTACATGATAGATACACAAATGTCACATTTTTCATTATATATCACTGTACTCAAGCAACTGCCCTGTAGTAAACCTGAGACCCAAATGATGTGTAAAGTACTGTTATTGTTAGGTTAAAGTTAAGTTATTGGTAATTTTGAAATATTTCTCAATAATGAAATTGAGGTCACTGTTTTTGGAGTTGTGACAACAATCTTTGTGTCAAGTTGGCACAGGCAGTCACATAAAAAAAAACACATTTCTGGAAAAACCTACACGGGAGTAAGTTAAAAATTTTGAATGAACTGAAAGCTGTCCTAAACCGGTATGCTCGTCACAGTAAAGCCACAGTGTCTGTAGGCCAACTGCTACCAACTAATCGGTGTATCTAATTGGCAAAAGGGGGTCTCTTTAAAATATAAAAGATCTCAATACAGACACAAATTTATACATACAGCAACAGTTATATAAACACATCAAGGGAAGATTTTTGGGGTAAAATACAACAAACAGATACACTTTTGGTTACAGTAAAGTTCATTTCTGAACTTGGAGCAGTCAAGAGGGGTAGAATTAGGTGCTACAAAAACTAAAGTTTTGATCACTATGGCTAGGGCAACAGAGGGCACTGTTTAGAGAGGTCACCTTTGGATTAAACTTGAGAGTTTTGGTAGTCTGGTCACAACTATAGTTCCCTTCATAACCTCTTCTCCCTGCTTGAGAATAAACTGGTTCCCTGCTACCCCCAAGGATACTGGTACCCTGCCACCCTGGAGACAACTATGCTTGGAAAACAAACTCGTAAGGCAGCATGCAAAGATGAAGTCTAGAGCTAGGTCTACATCTTTGCCTGGTGGAAACATGCGGAGATGCACTGACGGCAGACATAGCCGTAGCTCTGGAAAGCCATTTTGGGCAAGGCTTAAGCATCCATGTTGTATTTTTGAGATGGCAGTGAAAACGATGGCACAGTTACAAACACATATAACTTTCCTAGAACCAATCTTCCAATAGACCATTTTGGGCCGCTCAGACCAGCTCGGCACCGTCCAAGTTGTACTTGCTCCTTAGGGCCTGGACAGGTCTCTTCTCTGCCTCCTCCAGGAAGGCATCCTCCTGCATCTCGTGACGGTGGGAGAGCAGGGTCCGAAACCCCACCTCACTCATGCCCAGCTCGCACTGCAGCAGCCGGGGCCAGTCATAGGGAAAGTCGGCCAGGCAGACCTGGTCAAACTCGGCACCGCCTAGCATGTTGAAGCGGGCTAAGGGGTGGAAGGGTGCGGCCAGGGCGTGGGGGGCCCAGGGGCTCTTGGTCAAGTCCAGGGAGAAGATAGGGCTCTCCTTGGGATCAGTCGGGGAGGAGGAAGCGTCTTTGGCAGGGAACATTGGTGGGATTTCTAACTGATGTTCAAACCAATCCTATGGGCGAAAAAACACAAAGACAAAAATGAAAAGGGGGTGAACAATTTAACTGACAGTCCCTTTTAGGGAGACTTGAAAGTAATTTTATAATAATGTCAACAGTAAAAATAGTGCACCATTTACTGACATTCTGAGATTGGCCCCTTTAATTAAATGACATGATGCAAAGAAATAAACAAAACGCAAGCAAAAGTTTTGAAAAGAAAATAAACAGAAATAAGTTACTAACCAACTAAAAAAACTAAACACTTCCAACAACCAAATGCCATGAAGAAAACTTGGCTACTCCTCAAAAAAAGTTGCAAGAAAATAGCAATACAACTAATTAAGCACAGCAGTAGATCTTTTACTTACGAGGTTATTTCTCAACATGTTGTAAGCTTGAAGAAGATACTTCTCTCCTGAAATGGAAAATTGGGACAGCTGAATACTTTATGGACAGACAGAGGGTAGTTTCAAAGTAGATACATAGATGACAGAATGTTTCTGCCAACATCAGAAAATATCTTGGCGAGGCGTGACATTATTCTCTGGAAAAGAGTTAAGGCATTGGTGTGGGTGAATGTACAAAAACTAAAAACCATTCTGACCAATGCGAACTGCCTGCCTCGACAAACAAGCAGTGCGCCTCGTAAGCACCCCGTTGTTTTATGTGGATTCAACAGTCATTTCTCTGTAGCCTATGCAAATTCTAACTATAACGCGGATGCAAAATAAAAAGTCTGAATGGTTATCTTTTTCTGAAGACAAAAAGCGTAGCAAACTTGCTAAGCCATCGTACCGTCTGGAGCCTGGAGGACGAGACTAGCCTGCATCTGCCGGTAATGCTCCAGGAATTCCGAAGGGGCTTCCTCCAAGGGGTAACCAGAGCAGTTGGCAAACAGCCTGCAAAAAGCCGAGCATTCGGGACACACTGATACTTACAGTCCTCTACATTTGACACATGTATATGGTACCAATTCATAAACAGCCTCAGAGATAGTCCTAACACAAAGAGATGACAAACAACCTCCAAAGCAGTGCACTTGCTGTTGTAAAAGTGACCATTATAGTTGTCCGACATTATTTTGAGTGATAGTTTTAACCCAAATAGGTGACAAACACCCTACAGAGCAGAGCATCTGGGAAATAGTGATCTGACATTATTGATGAGACCAAATATGAGTAGCTTGAGTGATAGTTTTAACCCAAATAGGTGACAAACACCCTACCGAGCAGAGCATCTGGGAAATAGTGATCCGACATTATTGATGATACCAAATATGAGTAGCTTGAGTGACAGTTTTAACCCAAATAGGTGACAAACACCCTACCGAGCAGAGCATCTGGGAAATAGTGATCCGACATTATTGATGATACCAAATATGAGTAGCTTGAGTGACAGTTTTAACCCAAATAGGTGACAAACACCCTACAGAGCAGAGCATCTGGGAAATAGTGATCCTTATATCCCTCCACATGTAATATGTGGTCCCCAACATAAAATAAATATGGTGATAGGTTTGGGCCAAAACTGCACAGAATGTAAACATTCTGCCATGTTCAAGATACTCCCGTTGCTAATTGTTGAGTCTTAATTTCATTCATTTCCCCAGTTTAATTCTGAAGTGCACTGTGAACCCTTTTCAGGGATGCACCCTAAGTTGAATTGCATTTCTGGCAAACATGATTTTGAAAAATGAATGAAAACGACAACAGTTAGTCATAAACCTCAAACAGATTAGTAAATGTAAATATGGGGACTGACGGCACTTCGTTGAGTTACGCCAACAGCAGAGGTTGGCAAATCTGTGGCGTTGTCTGAATTACTTGTCTGCGGCTTGAGATTGTGCACGGTTCTATGGTGTACGGCTGCAGCCACTTCCAATAGAGTCGTGTGTGATCTCAAGCCACAGCTGAGTGATTGGGACCTTGGCCTTACTCGTTGTCCATGTGGCTTATGATGGTGTCTATCTTGCTGTGCAGCCAGTCGGTGTGGCGACTCATGAAGGCATAGACAGGCTGGGGTAGACTCTCCCTGCACTCTGCAACGGGAGAGCCGATTGGTAAAAAATTCACCCAAACCTTCTTGGGTGTGAGAACAAAAAACTATATATATAACAAATGGAGAATTGAAAACAGTCAGGGTGAATAAACATTTGAAGAATAAGCGGCTTTGGAAAACTGTGCAAGGGGTCCTTTTAGTATGGCTAAACCTGTATTTATCTTCACACACAGCCAAGAATTACTGCACATGTCCAGATTTTGGAAGCAAAACTACAGATTTTATTGAGACACGGTATGCTACTACAGAAAAGCATACTCTATATATACACAAAGTCTCATCCCAATTGGTTAAAGACTTCTGTAATTAAACTTGTGTAATTCACACTATCAGCTGTGAAACCGCACTTTCCTGAGACAGTCCATAACACGCTCCAGATTTTACAGAAACCTGTGTCAAAATTTTGACATGTCAAGACTACGAGAAGAGTAAGTGGAAATTGTTCTTCGTCTCTGTGGACGACGGAAGCCGTTGCACTTACTTGCAGTGGAAGCAGTCAGGGCCTTGTAACAATAGTCTCCAAACTGGCTGAGATCGTTGTGGGTCTGAGCGCCGATGGGCACACCGGCCATCTCCACCAGCGTCTCCTGGTCGCTGAGTTTGTTGTACAGGCAGCTGGCTATCACCTGAAGAGAGACAATTTCTGCTTGCACACTCATCGTGTCTCTCAAAGCATTTTGGCCTTTGCTGGAGTACATAAATAATACTGTGCACTTGGTGTTGCTTGAGGTCTTGTGAAAACATTCGTTAGCCGACTCGGGCAGGACTCACACACCTGATCCCCTGCTTTCTAGTGCAGATGTCTTGACCACTCGACCACTGAGCTTGTCGGGGTCTGCTGACCAGTTTGAATCAATAAGGGGTACCAGGCCAAGCATATGTTATCTGAGATATAATTTTTGCGTCTGGAAGATGTTAGTTTCATATTGGATATTTGCCCTTCACCAATGTCTGTTGTAAACACTGTATACTCAGTGCTGACTGAAGCCATGTGAAAAATTAACCTTTCACATGATTCTACTGGGATCAAAATGTTGGGCCTTTATTAGCCCCATTTTCCAAATCCTCACCTGCAATCCCATGCAGTCATGCGCGCAATGTACCTCCTTTTCGTTCAGGTGTTGCTGTAGACTGTTGAAGAAGATGCAGAGTGGGGTGGGTAAGGCGCCCACGTTGTCTGCCAGGGTGGTGATCAGGACTTGCATTGCCATCAAGATGTCATCTTGGGGGCCTACAAAACACACAAATGTTTTACACACCCAGTGCTCTATATAAAAAGGCCCCAACTTGACAAATTGATTTACCGTTCACCAGAGTTGATGGCAAATTAGAGGCCTGTGAAAGAATCTCGCTTAAAGTCGATCGACAGGAAACTTGAACATTTTTCCCCGTAAAATCCCCTTTCATCAGGTTGCCAAACTGACTGGTACATCAAAACGAGTTCAGTTTGCCATTTCCAAAGCCAACTGATACAAAATTTCTGTAAAAATGGCCATAAGACTCATTTTGTGGGATCAGATCACAAATGATGGAGATCTCTCTGCTCCAAACTGCACAGATAGACCTCTGTACTGATGACGCACCTGCGAGCGATATTCGTTATTTGTGCCAAAACAAAAGACTAATCTCAGAAAGCTGATGCAACAACACCTGAATAAATCAGACAAAGAGCCAGACAATAAGGCCACAGAAGCCCAAACATACCTCATTGAGGCCTGGAATTGGCCAAAAATTTGAAATGAAAATGGCTGAAATTGAAACTGTTCCTAAAAACTGGCATCCCTGATAAATGAGTTGACCCTTCTTCGTTCTTCTGACCCTACAGACCTGTCGCTTTGATAAATGAGTTGACCACTTCTTCGTTCTTCTGACCCTACAGACCTGTCGCTTTGATAAATGAGTTGACCACTTCTCCGTTCTTCTGACCCTACAGACCTGTTGCTTTGATAAATGAGTTGACCCTTCTCCGTTCTTCTGACCCTACAGACCTGTCGCTTTGATTATTTGCGCCTTCTTCTTCAGCTGGCAGCCACAGGGGAGCTCCTTGACCGAGTTGACGAAGCCCACTAGGTGCTTAGGATCTACTGGATCCTTGAGAAGGATCGCCAAGGCTGGCTTGATGGCTCTGGGGGGAAAAAAGAGACAATACCGGGCATCACAAATTGGGCTGGACAGAACAGGGTCCAATCAAAAGCCATACAAGTACCACATGACCGTACGGCTTCCCCGAGATTGGTCGCCATTGTGGTAGGCACTGGGTAGCAAATCTACGTACGTCGTAAAACTAACTAGTGAGGCAAAATGGTGGCCGTCTACGCCATATACGATAGTTGTCATCGTGCTGATCTAGCACTCAGTGATGGCTCCGCATCATTTTCATATTTTCACCATTTATCAAAGTTTTGTAGACTTGTCGACTACTTTAGATTGCGCCGTCTTTGCCTATGACATCAGAACATGGGTCAGTAAAAGACTTATATTTAGCTTGGTGTAAAAATGAAGCCAAGTTCAAGCAAAAAGGAAGTATCTGGAAACTTTCCACTGGGAGTTAAGCATATCCCAAAGAGGAAACACGCTGGGGCTCAGTCCAGTAAAATTTCTTTCTCTTTCTTTGGACGGAGGCTACAGTTTACCTGTCAATGTAGGATGAGATGAGTTTGTAGACGCTTTCCAGCCATAGGGGAACCGGTGACGTCTTACCAGGCAAGCAGCTGGCTTCAAAACACTCCCAGTTATCCTCTCTAGAAACAAAAATCCAGTCAGTCCTTCCAAAATGCAACATTCAATGAATCAATCAAAAAAGTTTCAAAGTTTCATAGGTAAAAGTGTCCAACAAGTCTAGGAGAATGATGGTCTTGCAAAGTCCTTGATATTAAGGAAAAACCAAGAGGGGTTTCATAATTATTTGATTCCCGACACAAAGTCAACTGATTGCGGCCTCGACCAAAATAGTGAAATGGGTGGTCAAAAATATCGCTCTTTTTTTCAGCGAGATTTCAGACTCACTTTTCGATCATGGCCATGAGGACTGCTGTCAGCGCGCCTGGCTGGTCCCCACACAGGGCCAACAGGCCTACCAGGGGCTGGACAGCGTCGGGGATGTCCTGGCTCTGGAAGGTGCGGCAGGATTTGCCTGGGCAGATCCCACCGCTGCACCCCTCGTAGGCTGCAAGGGAGTTCAATTGGCTGGTCTGTGATTGGGTCGGGCCTGGAAAATGGGAAAATCAGTACATCACACGCACCAACGAAACAAGTCACTGAATATGCCTGAAAATCGCCTAACATTGGGATCATTTTCTTGACATTGTCTGAACCTTACAAGTAATGATAACATAAATTTCTAGGAAATTACCTTCCTGTTTTAGCATCCTATCTTAACCAGCTCATAAGCTGGTAGCCAAGGTTATCAAAAAGTGAAATGAGTTCTGGAAAGATGTGTTTTATCTTCCACGTGGTATAAAAACTTTGAAAACAATAACATGACAGGCCCGTTCCACATTGCATCACATTTCAATGAATTGTTGAATTCCAGAGAGTCCTTGAATTGCGAAATCTAAGCCTTATTTTGGCAAGCCAACACGGAACTCATTCCCTATTAAAACTTAGCTGTAGGAAAAGTTGTTTCTCAGCAATACCTGTGTTAGTGACCACGAGTGTAGGTATCAGACAGTTCCTCATTAGAAGAGCCTGAAAGAAAATACGTGAAGTACTGAGGGAATATAAAACAATTAGGAAGATCTTAAAAAATGATATATATATATATGCAACTTGTCAATTGTCAAAATGGAAAAGGTGGTCTCTTCAAGGTAAATATTTAGAAGCGCACTACACTGTGAATCACACCACTGATGTAGGATTCAAGTTTGGACTCGAATCAGGACTCGGACTTAGGCTCGGTTTCGGGGGACTCAGACTCAGAAGTGGTAGACTCGAGTACAATGTTGAACCACTCCTGCCAGAAAAATCCAGCTCGTTTTCTACCTTCTGAACTGGCTTGCCCAGAGAATGGAGCTCTTACGGGCCAGCTTTGGACGGGGTTGGAAAGTGGGAGCGTTAAGTTGATCGTGGACAGATGAAGAGACGTTAACCTGTAGGAGCAGAGGGTACTTGGGACACGGTTGACTGCACAGTAGTTTCAACTGGATAAACGCTGCCTGCTTGTCTGGAAGATTATCCATTCTGAAATTGAAAACAAAACATTTCTGTTATCAGTTCCTTAGATAATTCTTTTGAAATAGCTCACAAAGGGACAGAGAAGTAACATAAGGGAATTGACTGCAAAATGTTCTTAAAAAACGAGAAGAAACAAAACAGTAAAACTTCACTTCTGCTTGCTGTAGGAGTCACTCTAAGTTTCTCTGGCCCACAATTTTTTTTTTTTATATAGACATGCTCATTAATACACAACAGGAAAACTTCAACACTAGCTTATTGATTCTGAAAGGCTGACGATACCAAATTGTACATAGACAGTTGTGGGTTCAGTCGAAGAACAAAGTATAGAGACTGCCCTGTGTTTCCTGCATACAAGGCTAGCAAGAATGACAGCGGAGTTAAGGTCAGCTTGAATGGCCTTGAAGTTAGAGTTCATGCGACCTACGATGAAATAAAAAGTCATGGAAAAGTCGGGTGAGACAAGTTTTGATCTTTGAGACCACAGTGCAGCTCTTCTTTTACCCTTTCTGCAGTCCGTCAAACAGTCCCGGCCGGACCCATCGCAGCCACTCCCTGGACGACGTTGCGGCCAGTGACAGCAGACCCGATGAGCCCTCCACGGCCTCTTGCTCCGAGATGGTCCGCTCCATCCCCCTGGAACGACGCTGGCCGAAGCCCTTGCGGAAGACATGGTACAGGTCGGCTAGGGGCGCGCCCACCACACTCAGCGCCGACAGCAGGCAGGTGCAGGCATTGTGGACCGAGGAGACCGGCTGGTGGGCAGAGAGGGGGTCCAGGAGAGGCCCCGGGGAGGGGCAGAGGTACCAGAGGTGATCCAGGGTGATCAGGAGCAGGGCTGTGATGTCCGCTCTGTGGACAAAAGGAGACAATAACAGCATATAAATTTGGCAGGGAAAAAAAGGAGCATTAAGAATTTTCAGAAGCATAAAGGCCAGTTCCTACTTGGTGTAAAAGTAAACGCAATTGCAAAAATTGTGGCATCAATCCACACATATGTGCTGCAAAGTTTCAGAAAGTTGAACAGATTTCAACTCGCGAAAATTTCACTTCAAAAGTTTCGTGATGTCAAATTGCTTGCATCTCGCTTGCAAGTATTAAATGGCCTTGACTAAGCTAACTGCTATAACACTGGAGTTAGGATATCTGTCGACCTGAACTGCCTGGTTCTCTTGTAGGATGGCTTGGCCCCGCTGTAGCACTGAGCCAGCAGCGAGAGCGACTGGCTGACCATCTGGCCAAAGAGCTCCTGTGCCAGGCCGGGGGAACAGGTGGAGAAGAGCTCCTGCCTGGTGGCGTCCAGGTGCAAGTGCCACATCTGGACTGAGAAGGAGCACCTCTCGTCCTGGGAAAGAGAGAGATGGAAACGCCTTTTTTCCTTAAGTGCATTTGCCCAAGGGAAACATTTCTGGTTTTTATGCGTACCAGCTTTGTCATTTTCAGGGGGTCTTTCCTCTTGTGTGGTTTATCTGTCCAGCATCGGGGCGATTTCATCCTTGAGCGAGACACTTGTCTCAAATAACGCTTCCTGTTTTAGAGGTTTTGTGTTTTTGCTTTCATTTCTATATCCTTTTCTGTACACCTTGGGGGGAGATTATGTTCCTGACCATCTGTTTTTCCACATCATCAGAACAGCTCCTGTTGTAGACACCCTATAACTATGAAGAAACTTTTTTCAAAAGATGATATCCCACACATCATTTTGGTGTATAAAAAAAGAAAATTTAAAAAAAAAAAAAAATTGGCAAAATGTTAAGTGTCTTGCAGATCATTAACACTGGCCATGTTTGTGGCTGTGGAGGGAATACCCACAGTCATGCGCAGGTACCACACAGTCAAATTAGACACTGGTTAGAGATTAATTCTTCAAACTTTAACCACTTCTGGAGACCTTGTTCATATACGCATAGCTGGAGTGCCCCAAATTAGAACTTTCTGAGATAAAGTTGCTTGGCGTTTTTAGAAAAAATTTTACTTGCTGTCAATCAGCTGCTGGGACTTGTCAGTCAAGGTTCCTACGCTGTCTGCAGAGTGCTGGCAATTTTAGGCGGAGCTAATCCATCTTTGTTTTGAAACAGTACTATTATTTGCCACTGCCAGTGCCCGCAGATTATCAGCGGGGACAAAAGCACTCCAGGGATGAGCGCGACAATACCACTGGTACTCGTGGAATCTGGCCGCATTCGTATACAGACAACACCACCATCCAGCAATGCACCGGGCCAATGTACAGAGCAAAGAGGAAATTACACCGCACAACGGGGGCTCTTTACTGGGCGGCAGGCGTAGCTGCAACACTCACACATCAATGGAGGTTGGGTGTCAGATAAGACTCGCCACAAGACAGTCATCAGTTTGGGTGTACGCGTCCAGTAAATGAAGATACATGTATGAATTTTTGAAGAATTTTTGAAAATGGAAAAAAATGAAAAGGCGCCCGGCAGCGGGAGCTGCATGCCGCTAACTCCACCTGGCAGGAAGTGGTTAAGAGAGGGGAAAGATTGTTCCACTGTCGTTCCTACCTCAAAGAAGGGTCTCTGGTCAGACCAGTGATGACTCTCGGCATCCTGTAAAATGATGGTGGATATCACGTGGTGCTGATAGTCCAGTATCTCGGCTTTGACAGTTGCAATGAGTTCGGTATACTGCTTTTTAACTGTGCCAAGTGAGTACCTGGGGAAAAAAAAAATTCTATTAGATTACCCAGTATACAAATTTAAAATTCACATAGAGTTTCCACACAACTTTTAAGCTCAAGCCTGAATCAACTGAACAAAACAAGCTCACGTAACAGGTCACTATTGGCTGGCTTTTCACTAAAAGGCAAGATGGTCAGTTCCTTGGAACCTGACCACAAGCCATGGCTCAGTGGTCAGTTCTCGACAGCAGTTACCTTACGATTGAAAACGACAGCAGCAGAATGCTCGGGACTGCAGGAGCAGTGCGAAACACAGCCAAGAAATAAGGGTAAAAATGCGTTCTCTCAAAACTATTCGGCTACAAGCATTTGAAGGAGACTACAGTACAAATGCACTCCATATATTCAGGGTCCTTCCACGTTGACATTATCAACCACTTTGCGCCAGTGACAGTTATCAATATTGATGATACTGGGGTGGGATAATGACCATCTTTTTCTGTTTTAAAAATTCTTTAAAAATTCGTATCTTCATTTCCTGGACACTTACACCCACACGAATGGACTGTCTGGTTTTTACTCTAATCTGACAGACAACATCTACTGACGCTGGAGTATTTCAGCCAGGCCTGCTGCCGTGTAAAAAGAGCCCAGATTGTGCGGCGTTACGTGATTTTCTTTTGTTCACGAACCTGGCACAGTGCACTGCTGACCTCTTTTCAATAGGGACCAGATTAGCGTGCAGGGATACTGTGTGGCTCATCGCTGCGGTGGTGGAGCGCTTTTGTCCCCGGTGGTAATCCGCTCGCGCTAAATCCCAAAACCGTGGTATACTGTCTCGAAACAAGGCTGTATTATCTCCACTATTGAGAGCGACAAAATGTTGGTAATGTCCAGCAGCCTGGTCTTTTGTTACAAGGCCCAGTTCCCTTTGTCCGATTTCTGAGACCCGGCCACGCGTATAAAGATTACGTGTCCAGTACTGGAAACTCCGGCGGCAAGTGGTTAACACGTGGATCGGAAAGCCTGCCTTTAATAACACATTTTCTGAATATAAAACTGTATCCACAGAAGCTCTGCATCCTGGCAGCTTAAGTGCTTGGCGTGTAGAGCTTCTGCCAACATTTTCTTAAAATGCAAGGCTTATCTTACTTGGATTCATCGTCACCTAACATGTCTCCGTAGTAGGTCAGGTGGCTGCCAGCAAAGGAGGCGATGGAGAGTAGCTTGTACTTCTCAACAACGTTGGTGTAGGAATGCTTTCCAGGACTACTAGCAGGGTTGAAGATCTGTAGAAAGACAGAAAGAAAACATGACCCTGAGCCTCCATGGTCCTTTGTGGTGGTCCAAGTGGTTTGGTTAGATTTTGTAGGTCTGGCGAAGGTAGAGCCCTGTCACCATTACATTGAGAGTGATGCTTCTCGAAATTCAAAGTGCAAAGAATGTGCCATTGGTTTTCTGCACAGTGAAGGATTTTGGATGATCCAGGAGGGTTGCTCGAGCAAATATCCCAGGTAGTTCAGATTAAGTGACAGAGATGTGACAAAACAATTGTTGAATGCTGTCATGTGGGATAGTGTGTTTTTTCACCCCTTCTGGCACGCATGTCACCCTCGGCTCCAATTCAGGGGTTATGCACCTTCAGGGTGAAAAAAAAGCGTATCCTATATCAGAGTGGTTATTACCATAGTTTGTCGATGAAAGTGAAATTGTCAGCACATATCGGAGAAAAACAAAAAGGTATGGTTTTCTGAACAAGTCCAGACATGACTGATCATTTTGTTATCTAGAGATTCAGGGTTACCTAACGCACATTTGTGATTTTCCTGTAGTAATGCCCCAGACTGGCGGCAACGGCCTCGACAAAGGCTGTTCTAAGTGGTTTCAACACTCCCTCCGCTCCATTCACGGCGAGTGGCAGGATTGTGTCTAGGAAAGACACCAGATCGACTAGGCTCTGAAAAAAAGAGATTGAAGAGAATGCTTGCTTGTTTACAAATCAACCAAAGCAGCGAAGCAGGCTTCTTTCACTTCTGATCGATTTTTAACTTGTGCAAAGACCGTTGATAGATTGTTTTCAGTCTGGAGATGTGAATGTTAAGCTTTGCTCCACATTAATTCCGGTAAGTGAGAGGGTGTGGGTTCTAGTCTCACCTGAGCAGGCTCATGAATTTTTTGGCTCACAAGATCTCTGATAGCATTGGGTGTACAGTCCTTGTTAAATCGGGTCACTTAAATTTGAATTAAAAAACCAGTAACACTATACTAGCATTTCAATCCCACTTCTGAAACTTTGTCCTTAAAATGAGACAAACGAGGTTTTTTAAATTGTGTACGTCTGAAAGCAACGGCTTGAACACAGAAATTTGGGAAATTACCTTTGAAATACTTCTTGGATATTCAGAGAAGCTGTTGACCAAATCACCTGCAGAAAAAGAAATGTTCCAAATGAAACCAGAAATTCCTAAAGAATCCAGTCTGTATTTCAAGTCTCTGCATTGGGTTTCAAATTCAAAACAAATGAACAAACACAAAAACAACGACAAGAGAAAAACCTTTCCCGGATAACATAAACTCAATCATTGGAATGTTCGTTTCTGTTTACTGATCAAACAGGTCAAAAGGGGGGGGGGGTGTAAAACCATCAGAAGTTATACACCATGAAATTCTAACTTCATATCTTATATTTCTCTTGAATGTTGTCCTTGGAAAAATTCAATTCCACAGCAGTAGAAAAAGATCTCCTACACAGATCTTGTCAGGTCCAATGCAATTTAACACTTTCCAATTTTTTTCAACACCTTAACCTGCCAACCGAAGACACGACATCGAGACTCACCGCACACGGGGATCATGTGGACGGTGTGCGTCTGAGCGTGCACCATCTCTTCCTGCTGCAGGGCCGACTGGCAGGCGTTCTTGATCAGGCCGGGCAGGCTGGTGCAGACGTCTGCAACAACGCTCTCCAAGACGGCTGCCCAATCCCACTTGATCTGTGTGCAAAAGGGCAATACAGTACCACATCAGGGGCTGATTTCACGGACCTGCTTGGCAGGTTAGTGGAAAAAGTCGAGCTTATAAAAGCAGAAACATTTGCTTACCGTAAGCAGTATTTCATGGCGGTACTTGGTCTGGCTGTGTTTATGGTTGTGCACCCTTGGAGATTTCCATTTTTCTGTCACTACGTTGAGTAAATTTTTCTCCAAGGTAAGCGTGCCTTCTGCTGTGCTTACTGCTTATTTTATTCATGGAACATAAAGAGCCTCTGTTAGCAAAATGCCAACTGCTTAGCTCTAATTTTTAGGGGTAAACCCACCGACTTAAGGCTGGTACATGCCTGGTGTATTTCTTATTGAACAATAGGGAGGGTCCAACCCTTCAACCCCAAGAAGGTGCTCTTTAGCTAAGAGAGCCAGCACCATACCAGGTTTCATGAGCAGTTTGAACTTTGGAATCCATTAGCCTACCTGAGTGATAGGGTTGTCCAGCACAGTGTGCTTGCGTTGGGCTGTAGTCTCTGGAGTCATCATGCCAGGCATGACGCCAAACGGTGGGGGGATGGCATCGGGCAGCACCCCCCGGCGGCCGGTGTACTCCCCGCGGTGGCCAGCCTCGCGGCTGGCTGGATCCCTGGTGTGCTTGAGGGCACCTGTGGGGGGGGGGGAGGGAGGAGAGGAAGGGCGTAAATGAAGGATCTTGTGATGTCCTAAGATTCCTCATTTGACATTGGCCTGTGCCACGATATTGCGATTGTCTGTAACAGCTCCATCCCATGCACTTCTATGCTGAACACATCGCCAAACAAATATCTACGTTCAGTAAGATATTAGCGGGGAGCCAATCACATTTGATATCAACAGCTAGACATTTGGATTGGTAAACTGTTTATCCTTCCACCAGTCCTTTCTGTTCTCTTCTTTCAAGCACACCTAGGAAAGCCACTGTCTAGCGGCTGCTGCCATTTCCTCATACACGTGTGTGTTACTGCCAGCCATAGCCATTAATTTGAACACAGCTCTTACTCTTGATGCTGCCCTTGAGGCGGCCAGGCTTCATCATGGGGCTGGAGTCTTTGGAGGCCTGCTGGTGCAGGGCGTGGATGTAAGCGTCCATTCCAGACAGCTGCTCCACAATGGCTACAAGGTGAACCAGCTCTTCCTGAGTCACGGCTGGAGTGTCTGAGAGACAAACAAAATGATTGTAAAGGTCGGTGTTGTCGTCAATTTCCATCACAAGTCCAAAGGCTAGTCCTTTAGTACAGCTGGGTGAGCATTGACGTAGGCCTAGGTATGCCTTTACCACAGTTCATTGGATGAGCTTGTGACTTGGCTTAAGACTGGATGGCTTATGATGAGCTTGCTGGAACTTGTAAGGACTTGTGATTGACTTACCTACAACACTGGTAAAGGAAAAGTTATCTCTAAACGTCCACCTTGTACTGCCGGATCTTTGAAAATCCATGGAAAGTTTTGGTAGATTGTGTAGGATTGGGGAAGATAGATCCCAGATGTTTTTACTTTATATGGGACATAATGCCGATTTCCTGTAGAGACTAAAATACTGGAAGACTCAAGCAGCTTTTTAGTAAAAACGCTTCAGGGAGTTAGAGTTCATCAACTAAGACCTGTTTATTCATGTAATCAACCATTCAGGTCATGATCAATCAACATAATGTTGCAGGGAAGGCATTCCAACTTTTGTTTCTTACCTTCAATTGAGATGTCAACCTCCACCCCCTCGGATTCTTCCATGTCATCCTCCATCTCGTCCTCATCCCCAAACAGTGACGACCCCACAAAGCTCCCCACCATCTTCCTTCCCACTGTCGCCTTCTTCTTCTGTTCCTCTGTCTCCCCCTCCTGACTCTGACCTTTGACCTGCCACGCCCTCTCTAGGAGGCCCTGCAGGTCTGCCGATAGGCTGCACAGATAGATCTCTCGGAGCGCCTGGCCGGCCTCCACCTGAAAAATTGAGAGTGAAAAAAAAAAAGAGTTTCTTCATCAACATCGATGCAGTTGGAAAGAACAAGGCATATTCAAAATATAACATTCTTAATACTGAGCAATTCATGTGTTTAACTCGCAGCGCCATTCAGAAATGTCAACATCTCCTTGTGGGCGACGTCAACAGTATTCATGCTAAACCAAGAGACAAGGAATCATGCTGGATTTGGATTTGTTGCCTAAAATTTCCCTATTTGCTTTGTACAGACACATTCTGACTGAAAGACTGAGCTTGAATTTGACTGTTAAACACAGCCTGAATAGGCAAATGAGGCTGTCATGACACTGTCTCCTGACGACGGAAAGAGCACATTGTCCGAAACGTTGAGTACCCTCCTGTTCTTATACTCAAAAGAGATATCCTTGCATGGTGCTACTGCAAAGCTCTTCGCTTAACTTTCCAGCTTCACCACGAAAAGCTTCAAAGCTCATCTGAGGCTGTAAGGTTGCGGTGCGAAATACCGTACAAATGTAGGTCGGTATTTGTGCCATTTTGCTGTACTGGAAAAGTTGGCTGCCCCAGTTTACCTATTTCCAAAGACTGGTTTTTCGACCAAAATACATATTACCATCCACAAGTGTTTGAGAGATCAGTCTATTCTCACCTGTCCATCGAAGACATTGGCCAGCATGACTGTGAAGTCGGCTTCAATCATGCCCTCCAGGCAGTCCACTAGCTTGGGCAGTCGCAGGGCCAACTGGTCCAGGGTAGGGATTGGCTTGGGCTCTGCTGCTTCAGTTATAGCCTTCAGGAAGACCCAGGGACAAAAAAGGAAACAGAACAGGTGAGAGGGAAAAATCATAATGGTCCGCGATCTTCCCACTTTCTGATATTTTCCACACACCCTATAGAGGCAGAGTTAGCAACATCTGTACTGGATAAACAGAGATATACTTTGGCAGTGACTATTTCAGTAACTGGTCGTGGGTTTGAGTGATTTGTTGCTTTTGCAAGTAGCCGTGGCCTTTGGTTCTGTTCAAAGTTATGCCATCAAAAACACATCTGTTTGTTTTAATTGGCCCAAATGCGGACACTTTTATCTCAATTACACTGTGACAAAACGAGTCACCTGTGTTGACGAAAGTGCTCACAGTAAAATTTGAAATTACTTTATTTGTATGATATCAGTAATATTTGGTAACATAAACTTTAGTTCATTTCAGAAAGTTTTTGCACCGTTCCCAGGTCAAGGGGCTCAACTGTACTTTAGTTGAGTTTTTATATTTCAAATCAATATTTTGACTTAGACCATGACTGAGACAAGCATCCGCAGCTAAGGACACTATTAAGTAAGACTATTATGCCTAAGCATTTTCAAATGGCAAAGACTTTGACTTGTATGTAGCTCAGAGTTCAAAGGTTGACCTACCTCATCAATCTGCGCAGGGGTCAGTACATCCTGGATAAGTGTCATGACCTGCTGCGACCTCAGCAGTTGGTAGCTGCCCCAGACCTTCCGCACTGGGTACAGGATGCACAGGCTCTGCAGGCACTCCACCCGCTCGCCGGCGTGAAGGTCGACGCCCCGGCGCTGGACAGCGTCGACGGGCAGCCGCTGGAGGCGGTCCAGGAAGAACCGGCGCAGGCGGGAGCGAATATCCTCCCAGAGGAGGTCGTTGGCCTCATCGGCCGAGTCTGCCACCGTGTTAAGGGAGAGGGCTGACTGGGAGGTGCGGTAGTGGTCAGGCTCGGGGGCCCGGATGGGCAAGCCCAGGCCCTCGTGGGAGGAGAGGTAGAGGAGTTGGGAGAAGGTGGCCAGTTCACAGCCGGGGTTCTGGGTGAGATGCTGTAGCTGAAAACCGCAAAGACAATTTAGTTATTTGCTTTTCCTTTGATTGGGAGGTTAATCATCCGCACTTGCATCCACAAGGCTGAGTTAAAAAGGGCACAATAACAACTTGGTCAAGCCAAAGGCATACATATGAAGATGCAATAGACAGCCACCATATATTGCATATCTAACTGCAGAGAGAGTTTAAACGTGTTGATTTCTGCAGAGGGAAGAAAGCCAAACACACCACAGCCAAACCAATTTGGGCTCAGAAGAGAATCAACAAGCGCATCATAAAATGGCCTGAGCTGGGAATTGAACCCGAGTCGTACGTGTACATGTAAAAGGCTAGCACATTATGCACAAGCCACCCATGCCATCTTCTAGACACAACAAAGTAACAATAAAAACAATAAAGTTTCTCAAGTACACAATCTGAAAAGATAAATTTCGCTTCCGGTGTGAACAACAAATGGTGTGCTCTTTGCAAAGTACTTTACTTTACTTTACTCAAATACCAAATATGAGTATCAAAACCGCACTTACGATAGTCCTGAGTAGAATGCCCACGTCCTCTGGCTCAGGAGACAGGCAGGCGCACTCTTCCAGGACCGGGGTATGGAGCAGACTGTCCATGGCATCCTTGACGTTAGTGTAGTCATTATCGGCCGACAAACTGTTGGTGGCTTGCACAAGACATCTCAAGGTGTCCTCAATGCTGTCAATTATGGGTTGAACAAGTTGATTGGTCAAAGGAATTTGACCATCTAAACTTTTCGCAAAAATTTCAGGGTGACACAGACAAAGAGATGTTCTCGAAATTACTTATGAAAACAATTTCATTCATTTTGTGTGGTATTTTGCTAAACTGTGCCTATTGAAATTCAAAAATACCTCTCACTGAGTGAGTCTCAGAGTCCGCTAGGGGCCTAGGGTTGAGCAAAATGTTTATATTTTCAAATAACAGATCACTTGTCAAGTACCCAAACCCTGATTTTTTTTTTATTCAAATAGTAAAAAAAAAATGCCAAAGCAAAAGAACAGCTGAAGCAAAGTTAGGTTGTGTCCAAGAAGTGTGGTTGAGGCTGGAAAAAATATGTGAGCCTATGGAAAGCCACTACCTCACGGCTGAAGACACTTCCCATAGATATCTAGTATCTGGGCTCCTTTAAGCCCCAGCCACTTGAATTAGACACAACCTTGTTATGTTTCAAAAGGTGTAAGATACTAAGACTAAACAAAAGATGTACACATCTATGTATATCAAGTCATTAAGTGTGGAATCTACAAAATAATGTTTGGTTTTAAATTTATGTACGTGGAAGATTAACTCAATTTGTACACTTAAATTCAATTATTGCATGAACTTCTAATAATGAGCATTACTTTCTGTCATTTTCACTGAGCTGTCGGTCGATGTCCTCCATTGCAGCATGCAGTGTCTGCAGACAAGGTGGACCCATCTCAAACATTGCTCTGGCCGATGGCAGACTACACAGGGGACTAGACTGTGCAGTTGACATGGTGACAGCACCTGCCTGTGGCCAAAAAATACCCCGTCCCCCAAAAAAGGAAAAATGTCTCAACCAATGTGTCAATCCAAAATCAAACGTTTTCCACATGATTTGTATACACAGCAGCCTACCAATGTGTTCCTTCCTCCATGGTACAACATAACATGTTGTCATATAAAAACACAATTCTGAAAACGGTTGACCATCATAAAAACTGCATATAATTACATAAAAATAATTGATTTTTGATGGCAAAGTAGACCTGGAAAACTGTCTCCATGACAACAGTATGAAACTGCTTCATTTGCAGATTGCCTGGCAAAAGCAACTTTTATTTAACTTCATTTATTTTGGGTGGTACAACTTCCGCCTAACAACCCCCAATTTCTTTCTTTTAAGCGTTTGTTGTTGTTTTTTTCGTCAAAATACTTACATGTATCCCTCTTCTTGCCTTAAAAGTCTTTTTTTTGTAACCGGTATCAAAGATTATGCGTGACGGTGTATTAGAATTAACTGTCAAGCTGAAATTAAGACTTAAGCCTAATGTCACTAGAGGGCGCTGTCAGCAGCACAAAGGTCACACTACTCCGTAATCATGGCGCTGATGTTCTCACAAACTGCTCGGTAATTTTTTGATTTTGCTGTGCATTGTTTGCGATATTTTGAGACGTGAAAATCACATATGCATGAGAAAGGGGTGAATGAATATTTGTGTTCAGTTTCTGGTGGTCAGGTTGTTTGCAGAGTTGTAAGCTAAAAGTGAATCGAGGGAGGGGGAGGGTCTGTAGCGCCACAGCGCGCGGAAGAGGCATGGCATTTGCCAGCTGGGCCTACTGATGGTATTTGTAGGGCCAGGGGAGGGCTGCATGCAGCGCCCTCACAGAGGACATGTTTATTATTTAGATTTATAATATGACAATGAAGTAGTGTAGGCATGATAGGGTGTGACATGTTTTAACTTTTGGATTCACTTTGGTAGATGACTGTGATATCATGCTGTAGGGTGAGTGCGGGAATTTTCGACCAGGAGGAAAATTCGACCAACTGCATTCAAAAACTACACAGCTGGTCGAATTTCTTGCATTTCTTATGTGGTCGAATACTCCCACCTGCTTTACCCTGATGTTTTGAAAAGAGGTCAGGGTGTTGAGTTTTGAGGGAAATTATGAGGGGAACTGAGTAATGGCACATTGTGGATTCAAATTTGCATGGCTGGTTTATTACTAAGAAAGTCATATTTTCTCATAATTTATAGTTTAAATTTCCAAAAAATAGGGTCTGTGCAATAAAGAGATCATTGATTTTTTTCGGGGGGGATTGACCAATTTTACAAGATTAAAATGACCAAAAACTGGAGAGTCCCAAATGTACAATTCCCGTTAACACTTTGGTCACAAATTATAGGCTAGACTGCTAGTGGCAAACTGCCGTCTCCAGAAATGGCTCTTTTAGGGGTGAATGAGGATTTCGTGACATCTAAATCACAACCTCTACATTGTCAGTAATTGAAAAACGAATGATAGGTGCATTAACTATATATTTTGCAAAAGAAATGGCATAGTGTTGGGACAATCAGTCGATCTGTGCGATTGCCTGATCTTCTTGCAGTCTGTCAATCAAGTTGTTACACAATTTGCCAATGATTCTGCCGTCAGCTAATTGTCTTTTCTTTGTACTTAGCTATCGTGGAATACTATTTCAAAAATGGAAGTAAAGTCCCAGATATACCAAATCAACTGATAGCATAACATGATCATGGTGATCAACTGATTGCGCCCAATCACCACATTTTGATTCCTGTCCTTTTTGCAGCATCAAGAAAGCTGTAGCACTAATCAATAACATAGATGCTGCCAAGTTCCCTCGGTTACTCTCCAGAATTTTACAGAAACTGCATCTCAGAGTAAGTGAGCTGAATGCTTTGGTTTTTTTTATTCCGTAAACGACAGACAGCTTCCTTTACAATCTAAGTCCACCCCTCAAAAATATAGAAGCATGAGGTATGATGTGCATATGGATGTAAATGCTTGTTATGAGTTCACAAGACCTTTTTGTCCCACTTTTGTTCCTGCAGGATGAAGATTCATTTTCCGAGGAGGAGCAGGAAAAACTGCAAAGTGCCCTTGGCCTCGAGGGAAAAGACTTACAGCTGGTCCTGGAAACGACAGCGTTCATTCTAGAGCAGGTAGGCCCATATGTGCACTCTGGCTTTGTGATTTTAAACAGGGCTGTAAATAAAACAGTGGGTGGAGATTGATGCTGCACTTGCAACCTGCGGCTACTTGAATAGAGGGTTTGCATGGCTGCCATCTTGTGGGGCAGTGCTTTTGTTCCACAGGGTATGCACAAAGGGGGTTTCCCTGTGGAACAAGAAGATTTTTTTCTGCAAGATGGCTACCATGCAAAACCTGTATAGATTCATGCATTTTACCAAAGCAAATTACATAAAACCGAAGTGCGAGGCTCTCTCATAGAAGTGCTATGTGGCTTTTAGTCCCCAATGTGGAATGAAGGGATTTTGTGCTCACATACAGTGACTTGATGGATCTGTGATTAGCTACATGGCTGATGGTCAAGGATAACAGGAACGTGTTACTGTTCTGATGACTAAACTTCCTAGAAAGAGGGATATTGTAAGAAGATGCTCCAAAGAAATTGGATATCGTTGATCGGAATATGACTCACAGCATGCAGACAAAGGAATTTTTTAAGATACCGGGATTTTGATTGAATTATTTGCTCGGGAAAACTGGCAGAGGGGCCCAATTTCATTAAGACTTCATTCTTGGTTTTGCAGGCTGCCTATCACATAGCCAAACCAACAGTGCTGGCCCAGCAACTGCAGAACATAGGGCTGGAAGAGGATAAGGTAGGAACGTTCAACATTGGAGCAACAGTTTTGACACAGTTTCGAAATGGTGGCCTTCTAAACTTTCTGTAATTTACAGGGTTTTGCTCTGTCATATGAGCAAACTTGGATGTTGTAAGAATGTATTTCCAAGGTTTTGAATTGTCAAATAGACAAAGGTTTAACCGAAAAAATTTTCTTTTTAAATTTTTCTTTTCTAGGTTTCAGTCTTTGTGAAGGCATGGACCTCAAGTGGAAAGGGGGTCGTAGAGAAGCTACGGCAGAGAACGTTGGCACCCAATCAGGTGAGGACTGCTCATTTGTAGTTGTCGGCCGTGATCCGTAGATCATCATCTGTGCTATTGGTCAATTCAGCTACATCATCAGTTCATATCTTAAGAAGTTGCAGACCTTACGTCCTTTTGTCAAGAGCCCTTCAGGAGCTGTTAACTAGGAAATGTGCTTGATCGGTGGCAGCATGGTAGGTTGATGTGTGACGACATAAGACAGCATAGTCATAGTGTGTGAGCTTGCATTCAGCAGGGCTTTAGGTTGAAAAGACGAAGCTGTACAGACCAATCTTGCAAAACGGGATTAGAAGCAATTACGGCAGTGAAAGCATGCTCACGTGCTTGCATTAAATGCCTCTTCGAATGTTGTTACTTGGCAGAAAGCAAGTGTGGCTCAAGTTCACGAGTGTGCACATATCCATGAGAAAAGTACCTCTGGATTGTTGGAAAGAAATCCAGTTTCTTATGTGTCCAATCCCTCAAGTTAAAACATTTACCATTTCTCCGTTGCAACTCACTCCCTCGATCTGCGCAGAAGTGGAGATCTTTCCACAAGAGTTGTTTTTTTTTTCAAATAGTCCCATTTATCGGATTGCAGTTGGAGGAGGTGAACTGGAGGTTGAATCTCCAGATGGGGCAGGCCAGCCAGACCAAGATGAAGCTGCCCAACGCCATGTTCGAGCTGGTTGCCTCAGGCCAAGAGGCGGGGAGCAAGGACAAGATCAAGCTGGAGTTCAGCCACGACGAGCTCTACCAGTTCTACAACAAGGTGGGTGGGATCGGGCATGGACTGCTAGCATCCAATGAAGAAAATCTTGAAGTCATTACTCAGGTGACGCCAGGCTCATGGGCAGGTGATGCCCGTTGCGTGCCTGGTCACAGATACTGTGTTGTGACTTGCCAAGATGCGAGCGCGTCATGCATTTAAGAACGAGCATGAGATTGTGGTGCCATCAGAATGTGGTCTCGTCAGATCAATCTGTTGGGTTAGGATTAATGTTGGAGATCGGCCTTACCGAGTTGGATCAGAACTGCAAGAGAAAGGGATATGACTTGGCATTCATGTTGGTACATGTATATCAATGAATGTCTGTTTGAAGTCCAAAAGACAGGTGTATTAAGACCAGAACAGGCTATGCTTTAAGTTGGAGCTTTTCAGCTTTAAACCCATGATGGATGAAGATTAGAGTCAGATCTACAACCAAGTGAACGAAGCTTTGATTTAATCAGTCGAAGTGATTTCTAGAAGAAACTGGCATTAAGGACCTGTTTTCATGTCAACACTTGAAGTATTTTTTTAGTAAAAACGTATATAAAGAACAATGTGTTTCAATCTATTTTACAGTTGGAGGCAATACAGGGACAACTTGACTCACTGAGCTGAAACCTGTTCGGAAAAGCCCGTCAGCATCTCAATCCAGGTCTTGCTTTTTGAGACGTGTATATCTCTCCTGAAGGAGACAAGGAAACTTAATTGCTCTGAATCAGAAAAACAAAAAAATTCCTCTCAAGTGTAAGGTGTTGAGTTTAATTTGTAATGGGTTTAATAGGCATGATTCAACACACCGTGAAACTGTTACCAGAGGGCTTAAATTGACGCAGGTGTTTGCTGCATTGTGGCAAAAGTGTCAATGTCACTTGGATGGTCTGCCAGTTTCAAAGCACAAGAGCCAGCCAGGTGACCCTTAAGCCAGAAGTAGGGGGCACATGATGGCGTGAACAACTCCTCCCCTTGGTTATCTAGAAATTGGTGTAAGAGTCAAGTTTTTCGGTTGAAAACTGAATTCTGGTAAAGTTTCATGGCCCAATGTGTATGTGAAGCACTTACTCAAACTTTGTAGTGGTTTGGAGGAAGAGGATTAACAAAGTATATTCTATCGTTTCTTTTCATTTTCTGGAAAGAATTTAATTTAAAAAATTTATGTATAGGTACCATTAGTGAATGGTGACTTATTCACAGCATTAAATCACTGTTGAGGCAAAAAATGAAGGCTGCACTTTTAGAAACAAACCTTTTATATCGTAACATTTAGGTTGTACGTAAAGAACAGCTTCTCTGTCCACCTACAGCGCACAGGGCCATCCAAATCCATTATGTAAATAAATGTATAGATTTTTATACTATTAAGAATTATTAGTCGTGATAAAAGCATGAATCGACTGAGTTTATTACACTCTGGGAACTTGTCCAAGAAAAGGCTATTGGGGAATGTAATGGGGAACTGAAATACCTTGGGAGGGGCTCCAAACAGATGCATTAACCTCGCCACAGGACACTTAAATTCCTTTTCTTTGCTCTCCTTTTAGTTTTTCATAATTCTGCACATTGTATAATATTCCAATGCAGTCATAAGGCGACAACTCATGGTTCATGTTCAGTCTGTCATGACTGACACAATTTGCAAAAAAGAGACACCACACTGTACCATTCTCTTTTTCGCTGCTTTTTTTTTCAATTATTTCTTTTATTACACAAGAAAAGTGTGAGTGCCAGGGAGACCAGCTTTTACAAGTACATAGCTTACGTTACTCGTAGAATGACAAAAGCTACAGCTGTGTAATGGGTGATTTACTATGTACAATTTCTCAGTGGATGAAAGATAAATCAAATGTTGGAAATCGAACACAGAGTGAGTAGTGTTCTTTGTCGCGTATTCTTCATTTCATTGTGATAAACATAAATCACACGTGGGGTCAGGTTACAACAAAATTAAAGGTTACGGAATTGCTTGTGCCACTTTAGAACAAGTGACAGATAATGTAGTTTTAAAGACAGCAGAAGTTAAGACAAAGACGAGCTACACTTAAGGAATCTCAGTGAAGCCCGCTTAAAGCTTCATTTTCAAACCTGACCAAGTCTTGCAGCCTTTTGAATCAAATTTGGCCTTTTTCCCCAAAAAATTTCAATTTCTGTCGTACTACATGTATGTAATGTGTTACTGCCATGCTAAAACCCAATGTAAAACTATGTCCAGAAAATCATCAAATTTCCTATTGCGGGAGAGAGAATGGAGATTTTTTGAAACAATTATCAACTGTGCCCCAGATGCTCATTATGAATTCTCACAGTTCATTATGGTTTGAAATGTGTAACTCAAGGTACCCAGGATCAGGCATGCAAATGGAAATTGGGACCCCCCTAAAAATGAGCAGATTGCGAGCTGCATCAGACTTTGTACAGCACTTTGTGATGGCATGAGTAAAACAAGACGAAACGAAGAAAACCTTGCATGCCGCCATGACACAGGCTTGCGATCATTGAATAAGCAAATGTCATTTCACATTCAACATCAACCCCATTTAAGAAAAGGCCAGAAAATTATTAAAAACCGACAAAGAAACAGGCATTAAAAATAGACTGCTCGAAATCAAAAAAACCAATTATAATGGCAGTGTCGACAGAAAGTAACCTCGCAACAATTTGTTTAATATACATGTATAACACATTTACACACAGCATCAGCGTGTAATGGGTCAAACTTAATAGAAAATACTCTCACAATTCCTAACATAATGTACAAGCATACAGTATAAAAATAAGAGATCTAAAATTTCAAAAAGGAGAGATCACCATCGTATACAAAAATGCAGGGATCAAAGTTTGTTTCACAGAACCTGTTGTGCATCCGAGCATTTTTGGATATTGTCCAAGTGATTCCCATGCTCAAAATACCTACTCTTCAAAAAAAAAACCAAACAAACAGAGCATCCAAAAATGTGCACGCTCATAAACAGCAAATGAATTCATCTGAACATTCAAGGGGGTAAGGCTCACCACAGCTAACTCCCTAACTTTCTGAAATGTAACCTGACGCATGGCGGCTGGCTCTTCTTAATACCTGGCTAACCTTGGAGTAACAAAGCATCCAAATGTGTGGGAGAAGTCACATTCTTGCAGGACTTTGTATGTCAAACAATCATGGCTGTAAACGGGCTGGGAACAGCACACAATACATGTACCTACAGAGACCTAGCCACAGCCATAACTGCAGCTGAACTCTCATTCAGTACAGAGTCTGACAACGGCTCATATATTCACTTTTGTGACCCCAGATGTTGGAGTCAGCTCAGTTTCATGGATGTCTACACAATGCATAAACAGGCACAACATTTTGTACATTCAGCCAGGTCAAAATGACTTGCCTATGACTTGAAATGACACGGGCTTCTGAAGGAAAAGCAGGTAGCCATTTAGCCAGCAGTTTCCACAGGCTTGTATGTTATCTGCATCCAGTCATATCCAAGCAACTTTGACATGGCCTTGTGAATTTGATTTATCATAGGACTGAATAAGAAGGCAATTTCAAGGTGCATAGTGGCCAACACAACTTAAACTCTTGGCCTTTCCTCATAGCCTAAAGTGAGGACACAAGTCTCTGACCATACGTAAAACTGGATCCGATTTCAAGGAGCCACTGAGCAGAAAACTATAGCTTTAAATAGCAAAATTTTGATGCCCCGCGGGAGAAAACTACACGAACAAGAGCAGAATGTGTTGCATCATGGCTAGTAACTGGCCTGTGCTACCTAATGTTGTCGCTACCCAGTGACTATCTGAGCTTAGCTGTCCCTGGAATGTGGCGCGGTGCATTCCATGTGTCTAGCTGACTGCAAGTATGTATGGCTTCACACACGGTCTCAAAGAATCGAACGTATTCCGACTACACGTACTGACTCACAATTTTCTTTCACTGTTTAATATGCAATTCCTACTCGCATGTTATACTGCATTTATTTACCTTGGGAACAAAAAACATTGAGGGAGAGCTCTGTACATCATTTAATTTGTCAGCATTTTGACGTTTGCATAGAAGTAAAAAAAAAAAAGTATTTACACGTGGACTATCGTATTCTTATTTACACATGTTCACACAGCTTGAATAAAAAGGAGCGATAAAACAGTTTCTAGCTCTGTCCTTAAACTTTATAGATCAAGTCCTAGTTTGAATTACAACCAAAAATATTGAACTTGAATTCAGCCATATAAGTGTTAATAATTTACGTTTTTTTATGCACATGAAGCCTTCATTTTTAAAACACACAAATTCATTGATACATCTGTTACATTTCTTCAGGAATTTGAATGTTGATGTCATGACTGGTGGCGTTTTTGTGTGCCAGGTGAGCAGGCAGTTGGGCCAAAAACAAACGCGAGTCCTGCCAACTTTGACGAGCATTTGACTGGATCTCCACATATACTGCCAATCAATGCAAGCAGTAGCGGTAGTGCTTGTTAGACCACACCATTTCTTTACACGATGCATCTTAAAGTCATTTTTCAAATGCGGATTAACCTTCAGCTCTACCTGATTTTTAGCTTTCTTGGCTACGAGTCCAGCTCATTGTGAGTTGATGCTTCTTGCTTATGAGAGATCCTTTGAGCCCAAAATAGTGGCATCTTATTTGGTCCAAATGCTTTTAAAAGCCTACGAATGTTTCTTGGGGCAGAAACATAGCCAAAGCCAGCGACGGAAGCCAAATTTTGAGAAGCAGCCCCCGAGGCACACTCCTGCTGGATTACCATTTTGTTATGTCACCCAGCTATGTGCTTACGAGGCAATTTCCCATCCAATCAGCTTTGATTTGGTGAAGTGCGATGCACGCATAGCCAGACACAGAACCAACTAATCAGCCAACAAATTGTGGAATGTTAAGGTCAACCATCACGGAACGGGAGTTCTCCATGTAACATTATTTAAATTACTTTATCCCAAAAAATGGCAAATAAATTTTTGAAATTTTAATTAAATAAATAAAACAATTCATCCACAACTGCCTTATATACACACACAAATAAACAGCTCATCTTTAAAAACCTCCCCAAACAAGCAAGCTAAGGTCCCCCCCAAAAAACCAAAACTGTACAATTACTTGTATTAAATTTGGTATCGTCCATTCCAAACGTACACACACTTGCTAGAACACCTAACCTCATACTGTTTTCAGAATCTGGAAACCTTACCCCTACTTCCCTATGGTACAAATACCACTGTCGTCAAGGAAACCACAGACTAATGACGCAGAACTGATGGGTAATGTCTGTCTGCGATGTACTCACAAATTGGGCATTTGCGGAGCAGGAATTCCGAGTGCTCCGGACGGCATTTCAGCACATCCACAGTCCCTGCACATTCTCACTTCATATTGCCGGCGTTCGGTCCAGTTCAGCAGACCCAGATATGTGACACTGTCTTAACTTAAGACTCTTTTTTTATTTCACTTCACCGTTTCGGTAGTAAAGTTGATGTCATTTTTGACATTTTCTGATGCTCAATTGCATGGTGCCGATGTGTCTTCCACAACTTGAAGGAAGCCTTGTATGGAGCTCTTGTAGGTCTTGCGATAACATCTGTGAAGATTACCTCTGTGCTGTTCCACTTTCAGGAAGAGTGGAGTGTAATTCTTATGTAGTTTCTGGTGCTATTTTTTTTTCTTTTTTTTTAGGTGATGTCTCAAAGGGAAACATACCAGGCCGAGGCAGTAGAAACAACCGTATACAGTCACGTCAACTGCCTACAAATGTAAATAACTTTTTGGCAACCTTTGAAAGGTTTCCGAACCGTGGACTGATAAGCCTCTAGCACAGACCCCTCGGAAACTTTCAGATAACCTTTGGAGATTTCCCTTTGAAAACCATCACACTTTTTTATGTTGGAACAATCACAAATTCTACAACACCACAATTACCTTACTCTCGACATTTATATACATGAATACAATGCTGCATTAAACTATAGTGCACTTTCTGCGTGTAGACGCCTATACTTTTCATAAAACTCTCTCTTCCACTAATTTTGAAAAGCTAACACCTTATACACAGACAACCAGTGTGATCAACCTTGAGATTAAAAGCTATAATACTGACTACCGACGATATCGAGTCATGGCAACATGATCACAAGAGAAAACAAAAATTCGTCAAAATCATTATTTTTTACTTAGCTGTCGAGTCCGTCATGTGTGTTTTATATTCACATCGGCGAGTATTTACAGGCTGCATATCAACACAGTACGTATTTTTGCAGAGGCACGACTGTTCATCAGATTTGAGTTTTGTTCAAGGAGGCCACCTCCTCGTAAGAGGGGGAAAAAAGGAGTGTGCATCAGAATCAATGCGACCCCTGCACTGCTAGAAGGCCAAGGGGGTTCAGATGCATGGAAACCAACCCGCAAATATTTAATGCACCATGGCAAAGCCAATGAACGTCCACTTTCGTAAGCAATCTTCCAATCGACATCAGAGCTTCCCTCCATCGTAAGTTCCTCTCGAGGCCGACAACTCTCTGTTGATGGGAAAGCACGACACCTTTGCTCTTGTTTTTCAATTAAGGCAAGTATATGTTTCCTTTATAAGTACACTGCACTGTAGTTCAGAGGACCACCCAGCTGCTCTTCTTTAGATTTCTTCCCAGGTTTCCAGTCAACACCTGCTAAATGCAGAGCTCTCCCTTGTTCAATATTGCATATTTCTTTTCATGTCTGGCGATCTCCCCATTTGCGCATTTTCAAGTTTGGCCAAGCGTCAAGTAAATGATTTGAATCAAGAGAGTGCACTTCGTCAGCTCTTTCCTTCGTCTGCTGGAGTCCATCATGAGCACACACTCATCTGCTCGGCTTTTTTCTTGTTTTTTCCCAGCCCTTTTTTTTTTTTTTGATGATGTTAGGACAGCTGGGATGACTTGGAAGGTATAATTAAATGTTGTTTTAAAAAATGAGCGTCTCTCCTTTGGCAAGTCTCAGACTTCATGCTCCTGGCCAAAATCTGAGCCGTCCGGCCTCTTCAGCCAGATTTCTGAGTCGTCTCCGCACAGTTCCGTGTCGGAGGCCCCCGAGGCCGAGGGCCGGCTCTCCGTCTCGCTGGGCAGGCGCTGTGGCGAGCCCAGCTCCACTGGCAGCCCGCCGCCCGAGGGCGGCCTCCGCCCACCTGTGCTACCGCCGTAAGGTGCCAGGTACGAACCATCCATGCCATAGCTGAAGGAACCCTGGGGCGGGCGGTAGGAACCATTGGAGTTGCGGGGGCTGGGGTCGACGCTCGGGGTCAGGGAGTGGGGGCGCGACTGGGGCAGGATCCCATTGACCGGGGTGGGTCTCACCGGGGACTCCTCCATGGCTGTCATAAGGGGTGGCTTTCCATTCTCGGTTGCGAGGACTGTCTGGACAATTTTGGGGGTTGGTTTATAACCTGCAAAGCACAGCAGAAAAACAAGGATTAATCTCCACATCGAACTCCCCTCAAGATCTTCAAAGGCAATCATTCAAAAGAGGCTCTGTAAACAAAAGTCGACTTGAACAAAGTCTTCCAAATCCCACTTAGCATTTAATCCTTTGTTTAACACAACAGGTCACTGTTTAGAGCATTCCAAGGTCATCTGTACATCCAACAGGCAATGAACATGCATTGAGGGTGGAGAAACATTAATACGAGCGATTCACAATAGTGCGCCATCAAGAGTTTGCAATGCATTGGCCAATCAGAATGCGCGAAATTTGTCGACCCTCTCCAAACACGCAATGGGTCCACAAATTTCGCGCACTGTGATTGGCCAACGCCTTGCAAACTCTTGGTGGCGCACTATTGTGAAGCGGCCGTATTTGCGCATCTTAAACCTCACGAGAAAAGATATGCAGGACCAGCCAACCATCCAACTATGCATTGGTGGAAGTAAAAACAATGGAATAATGTGGACAGGATTCTTCGGTGTAAAGTTGGCAAGTTTTTTTTAAAGTGAACAGGTAAGGTATGGCACAGTTTACTATTCGATGCCTACCGGTACAAAACAAACAGGAGAATTTTAATGGTGGGGGAAACTACATGATTATTAATAGCCTGCCAGCTGGTTGGACAGGAGAGTAGGGCATTGGTTGGCCGTGCAAAAGGAAAGGCAGATATGACTGGTCTAGCACCAAGAATCAAGATTTGGCATGTTCAGCAGAGGGAGTGGTTTACAAGAACATGGAGTACACTGAATTTGCAGGATGTTAAAGAATCACAAAACCACAAACTGATTGTTAGGTTTGCATTTTGCAGAGTATTTCAGGGTGGGGACACCTACGAGGCAAATTTCTAAACCAATTTTTTTTTAATGAGAGATGTGAAAGAATATCTGAATATTAACACTGATTAAGTGAAGTTTCAACATCCAAGTTTTTTTAACAAATCTCTAAACTTTTCATGGGGGGAGGAGATTTACCAAACCACTGAAAATTTTGGGGATAAAATTGCATCCTTGAAAGAAGGCATTAGACAATTTGAGAGAGGACCGAAGGGAGTTTTTTTTAATTGCACGCCTCCTTGCTAGAACCGCGCCCCGGTTTGGGAGTTTACAGGGACACATTCTCACTATCCTTGGGATACAATCTTTCTTACCACACAGAGAGAAAACTTCCTTAGATAAGCCACTCTGGAATAAGCCATGGGTTAAAAAAAAGAAGCTCTGACAGTTGGTTATTGTAAAGGCATATTTCTCACCCAAATCAATATTTCCCTTTACATCAAATGACCAAATTCACTAAATACACACTAATACAATGTATCAAATCTTCTCAAAAATAAACAACATTCTTCTTGATATAAAATCAACCAATACATTAGTTCACAATAAACATGATGCATGGCATATCAGAATCATTCATTACTTAAATCAAGTTCTCTTTAGTTCAACCTTTGTCAGAGAGAAAAAAACATGCACTTTATCATGCGTTTGGAGAATCCAATTTAGATGTTCAAAGTCAGGCCAACTGATCCTCTCCAAAATGCATTTTCCAATCACAAATCAAAAGAAACAGAAAAACTAAATAAACAATACCCTTCAGCTCCCAGGAGTTCCAATAGTCATATTGATGATGTCTCAAGAATTGTTTACCCAGTAACGCCTCACTCCAATTTTGACGACAAAAGATGTGAGATTAGATATGTTACCGTTACCCCTGAAGCACTGCCACATTTTTTGACAACGGAAATCAACCTGTTGCCACTTTTAACATCAAGTTAGTGGTGTTAGTTAACTTAGATCACCCTGAGTGAATTTAACAACAAAGCTCCTGGTTATGTTAATACAGGAATAATGTCCCTTGTTTTAATGTTACTGGCGGAACTAATTAATGTTTACAACTGGACATATGGAAAAAAAACATACAATTAAAATAAACATAAAACAGACAAAAACAAGTTTCATCGGCCACCTCCACTTCTGACAAAACAAAACAAAATACATCTATAGCAAATTTTAATTAAAAAAATGGAAAAAAAAGTTGCTAACAAAATATGACCAGAAGAGGTTCTTAAGACTATGGCAAAGATCCCCCCTAAAAGACTGATAAATTTTTCTTTTTTGGGGGGGGGTGTAACTATTCCGATGATTATTTGACAAGTTGGTCCAATCCTTTCGAGCAGGCCAACAAAATCTTTTCATAACAATTCTGGAGAAATCTCTTCAGTACAATTCTTGTTGGTTCTCGTTTTATTACTTCTGCTTATGTTGTTTTCCCGTTTTTTGACTGTCTATAGTTTGCATTGATCTTATCTTATACTGCCAAGTCTGAACAGGTACACACTTCACACTGTAACCAGACGTGCAACAGTGAAATACGAACACACATCTGTTCTTTGAGAATACGTATATGTAGCCTCAAATGTGCAGCCTCCTTCATTTCTCCTGTCAAGTGGCTCGCTAGTGCAGCTTACAAGTTTCCACACGATAAGCGCAGGCATGGGTGAATGGGAAGGAGACTCCCAGTTTTTGTTTTTTTTTTTTTTTTGGCGCAGTGCTTGCATCAGATGTTACCAAGGTGACAAACAGAAAACAACGAAAGAAAAAAAAAAACTTCTTGACTGGCATCTTTTTTGGAACAACACAATATATTACAGCAGCTGGCAGAAGAGTAAAGATCCTACCCATTACTGGCTGGCGTGGCGTTTAGCTGGCACTGGATTTTCTAAAGAGTCAAGAAATTCAAACTACTTGTAAACTCCACTCCGTAGCAAGATTTCTTGCAGATGGCCTACCAACTTCAGTGTACCTCGTAACACACTCAAGAATACATTGTATCAATAATTGGAATTATTTTCAAAATTGACACAGACAAAAAAAAATGCACTGAAAAATTTTTCCCAGCTCTTAACATTCAACAAGCACGAGATTTACACACACCATCTTGATGATCACTGGTATTTTAGCTGGTGCACCGCAGGCAGTTGCAAGGCAGTCTTTAAATGGGTTTCACACATTCCACTGATTTACAGCAATGACCAACTGAATCATTACACTTTTTAACCGATTTATCACACTGGTCCACTGATTTATGACACTAGTGCACTGACTGAACAATGATCCACAGTATCCACGACAGTACAGATGCATGATTTATCACTATGGCGACAGAACAAGCAGCCAGTGCCCATCATATTCATTGCTCAGCAAAGCACTTCTTCCCATTCAAAATTTGGTGATGGGGACAGGAACCGATATTGAGTCTGATATCATATCTAAAAAAGGCAAAATCCTCTCCTTCCAATGAAGGCAAACCTTGGAAACGAGAGTTCAGTGAGAACGCATACATTCATAAGCCAACTGAGACCTTTCAAAAATCTTCAGTGCATTTTCAAGAAAAAAGGTTTTCCAACCTTTCAACAATTTTCCTTTTGCTTTTTAACTGCAATGACGAAAAAGGGAAATACTTTGTAACACATAACCCCAAATTTATAGTGCCTGGAAAGTGATCAATTTTTCTATCGCGTGATGTTACTTAAAATGGGATAAATCGCGAAACTTCCAGCAATGTGAGAGAAAAATAACAAGCCGCTCTTTTACATCAAGTTTTGGTGAGGCTTTCACAGTCCTTGGACAATGCAAACAGCTGATGAAAGACAATACCGACGTGACAGCCTCCCCACCAAGGACGAGCGAAATCTCACAAAGCAAAACGCCATGCAACACAAATCAGCTAGGGACCAGCTGGGAACCCGTACAGGTGAGAAAACACATCATGTCACATACACTGCCTTATGCATCCTGAGGAATGTAGCCCATGACAGCACAACTGTTTGTCGCTTGACAATTTTCAGCATGAAGAGAGAAATACACGCTTATCATCACGGTGCACTTACACTTAACAGGGCTAGGCTGTAAATTTGACCTCCTGGTAAAGACGCTCTTTGGAGGAAGCAGGCATAGATGCAGGGTCATGGGCTGAAGCAAAACATAACCTTCCTTATTGAGTTGTCAAAACAATGGGCCTGGTTCCTGAATGGGATACTGACTCGAGTTAGCACAGCGCTGCTCAATACTGCGTGTCTTGCCGAGGAAGGTCAAGAAAGGGAAAAAAGAAACTCTGACACCACCCAAAAAAATAAGGTGAACTGTTCCATACCTTCAGGACAGAGCAGCACGTGTTTGCACTAGGGGGTTGGGAAGCTTGCAGTTGGAAAATCAAAACAGAGAGAGGTAACGTTAGAAACTCTTTGATGTTGGGGAGGGGGGAGGACTGTCCTCATCGTATACGACCTGTGCTACCCACGGGAATGGCAGTGCATTGTGCTTAACAAGCTTGTCATGCCAAGGCTGTGCTCCATAAACCATCCAGGAGAGAAAACAGGGGGAATCCAAGCAAAGGGGAAGGGAGAATGTTCTCGAGCCCAAACGTGGATGATTAAGGTATCTTTGTAAAACTATCGGTGGGGTTTTCAGAAAGCACTGAGGAATCACCACACGAATGACTTCCGGCTAAATGACTACAGATGGACAAGTGTGCGTACCTGATGGAATTCACACCCACAACAGGATTTAGGTTGCTATTAAAGTAGAGTTGAGGGAATGCCGTTCTTTTGCTCTCAACATTTTTTCTTTCTTTATCCTGCACGAATCGAGAAGAAATGCTGTGGGTGCATTCAACGGAACCTTGAAACCTGACAGTTCAGTGTGCTCAACCCTTATCCTGCTTTTGGATATAAGAAAGTTGATATTTAGCCCTGGTCAAGCTGTAGCTACTGCCCCTCTTTATCAGCTTAGAGTAAACGCTGAATTATTACTTAATTTAAGGTACACTAACAGGTCTGCCAAATTAGGACCGACATACAAGAAACAAACAAACAAAACAAAAAAGGGCATCCTAACTCCTATAAAAGTTACTGAAAAGGGAAAATTTCAATCTTGAACATGGCTGGCCCACTCAGAGATTTTCTGGGACGAGTATTCTCAATACAGCGGAATTTGTTTCACTTGTTAAGTGTCCTAGTTAGATCCTCTACTAGGAAGTTTGCTAACTTCCCTCAAAAAAACACACAAAACAAACAAATCTACCAATACGCCACCCCCTTCCTCAAACAAGAGAAAAGTCTCCTAAACCAATGCGAGCCTGTTGGGTTAAAGTTCCAAAATATACCATACCGTCACCTGCATATACATAAACACAAGGAATACACACACAGTTACCTAACCGATGGTACCCATGGAATGCTTCTAGTGTCACCTCATTGGTACATGTACAGATGTTGAACAGGCTTGATTTTTTCAAAAAGGGGTCATGCCAACTTTATGAAGATGAAATGAAAGGAATGCTGCAGAAATAACTACTCCAAGCACGTAATGACTAAACAGATGCAAGCAGTGTGAGTTTTGTATGGACTTGTTTGTACATGGATAAGGCAGACAAGAGGATACTGAATGGCATCTCTCCAAGACTATACACAGAGACAGTGCTTTAATACTGATGAGGGTTATCGGGTTTAAATGCACAGATCTGTGAAGTTGACGTTCGAAGGTTTTTAAGGCTTGCAATGCAACCCCTTTGAATCAAAGTTCCCGGTATATATATATATTTTCCACCTGATAATCAATTCATTAGTTGAGCCAGCAATCCGCCAATGTCACAGAACAACACATACCTATCTCACTTCTGAGATTCGCGTATCCTCTATAAAAACCACAAGGGTTAGACGGGACGGACGAGGAAGACAGAAACGCAAGGGGGAGAAAGAGAAGAGGAAATGGGTTCTTAGTGAAACTTAAGATGTATAGAGACAGTCACAGAGTGCCCTGGTGTGGTGGGTGCTTTCCGGGGGGGGGTTCAAAGCCAGGTTCTGCCAGGCATGCTTCACTCGGGCGCATTTCAAAATTGTGGAGGGCACGTGCGGAGAGTGAGAAATGCCATCATTTGGGAGGGGGAAAAAAATGCCATGGTAACTGCGCTGCTAAGAAACACGCAGATCACCATACAGTTGTGCAATACATAAAGGAAAATCAATGCATGGAAACACCACATGCCCCAAGTGTGAAATTTGTGAGCAACTTCTTTTTCGGAGAGCAGCTTCCATTGACATTTTGTGCTTATAAATCCCTCCCCACACCAAAAAATAAAGGTTGGTGATTTTTTTTTTATTGATCTGATCGAGAACCGCTGGTAATCGGTTTGGTCCTTGCTCATTCCCACTGGTCGACAGGTTTGAAATGCACCGGGGAATCAAGCACCCTGAGACACTGACCCCGATTTGGGCCCCATCCACCAGCATGCATACAAACACATAACATGTTGCCATGCAGAAGCAGGGACTTGAAAGAATGCAAGCCTGCGCTGGAGGATTATCTCATGTGATGACAGACATACTACTTGACAGGGCACTACGCCGCCGAGCCAATATTCTAACACAACGTCCACAGGACCAAAGGCATGGTGCATGCTGGTAACCAGTATATTTGTCGTCTTCTGTTTTTTTTCAGATTTTTGTGAGCACTGTCTTCAAACTATTTTTTTTTTTCATCTCTAAACATGAGTCTTTGCATTGAGAATGGTTCAACTCCTCCGCTAACCAAAACGTAAATTTGATACAATTTGGCATCCAACATGCAACATAGAAATTGCTAAAAGCAGATGAGGCCAGAATATGCAACTACCAAAAGCCGTACAAATGTGAGAGGGGGATTTTTCATTTTTCTCTTTTTTTGTGTGTGTTAAAGTAGAACTTGGGAAGTGAAGTTTAGAACACAAAGTTGCTTCGCTGTTTTAAAAATGTAACTTTGTGTGTGTGTGTGGGATTGAGACATACATCAAAGTGAGCATTGGAACACCTACTTGAGCCGAGGACGGACTCTTCCGTTTCCGTGGGCTGATAGTTACCCTTACACTTCTTGTTTACAAAGAGGTGAAGCAGGAAGGCAAGGAGGACGAAGGCCAGGAACCAGCCGACCGCGAAGAAGGTCCAGAAGATCGGCGAGGCGGGGGCTTTATTTTGAGCCACAGATTCTGTCGCAAGGGGGGGGGGGGGGGAAAAAAAA